CAACTGCCACTCCACAAAATATCAACCTTTTCCCTAACCACAGACGTACACACCCAAGCAGTTCATCCAACAAATCGAGTTCGATGCATAGAAAACGCGAACATTTGAAAGCCGTCATTTTTTAATAGATTGCATTTGTTACGATAACGTAAGAAGAAGAGGTATTAGTGGAGAGGCCGGGTTGTTGTACACAAGCCAAAGCCAGCCATGAAGAGTGTTACTACAGCTGCCAGTAGACCAACACCGCCTCCGCTCACACCAACTCACAAAATAATAATTTATTATCAAAGAGCGCAACCGTCCGTGTCTGACGTGAGAAACAGTCAAGGAAGTGACCATAAGCTGCGAAGCACAGCAGCCGGCCTCTTGGCCCAAGTCTACTAGGTGCATGGGTCCCGTTGGAATCCACCCCAACTCTCACACAATATATATATTATATATAATATATGCGGAAAATCCACAAAGAAATTGAAAAGGAAGATGAAGGTTTCAGCCGGTTTACAGCCGTTGTCAACACCAGACTGACTAGGAGAAACAAAGGGAGGGTACAGGTCAACAGCTGAATATGACCATATATCCCCACGTAAAGAATTGCCCAGAAGCAGGTATAGATTTAGCTTAGAATAATAAGATTAAGCGGTAAGATAATAAGGGTGAAAGATTAAAGCCTCAATGAACACAATACAGTACAGGTACAAATATTACTGGGAATATGGGATAGGTGTTCATGATAATGACACGAAGTGTAAACTATGTGGTATGTTAAGGTCTCACACCCTTGCCCATTATGTTCTTGATTGTCCGTTGATTAATGTATATAGAAACACTGAGATAAAGACTGTTCCTGAACAAATAGCCTGGATGTGTCACAACGGAAAGGTTGATGATATTCTTGAGAGATACAAGAATTTTGCACCAAGACTGTAATCTTTTGTTGAATTATCCACATGTCTCTTGCAAATTGTCTATACAGTATACCTAGGTCATAAAAGTATTTGTGTGTACGTCTGATACCATACTACATGTGTAAAGGAGGAAATGTATATGTTTATCTCTCAGAATGTTCGGTAATACGTTTATTGCTTGTGATGTGTGTCTATGTATGTATTAACACGATGTACTGAACGGGGTGAGAATAGCTTGAGCTACCTCATCCCTTTGTGTGTATTTTACCTCAATAAACTTATTTCAATTTTCAATTTCAACGCCGTCTTGTAGCTCGCCAATGCACAGACCTTCCTGCAGCCCCATCAGAGTTACGACAAGCCATACGCCACCCACAGTTCTACATGGCGAACAAATCCACTACACCGCCTGTAGCAGGCTTCAGAGTCCTTTCCTCAGTCACGTGGCCAATTTGACTTCTGTTCTCGCCAGAAATAAAATCACTGGTCAAGTGCTGTTGGTAACTCCGGAAACCAGATCAACCCGGTGATGACCAAACCCATTTAAAATACTACATTATAAACAATATGATTCACGTTTCCTGTGACGACGTTTCACCCTATTTCCACATGATCCTTTGTAACAATATAAACATGTCGCGGTGAACTCCTCTTCCAAATGACGGGAGACATCTCCTGTCACGCAGGGTGCAGTTGCACCTCCACAGATCTCCAGTATCAGCTCTTGATATTGATAATGGCCCAAAAGGGCCACCACTTATGGGCTATTCATGCCCGTGCCACTTTTTGGGTGGCTTAATCTTCACCAATCCTCTTCCAGTCTGTCACACAAACAAGTGAGCTTTGATTCGAAGCTGACCAGAAACTCTGAGCTTTGCTTCAACCTAATGCATTTTTCTCAATATTGATTCTGCATATTTAAATGTTTTACTCTTTCTTGAATCAACCTTATTCATATTTCGTCATTCTCTATTGCCTGTTTTTCTCGGTTATACTGAAGTTTATTTTCCTTCGTGAAGACATTTCCGGTCACTTCAGCTCTCCAGTAAACTTCCCCTGCCGAGTATTTTCCCAGAACCTTCAATATGGTATCATACCAATTCTGTTCTCAGAGTAACACACGTTACACAAATAATAACTTTTATTTGCTATGGTGTGGTTTATGTGAGGACTCGTTACCCAGACAAAGTTGGGGGACTTTTGTTGATTTTGTGACAGTCAATGACCCTATTGTTGCTTGGTAATGACTGAAGGATGATGGGTAATAAGAGAGTACTATTGGTAGTACGAACAGAGGTATTAAGGATAGCATTGTAGTTGTGGTGTTATATTGTAGTTTGGGTTGTTAAAGTGTTATAACATGGTAGGTGAAATCAGTACCGTAGAGCGGGGGGGGGGGGGGTAAATAGTAAAAGAGAATAGAGGAGGAGAGAGAGAGAGAGAAAGGGGAGGAGGAGAGAGAGAGACAGAGAGAGGGGGAGGAGGAGAGAGAGAGAGAGAGAGGGGGAGGAGGAGGAGAGAGGGGGGAGAGAGAGGAGAGGGGGAGAGAGAGAGAGGGGGGGGGAGAGAGAGGAGAGGGGGGGAGAGAGAGGAGAGGGGGAGAGAGAGGAGAGGGGGGAGAGAGAGGAGAGGGGGAGAGAGGAGGAGGAGAGGGGGAGGAGAGGGGGAGAGAGGGGGAGGAGAGGGGGAGAGAGGAGGAGGAGAGGGGGAGAGAGGAGGAGGAGGAGAGGAGGGGGAGAGAGGAGGAGGAGAGGGGGAGGGAGGAGAGAGGGGGAGAGAGGAGGAGAGGGGGAGAGAGGAGGAGGAGAGGGTGAGAGAGGAGGGGGAGAGAGGGGAGAGAAACAGAAGATTAGAAATGAGAGAGAGGGGGGAGAAGATATGGGGGGAGGGAAGAGGGTGTGGGGGGGGCGGGATATGGGCGTGGGAGGCTGGCTGGTCGACCGGCCGGGGTGGCAGGATCGATGGGGCTCACACGTGAACAGGCCGGCGGGAACAAGGGTCCACCTACCGGCCGGCTGAGCCTCCCTCACAATACCTACACGAAACCCGCCGTCTTTACGCTATGCCTCTTTCTCCTCCCAGACGTGCCACCTATAATGTAACTGCACTAAGCTGCTTTAGGATTATCTGGTCTCAACTCCCATCATCCTCCCTAAACAGGACATCTTCCACAGTCGCATTGTGTCGTTGTCCCTTTAATTTCCTCATGTCATTCATTAAAAACAATACGAATAGCATCTCTTAAAAAGTCACACGTTTTATACATTATCGTACGTTCACATGTCGTGGGGTTTTATGACTGCGTGATCTTCCGGCTCAGCAATAGCTATGGCTTAGTGGAGCAAATGGCTAAGGAGCCAAACTGGAGTAAATACTTTTATAAACATACACTTTTTCTAACATAGCAAAGTATTTCAATTCCTTCATAACATAAAATGTATGTTTCAACCTGTAGTTTACTTGTAGTTTCCTGTAGTAGGTGTCGAGAGTTTAACAAACAAGGCCCAGCTGGGGCCAGGCTTGTCCTGTGATAACTTATCTGAAACCTTCCAGTATTTTTCATATTACACACACAGGCTACGAGAGGTAAACCTTACGTCCCTGGAAGACAGAAGAGTAAGGGGAGACATGATAACCACCTACACAATTCTCAGGGGAATTGATAGGGTAGACAAAGACAAACTCTTTAGCACGGGTGGGACAAGGGGACACAGGTGGAAACTTAGTACCCAGATGAGCCACAGACATTAGTAAGAATATTTAAGTGTCAGTAGTTAACCAAAAAGGAATGCATTAGGCAGTGATGTGGAGGAGGCAGACTCCATACACAGTTTCAAATGTAGATTTGATATAGCCCAATAGGCTCCAGAATCTGTACACTAGTTGACAGTTGAGAGGCGAGACTAAAGAGCTAAAGCTCAACCCCCGCAAGAACAACTAGGCGAGTACTAGATGGGATGCTGGGGTCATGCTTGATGGGGTTCTGGAAGTTCTTCTACTCCCCAAGGCCAGGCTTGAATTCTGAGAGCTTGGTCCAACAGGTTGTTGCTCGGAGTGGGCCGCAAGCCCACATATTCCCCACAGCCCAGTTAGTTTTCTTCAAGAACTGCTGTACTATCTAGTTTTATCTTGAAGATGTCAAAGGTTGTTCCAGCAATATTTCTTCTACTTGCTGGAAGGATGTTGAACAACCATGGTCATCTTATGTTTATGCAGTGTTCCCTGATTGTGCCTATGGCACCTCTGCTCTTCACGGGTTCTAATCTGCATTTCTTTTTATATCGTTCACTCCAGTATGTTGTTATTTTAATGTGTAGGTTTGGGACCTGGCCCTCCAGTATTTTCCATTGTTGTAATGAAACCCACATTTTTATGAATAACCAATTGTTCAATTTGTGTACTGTTCCATAGAGGTAAAAGTTGCCTATCTCTGGAACATAAGACAGCATAAAAACCTATAGTGCCTGCACCAGGGCACAGAGCAAAACAAAAATGCACACACACACACACCGCAACTCTTCCTATTACACTTCAAAGGCATACAGAAAATTAAAGGTATCTAATAGAAATGTGTTAGAATAAATATTATAAAATAAAATGTAATTGTTCATTGCATGATTCGTACAATAGTCATTAGAAAAACACATTTGTAATCATCAGTTTAAAAGAGTTTTAATTTAATTTTTCTTTTCAAGTGAATATCAGGGTTTTAAGCTGTAGGATGACACCGGGTTAGACACCTAGCAAGATGCAGTATGGGTAGTAAAGGGAGATCAGAGACTGCTACCAAAATCAGGTTAGTTTCAAGTCAATTCTATCAGGTCAATTCCATGTAACACCAAAACATGTATTGGTTACAATATATGTATGTATATGCTGTACCCAGTAATTACTCTCTAATTCATATCATACAGGGCAGATCCTCATCCAAATTAGATGGATATCCGAGTCACCAAGAGTTCTTATGGCGCTTGTAAAGATAATGAACAAATAGAATTTGCATTTATTGTACATAAATAATAAGTTACAAAGTTATGGTAGCATCTTCACAAAAATATAAAAAAGTGAACTACAGTAACAAAAATTTTAACTTACCTTGATGGAGTTCAAAGCTGTTTTGTTCACCCTCAGATTAGAATACAGTACAGTATTATATGTTGCCAATGAGAAATGTATAACACACATTCGAACTGAAGGATAATACAGTACTGTATACAGGTATATATATTTTGCATGAAAATATAAATAAAAAGTGTGCCTATTAGCAGTTTAATCAACCTAACCTAACCCTAAAACTACTGTACAAAGACTTAGAAAATTAAATTTTGACTGCCAGATGCCAAGACTTTGCTGGCTGAAGGTCTTTGGCATTCAGATCTTGCCAAATGAATATATTTTAACTCCTCTCATTTTTCATTGACCCCCCTTGATCATTACTTATCCCACCTATATTACAGTATGAACATAAACTTAAAAAACTGGATTTTTCACTACTGGAAGCATATTACTATAACTGTCATAAAAAAAAACAATCACAGTGCTTATGAGAGGTAGTACTGTACAGTATTCATTTTGTAGCGAGCCAGAGAAAAATGGCCCATTAAATTTTTAGGCTCAGTATGGAACATTGTATGTACTAAGCAAGACTGTGTATGTTAGGCCTAGAACAGATCAGGATAGTTTCATGGTTACTTTGTTCCACTTTTGTTATACATTTTATTATCCCAACAGTATTAAACACTAACGGTTTTGGTTACAAGACCATATTTTGTACACTCCATCCAAGATAGAGGGCATATAATGTATAGGTTTTATTATTTTGGTGGATTGGATCTACTTTTATGGGGGCTATTTTGCACATTAAATCATGCATACTGGTCTCTTAAGGAATTATTTCAATAGCCAGACTTATAGCTAATCTAATAATTTCCAGACAAAGATCATGATGTGTTAGGGGCGCCTGACAGCTGGGTGGACAGCGCTTCGGATTTGTAGTCTTGAGGTTCCGGGCTCAACCCCTGCAAGCATAACTGTGCGAGTACCTAGCAGTAAATAGATGTCCATGGGTTAGTCAGATTGTTGTGGGGTTTCATCCTGGGGAAGGTCTGTAATATGACCTCAACACTGTATAAGCCTAACTTGTATACATACACTGGCTGCCTGTCCAACACAATGAATTATTATTATTATATGTATATTAACATGGTTTATCTTTTTATTTAATAATAGCCAGAGAAATATAAAATAATTTTAATTACTGTGTATAGGGAAGATTAAAATGAAGTGAAGCTTAATTCAAGCGAAGAAGGTTGAATTAAGCTTCTCTGCATTTGTGTTACTCATGTGGCCCCAACAGTGAGGTGATTTGATGAAATATCTGTACCCTAAACTTAACCATCGAGTGCTGTCGGGGGTTGGGTTAAAAGTGTCACACTTCCAACCTTTTTGTAGTCGGTATAGTCTAGTTGGTATAGAACTGGATATGCTAGGGTTCATGGAGCCCTGGCTGTTTGGATCCAAATCCTTCAGGGGTGAGGAGTTTTTGGGTTAAAAAAAAAAAAATCACACACACTGAATGTAACACAGTGAGTGTAGTGTTTAATGTGAATAAATGCCATGTTATGGAATGTGGAATTGGAGAACATAGACCCCACACAACCTATAAATTATGCGAGAAATCTTTAAAGAATTCTGACAAAGAAAGGGATCTAGGGGTGGTTCTAGATAGAAAACTGCCACCTGAGCACCACATTAAGAACATTGTGCAAGGAGCCTATGCTACACTTTCTAACCTCAGAATTGCTTTTAAATACATGGATGGAGAAATACTAAAAAAATTGTTCACGACTTTTATTAGACCAAAGCTGGAATATGCAGCGGTTGTATGGTGCCCATATCTTAAGAAGCACATCAACAAACTGGAAAAGGTGCAACGACATGCCACTAAGTGGCTCCCAGAACTGAAGGACAAGAGCTACGAGGAGAGGTTAGAGGCATTAAATATGCAAAAACTAGAAGATAGAAGAAAAAGAGGCGATATGATCACTACGTTCAAAATAATAACAGGAATTGATAAAATTGAGAGGGAAGAATTCCCGAGACCCGGAACTTCAAGAACAAGAGGCCATAGATTTAAACTTACGAAACAAAGCTGCCGGAGAAATATACGAAAATTCACTTTTGTAAATAGAGTAGCAGACAGTTGGAACAAGTTAAGTGAGCAGGTGGTGGAGGCCAAAACCGTCAGTAATTTCAAAGCATTATATGACAAAGAGTGCTGGGGAGACGGGACACCACAAGCGTAGCTCTCATCCTGTAACTACACTTAGGTAATTACAGTATATGTAGGCATCAGTCAATCCCCTGTGGTTATGGAGTTGTACCCTGTGTGTCTAGTTGGATGCAGCGTCTGCTGTTGCTGTGAAGTCCAACCCGAGAACGGCAGTTCCGATCGCAGCGAGTGCAGATAAATGCCGAAGCGGTCGAGTCCATCAGTGGTCAAGACGTCTTCTGAAGTCTCTCTTCCTCCGCCTGCCTCTTCAGTTCACCCTCGAATTGCTGGACTCCCTTCTGCACTTTGCATCTCCAGGCAGGTCTGCCCGAAGCTGCTGCCTCCCAAGTGTTAATAGATAGATAGATTTATATACAGTACTGTATATTATATACAGTATTAGTATATTTTGGTAGCAGTCTTTGTTGCCAACGTATGTTGTTGAATATGACCGAAAGGGTAAGATTAATGGTTCCAAAATGAATGTTTTCAATATTTCTTATGTTTTTCTTCACTGTTGGGGAAAAGTTAAAAAATTAACTCTCCAAAGTTCATTTAAACACGTAATTTTGGTCTGACGTTTAGGAATGTATTTCGCAAGGTCATGCTTTACATTCTCAGACTAATTTACCATGCTGTTGTTGTTGTTTTAGATTCAGCTACTCGGAACGAAATGTCCATGTAGCACGGGCTATGGTGAGCCCATAAATTTACCATGCTTTTGCACAGGCTTATATCCTCTTTGGGCGAGGTGGTACAGAACAAGTGGATGAAAGGCATAACATAGGGGATACTGATAGGGTATTCCATGTACCAACATAAGCACCTTATGTTCTTGCAGCTGCTTGCGCTTCTAAGGCAGGGTCATTGGATCCTGTCTTTGCATTGGCTCGGGGTTTTGAAGTGGGTATAATTCTTACATTCTACCCACTTCAAGATCCCAAGCCAATGCAGAGACAGGATCCAATGACCATGTCTTAGAAGCACAAGCGGCCGCAAGAACGTAAGGTGCTTATGTTGATGTATGTAATATACAGGTACTATAAAAGTTGGCACCATACAACTGCTGCATATTCCAATTTTGTCCTCAAAAAAGTCATGAACAGTTTCTTTAGTATTTCACCATCCACGTAATTAAAAACAAGTCTGAAGTTGGAAAGTGACGCATATGCTCCTCTCACAATGTTCTTTGTGTGTTCCTCTGGTGACAGTTTTCTATTCAAAGTCATAATACACTCATGACTGTATTGTGGTGATGACTGTGGTACTGGTTATCCTGACCTTAGCAACACTATTGTGATAATGGCTGTGAATGATTGTTGCCACCAGAGGCGGCTAATTTATTGTTCACCCAAAACTCATCCTGTGAGCGGTATGGCAAAAAGGATTACAAAGGGCACAAAAGGTCTTTACCAGACCTCAACAGAGATTAATACATTAACAATTTCATTTATCCTTCACACCTTATAATTAATGTCAGCTAGTTACAGAGAATTTACTATTTCATGAGCTATATATTTACAGTTATACATGAATGGTAGGTCTTATTGCCAATAAATAATTGTTTGAGCAATGGAGATATTACAGAGTCATAGGGGAGCTGTGTTACTGGATATCATGACCTCAGCAACACTATTGTGGTGATGACTGTGGTACTGGCCCTTTGCAACAAAGGTGTCATTCTGGCCCTCTGTAACAAAGGTGTCACCCTGGCTCTCTGCAACAAAGGTGTCACCCTGGCCCTCTGCAACAAAGGTGTCACCCTGGCCTCTGCAACAAAGGGGTCACCCTGGCCCTCTGCAACAAAGGTGTCACCCTGGACCTCTGCAACAAAGGTGTCACACTGGCCCTGCAACAAAGGAGTCACCCTGGCTCTGCAACAAAGAAGTGTCACCCTGGCCCTCTGTAACAAAGGTGTCACCCTGGCCCTCTGCAACAAAGAGGTCACCCTGGCTCTACAACAAAGGTGTCACCCTGGCCCTCTGCAACAAAGAGGTGTCACCCTGGCCCTGCAACAGAGGTCACCCTTGCTCTACAACAAAGGTGTCACCCTGGCCCTCTGCAACAAAGAGGTGACACCCTGGCCCTCTGCAACAAAGAGGTGTCACCCTGGCCCTCTGCAACAGAGATGTCACCCTGGCCTCTGTAACAAAGGTACCACCCTGGCTCTACAACAAAGAGGTGTCATCCTGGCCCTCTGCAACAAAGGTGCCACCCTGGACATCTCCAATACTATCACTGTGATCCACCATAGTGTTAGCGTGACCTTCAAGTACCACAGCGTGGACGTGTACAGTGTTACACCCTGGACCTGCAGTGGTCACTTAGACCCTAGTCAGTGTCACCCTGGCACCTCCACCACCCTTCCCTTGACGTCCTCGCCCTGGAGTATGACCCTCGAGTATTGTAGGTTCACGCTAGCTGTCAAGTATCACCCTGGAGTGTTACTGGGGCCGTGGAGAGTGAGGTAGAGCAGGTGACGGTGGGTTAGGGTGTGTGGCGAGGTTCCACCGCCACATACCACTTGCCACCAGTGTGGGCCCGTCACCCGCACGGTATATCATGAGGGAAATTGATCCTTGAGCGCTGAGGAAACGTGGAGGAGCAGCAGCAGGAGGTGGAGTGGTGGCTTCCTCACAGCCTCACACCGCCCCTTCCCTGGCCCATACCTGCCTTACACACCTACACCACCACAACCTACCCGCACCACCACACACACATGGCTAATAAAGATGTCTTACCTTCAAAGCATTGAGGTCGATGTCATCCAAGCTACAGTTCACAGACTGAGCCATTTTGATGTAGACAAACTTAAAAAAATTATCTGTAACGCTACGTGTTTTCCTACATAACTCGCATCTCTACACACAATGCACACTTCCCTTCATTATTGGCCACACACTGAGCACCTTTTGATCACTTCCAATAGCAAATTAATCCAGCAGTTGGCCCGACGCCCCGCTCACTCCCAGCACAAATGGCTATCTGGCGAGGGTTCCGCCTCGCTCACCTCACCAGCCCAGACTAGCCCCATGGAGGACACAACCTCGCCCGCCTCCTGGAGACAACTCATCATATCTCACACACCTCAAACACCACTCAATACATAACACATTAAACAAAAACTTAACACATACTTATATATATTCGTCATGCACAAAATCAAGAAAGATGATAATCTTGGGGTTATTTTCGTAGATTTTCTCCGTGAATAGTTCGTCAGGTTCCTCATCTGGCGAATTTAAGCAGGAAAGCCAACCTTACACTTGTAAACTTAAGTCACAACCTTGGGCTCGTTAAACTTTATAATCTAACGTTAATTAACACATTCTTAAGCATGTACTCTTTATTAATTATAACGATTATTATAATTAACACATCAGTACTAAAGAGAAGGGTGTTTGAGAAGACATGTGTTGGTACCTCTGTAGGGCGCGGTGAGAAAAACAATTACCAGAAGAAACTGAAAAAAGGATAAGAACTTTAACAAGGATGTATGGAGAGGGTGATGGGGTGACACTGGTGGGGGTGAGGGGGTGAGGGGGTGATGGGGTGACACTGGTGGGGGTGATGGGGTGACACTGGTGGGGGTGATGGGGTGACACTGGTGGGGGTGATGGGGTGACACTGGTGGGGGTGATGGGGTGACACTGGTGGGGGTGATGGGGTGACACTGGTGGGGGTGATGGGGTGACACTGGTGGGGGTGACGGGGTGATGGGGTGACACTGGTGGGGGTGATGGGGTGACACTGGTGGGGGTGATGGGGTGACACTGGTGGGGGTGACACTGGTGGGGGTGAGGGGGTGACACTGGTGGGGGTGAGGAGAGTCTGACACTGAGGAGGGGATAATACTGGCTGTTGTTGGTGATTTAGGAGCCATGACGGCAGAGGTGCCGGATATGTGCCCCGGCGTACCCTTGTAGGGTAAATCACAAAACCGTACGGCTAAATGGACGTAGCTTGTCGGCGGAAATGAATGTTACTTGCGGTAAATAAACACGGATAGGCAGATGATTGAGAAGCCCCAGGAAGGCAAGCACCGGCCCCACCCCCCACTGAGTAGTCAAGGCAAAACTATGCCCCTCCGAAAATCGTACCCAAATGGGTGAAAACGCAAAATAAAGTCTTCCAGTGCCCTCTGGTGGAGCAGGAGCCACGCAGCCGCTCACATCACCCTAAGGGCACACCAGGAGCCCTCTACGCCTTGAGGGCACACCAGGAGCCCTCTGCGCCTTGAGGGCACACCAGGAGCCCTCTACGCTTTGAGGGCTCACCAGGAGCCCTCTACGCCTTGAGGGCTCACCAGGAGCCCTCTACGCCTTGAGGGCACACCAGGAGCCCACTACGCCCTAAGGGCACACCAGGAGCCTATCACGCCCTGAGGGCACACCAGGAGCCCTCTACGCCTTGAGGGCTCACCAGGAGCCCTCTACGCCTTGAGGGCACACCAGGAGCCCACTACGCCTTGAGGGCACACCAGGAGCCCACTACGCCCTAAGGGCACACCAGGAGCCTATCACGCCCTGAGGGCACACCAGGTGCCTACCCCGCCCTGAGGGCACACCAGGACCAACCAAGACCCGCCAACTCTTGGTCAAGCCGGCGCCGGACACCGAAGAACAAGCCAGAACGCGTTTAAATTCTATCAACTTCCCTGAGACCCCAGGTGATAAGTGCGCCAGGTGTCGTAACCATCTGAACCGTTGAACAGGAATGCCTGACGACGGCATAAAGTCCCTAGTGGGTAAAATCTCATTACTAGTCACTCATTTCACTAGTCTTAAGTGTTTTTCCCACACCTTGCCCGAAACGCTTTGCGTAATAGAGGCTTTAGGCATTGTATGTACTAGCTCTATCCATAAATCCAACAACATGTTTGTATCTCATCTTGTATATATGCACTTTACCTGAATAAATATTTGATTTGATTACCCCGGCTTCTGTATTGACAGCAGAGGAGCGTTAGAGTCTTTAAATAGCAGACGCCCAGTATACCAGAATATTGTGATAGAGTGCAGAGAGAATGTTAAGAAATTAGAAAAAACTGGGTATAAAATAAAATTCACGTGGATCCCTTCACATGTGGGAATACTGTTGAATGAGGTAGTTGATGACATAGCGAAGAGAGCCACGGAAAAAACTCTTATTGATGTTGTATGTCAGTTAACCTTGAAACAAATAAAAACAAGAATCAAGATGATCCAAGAGGGTGAAGAAATGATAAAGAGAATGGCAATGGTGGACAGTAGTAACACACTTAAGAATTATTCAGTAATAAATACAAACTCGTACTTCACCTGTGGTAAAGGGAAGTCTTCTTGGAAGGATTCAATTTACATGAGATTAAGACTAGGATACAAATATATCTGGCAATACGGTGTTGATGTCAGTGTATGTCGCACGCCCACACCTTAGAACATTATGTATTAGGGTGTCAACTTATTGATAACTATAGAAATAAGGAAATAAGTAGTGTACGACATCAAATTGTTTGGATGTGTGATAATGGTATGATAGACAGCATACTTAGGAGCTACAAGAATTTTGCCCCAAGAGTGTAACAATTATATGCTGTACTTACTATATTAACCTGCAATGTTAAATGGGGTTCTTGTAATGTTAATTGTCTATTTGTACTTACTGAATTTGTGCGCCCCTTGAGGGACTTGAAGTAGAAGGGGGTAGAAATAGCCTAAGCTACTTTATCCCTTTGAGATGTATTTCTTTCTTATCTCAATAAACATACTCGAACTTGAACCATATACTACATATACAAATAATCGCCAACAGAACCTGAACACCTAACTTAACCTATGCCTATGTATGCACAATATGCTAATATATTATAATATTAATTTATATTTGAGAAAATTCATGTTTTGATTGAACAGCATGTTAAAATAATGAATGCATCTGTGGGGTCGACCGCTGGATGTAATGGTCTGAGGACGGGTTGACGCTCCTAAGTCATTAATAACAACACTAATAATAATAATTAATAACAGTTAATAACAATAATTATTATTAATGAATTGAGGGCCCTGAGGTAAATTGTTCAGTATTTTGAACGTTTCAAGGAGATCAGCCCTGTCATGTCTGGTTTGCAGTGTTCTTAGCCCTGTGGCCCTCAACCTGTCGAACTATTTTTGTTGCCCGGTGTTGAACTTTCTGCAAAGCAGCTGTCTTCCTGAAGATGAGGTCTCCATGCCTGGATGCAATAATCCAAGTGGGGACGCACTGATGATATTTGGGTTTCTTGAATTTTTCTGGCAAGGTTAGCACCAATTGATGAAAAGAAGCTATTAATTTTAAATTCAATTGCCGTTTATCTGTTGCAAGTATGAAACCATCCTTTGAGAGTTTTATATGTTTGTTATGTAATTGTTATTTAGATCCTAGGATGTTATAAACGACTTTCCATGTTTCTATTTGCTTTTTTGAATATAGTTTCAAAATAGGAAAGTTTAGCTCTTCTTATTATACTGGTAATTGAGTATCTTTTAACCAGCTCTTTTGTATGAGGCCAATAGAATGTATTTTATATTCGTATATCTTGTTAATTGCTTTAAGTTTGCCACTTATGAGCCAGCAGGTGTTGTTTAATCTTTTGGCAGTAACTTGCCTAGTGAGATTTAGTGACTTGTCTGAATCTTATCTATCTTGTGACTTATCTATGACAAATCACTTAAACTTCAGTGAGATCACCACTTTTATGGGCTGGATTATTTTTTTTTTAGAATATGAGGGAAGGTTCGGAGTTCAAGTGATTTGTTGTAGAGCAATGCAATGGCTGGAGCTAAATTCCTTGAAGGGTGGCCTGGGGGGGGGCACCACAATGGGGGGTTGGTGCTGGGTCAGGAAGGTGGTGGGGGGGGGTGGGGGATAGTCGATCCGACCATAACTGTTCGGATAACGTCAGTTCCGTACACAAAGCACCAGTTCGGTCACTGATATTTTTGTATACACGAACCCTTTCGTATATAAATATGCGCTGGCTCCTGTTCGCTGCTCAATTCAACACTCAATTTTTTTTTTTTTGAGATATATACAAGAGTTGTTACATTCTTGTACAGCCACTAGTACTAGTACGCGTAGCGTTTCGGGCAGGTCCCTGGAATACGATCCCCGCCGCGAAGAATCGTTTTTTCATCCAAGTACACATTTTACTGTTGAGTTAAACAGAGGCTACAGTTAAGGATTTGCGCCCGCCTTCTCATTTGTTTCCTTGTAACTTGTAACACTTATATGCTGTGCTTCCTATTTTAACCTGCTATGTTAAATGGGATTCTTGTATTGTGATTTGAGTATTCGTACTCATTGAATTTGTACGCCCCTTGAGGGACTTGAAGAAGAAGGGGGGGGGGGGAAGTAGCCTAAGCTACTCTATCCCTTTGAGATGTATTTTTTTTATTGTCTCAATAAACATACTTGAACTTGAAGTGGACTTTAATGTTTTTTCGGCAGCTTTATTTCCTTAGTTTCCGAGCTGTTATCTTTACCGTGTATGTTGTAATAAACTATTCCTATATTTACAGTTGTTTCTCCCTGTGAAGATTATTAAACAATTATGATTATAAGGGCGCGGAAGTTCAGCCTGGCCAGGGCCGCCAGCAGCCCTTGGGCCCGCCCCGGCAGCTCCCAGTCTTTAATTTGGCACCTTTGTGGCACCTCGGTATAAGCCTAACATGTATATATACACTGGCTGTCTGTCCCCTTACACAATGATTTATTATTACCTATTATTTTATCATTTAATTTAAATATTAAATAAAATAATTAATTTAATTATTATAGTAAGTACTTAATAATTTAATAATAAGTAGTAAGTACATAAAAATTATTAAAAAGTACAGTTTAGTCATAGGAGATTCCTAGATTGGAATTCACTACCAAATTTCAATATATCCAAGTATTTTTAGTGTGAAATGCTGTTATTATATGCATAAATTGTTGTTTTAATAATATTACGCTTAACCACTTGGGCTGGACGGTAGAGCAACGATCTCGTTTCCTACAGGTCAGCGTTCAATCCCCGACCGCCCAAGAGCTTGGGCACCATTCCTTTCCCCCGTTCCATCCCAAATCCGTATCCTGATCCCTTCCGAGAGCTATATAGTCGTAATGGCTTGGCGCTTTCACTTGATAGTTCCCCCACCCCCCCTGAATAATATTACGAGAGCAGTATTTACGGGCTATTCATGCCCGTGCCACCTCTTGGGTGGCTTAATCTTCATCCTTCGAGAGCAGTACGTCCTAACCAGACGTTATATGATGATATCCTGAACAGTTGATAAATAAAAGTAATTGCGGAAATCCAGTTTACTTATGCATATCATAAATGGTATAAAACCTTATCATAAGCCAAGGGATTTGTAGATCAGTGTTTAAAAGGGAATTCGGAAGTAATAATAAGACAGCTGATGCCATCTGTCGGCAGAAGAGAACACTATCAACTGGCTGGTCAATAATGGCCATAAGATACAGCTTACGCCATCTGTTGACATCAAATTACACTTATAACAAATTACCCCACAAAATACAACTAGCGCCATCTCTTTTTTTTCCAACGCACTATAAATAGCCAAACAGCAACCCATAAGGCGGGTTGTTGTGCTCGGGTAGGAGGTTCCAAGCTCCGCCCACAAGTGGCATGGGGTGCATAATAAATGGCATATCATTGGTAGAAACTCTTTGTTGACATTCACACAACAGCGAATCACAGGAAGGGATCAGCTAAAGGCTCCATCCATTTAATAAATCATCTTTATTCAGCACACCATCCTTGCTTATGACATTCTGCTTCAACTTTAATCTACCTAAAAAGTGAAATGTTAAGCATTTAAAAGTATTAATATAGTGATAATTAAATATTGCAGGATGTAACAGGTGTTACAGAAACATGGGTTATAGGCTACCTAACTTGTGACGTCATCAGTGGGAGTTGCCTCACACAAATAATATCGGCGATACAATGCCTCCGCCCTCTTATTGCTCTACATTATTCAGTTAGATGCAAATTTCTGTTTTGTATAAAACAGAAATTGTTGTTATTCTGTACAACAACAAGGTTAATGAGCAAAAGGATGTATTTCTTATTTTGCCTTTTATTCATATAAGCGTTGGCATTCCCCGCAACAGCCAATCACAGGAAGGGACTAGCTAAAGGCTCCATCCACTTAATAAATCTTCTTTATTCAGCACACCATCCTTGCTTATGACATTCTGCTTCAACTTTAATCTACCTAAAAAGTGAAATGTTAAGTATTTAAAAGTATTAATATAGTGATAATTAAATACTGCAGGATGTAACAGGTGTTACAGAAACACTTTGCTGGCTACCTAACTTGTGACGATATTATTGGGGGTTGCCTCACACAAATAATGATACACTGCTCTGCCCTCTTGTTCGAGTAAATTATTCAGTTAGATGGAGATTTCTGTCATGTGCAAAACAGAAATTGTTGTTCTTTTTCACAACAACCTTGTTGTTGTTCACAAGGACCTATTTCTTAGTTTAAATTTTATTCATAAAAGAGTGTTGGTATTCCCCGCAACAGCCAATCACAGGAAGGTATCTCTGGAAGCTCGGCCTCCTTATGGACTCAATACATCGATCTAGCTCATGGCTCTCTGTTTCATCTCTTGTATATACAAACTATGACTTTTCGATTACCGTTATAATTAATAATATGAGATATAAAAGTTTTTACACAAAATGGTTAAATTCTGCCATTAAATGGACTTTGTCTGGTACACATACAAACATACACCAATTTATTTCCATTCATCCATTATTAATTTCAAATGTAATGTATACTGTCTAGTTTTTTTCCTCTCGCCATTACTTGGTGCAATATTTGAAAATTGTCTATTTATTTATCGATCTATCTACTATCTTGTATTTATATTTACAAGTTTCTGTGCTTCGAAGAAAACTCTGCATTGAATTGGGACTAATTTATTAAATAATATTATTTAGTATTAATTAATATTTACAATTATTATTAATTACAATTTATTTATAGCTTAGTTACTTTCATGTAACTCGCAATCGTACATTCTTAACTTTAATAGCCAAAATTAGCACATCTTGATTTTAAATTAGCCCAAAAAGTAGCAAGTAGCGAAATTAAAAATTTGGGAGCTCGGGGCTCTCAAAAGTAGCCCAATTCGCTATTTGTAGCCCAATCTGGCAACACTGTGCACCACGGGGCCTGTTGACCAAATGACTAAACACTAGGCAACAGAAATTGATATTAAGTTAAGAATATGAATAAATAGATGGCACATTATCATATTATTAGCACTTCAAATAATGTGAAAGTTAGGTTCTTTTTCTTTGTCCTTATACAATTTAATGAATTGTTTAAGTTACAATTAGAAAATATTGTGTGTTAATGGCTTTGTAAGAATGGAAAAATACCAATCTTATGTAATCTCACATACCCATTATACTTTCTTGTAAATAAATATTATTATTATGAATAAAAATACTTTCCCTCCTTAACATCTTTATATTATAATAATCCCATCAACATATCTGCATTAAAATCACCAGCTAGCTCGTATCTTGTAACTCTATCAGCATTACCTAGCCTCAAAACCTTACAGTTGTCTTACACATCCTCAACAATAACTACAAAAAAGTAATTGCAAAACTCTAAACCAGTATGTTATGAAAAAAAAATTGCTGGGATATTACATAAGCTACAAGATTACTAGATCAGTTTTTAAAAGGGAATTAGGAAGTAGTAATAATACAGCTGGTGCCATCTATCGTCCGGAAAAAACACTATCAACTAGCCTGCCACAGTAGCCATAAGATACAGCTTATGCCATCTGTTGACATCAAATTACACCATCAACAAGCCACCATTTAAAATACAGCTAATGTTATCTGTTGCGTCGACATTGTACTATCAAGAGCCGAACAGCAGCCCATAAGGCGGGTTGTTTATTTATATATACAAGGAGGTACATTGGGATTGTGAGGATACATAGCATATAGTAATTATATTCTTGTAAAGCCACTAGTACGCGCAGAGTTTCGGGTTGTTGTGCTGAAGTAAGAATTCCCGCGCTTCCATGCCATTGGTAGAAATTCTTTGTTGACATTCACCACAAAATCCAATCACAGGAAGGGATCAGCTAAAGGTACCACCCACTTAATAAATCTTCTTTGTCTAGCACACCAGCCTGGCTTATGATATTTTGTTTCAACTTTATTCAACCCCAAAAAGTGAGGTGATACTTATTTAAGTGTTACTAGAGTGATAATTAAATATGGCTTGACATTACAGGTGTTATATACAAATGACGATATCTAACTTGTGATATCATCATCATCAGGGTTGCTCACACACAAATAACATTGATGATACTCTACCCTCTTATTGGACTAAATTTTTCAGTTAGATAGAAATTTCGGCCATGTACACAACAAAGAGGTTGTTGTACAAAAGAATGTATTTCTTATTTTGCATTTCATTCATGGAAACAGTGTTTACATTCCTCGCAACAGCCAATCACAGGAAGGTATTTGGTAAAAGCTCCGCCTTCTTATTGACGTCATCAGGAGTATTGAGTACACCGATCTAGCTTAAGGATCGGTGTACACCAGCAACATAAGTCCATGAAGAACATCACAATCCGGAGAGCTGATAACACCGCAGCCTTTTTCCTCATCCCGACTGATGAATGTCACCTGTTACGTGGGTTCCTATTTGGAAACCAGAGGTCAAATTGAGTTCTAAATAGTTGGATAAGAGGGATATTTAATTAACAATAACGTTTATATTCAGGGCTTCTCATACTTGATGCGTATTTGTCTGTCTTCCTTGCCAGATGTAAGACGAACCTTGTTATACACTGATTATTCAGACTCTGGGCTTGTTGATTATTAAATATAATATTGAACTAGTTATCAGCTATTCTTAGAACTGTTAAAGTAACTAGTAATGAATGTCGGTGAAGACTTGTATGTTTATGGCTGTACGATCAGCTAGGTATCATCCCGGACAGGCTTCCACTTGTTATGTGCTATGAATAGTACATAATTGCACTTATTTGTCTTCTTACATTTACCACCCCATTTTTGGAGGACGGGCTGACTAAACTGCAGGACCTTTAATTTAAAACAAATAATCACTGCTGGGAACATTGTTTCTTGGGGGCCGGGCCTATCTATTCCACTATTTTAGGAACATCTTGGCTTTAGCTATTGGCCCTTCTCAGTACAACATCCTGCCCCCCATAACACAGCCAGTTTAGTAGCTAATCATCTACTCCACTTCAACAGGATGAATGAATACACCTCAAACTCTAACTTATTTATTAAATTGGCCCCTTCTCAGTACAACCACCTGCCCCTCCATAACATCACCAAACTAAAATAAGTCTTCCAAGATAAGAGCAAATTCAAGAGGATTACCAGAAACCCAATTGAAGATATAATCCTCCTGCAAAAGGTCCAGGGTGACTACAAGCTAGGATACATTTACGGTAATGTCAGAACCCACAAGCGTGGTAAACCTCTACGATCCATCATCAGCGGGATTCCTACACCCACGTATAATCTACCTACACGACTCTACACTACTTAGCGCACAAGTATAAGTGCGCCCAAAATTAACACATAAGACATGTGGAAACAGGTTAAAACCTTCTGACTTTGTTTTAATTAATTAATATTACATGTTAAGCGTTTACCTTTGATACATATTGTTAGATATAAGTATAACTATCACTCATTAAATGTAATAGGAGTCTGCCCGAAACGCAATGCGTATTAGTGGCTTTAGGTATTGTATGTACTAGCTCTATCTATAAATCCAACATTATGTTTGTAAATCAACTATGTATGTATTTTTCCTGAATAAAATTTTTTATTTAATTTAATTTAATAACCTAGCTACGGCTTAGTGTTTTGTGCGCTCGATGACGTTTGTGGCCTGTAGAGCCTCCAGTGTTGTGTTGACACTGGCGGCGCCGTTCTTATCACGTCCGGATTATATCCATCACATCACTCAACTTGATAAGTATATATGCCTGTTAAGTAGAAGATTTTAACTGTTAATAGCATTATATTGTGGTTTTAATGTTCATATGTTTTTAATATTCATAATATTCATTATATTATGGTTTTATGATTCATAATGTTTTATAATGTTTTTTTTTATAAATCTATAGGAATTTCTATATACATTTTCTATATATAAATCCAACATTATGTTTGTTACTCCTTTTCAATATATGTGTACCTTCACCTGAATAAACATGTTATGTTATGTGTAGGATCCGTCACCGTGATGTGCAGCAAGTGACCAGCACCGAGATCCTCCAGGCCAGAGTAAGGTGAGGTAAGCAGCAGCCCCTTCACCACCTCCTCCTCTAGGCACCGGCACCACCTCCTCCAGGCACCACTCCACCTACTCCAGGCACCACTCCACCTACTCCTCCAGGCACCACTCCACCTACTCCTCCAGGCACCGGCACCTCCTCCTCCAGGCACCCCTCCACCTCCTCACTACCGGGCACTGTCACCTCCTCCTCCAGGCACCCCTCCACCTACTCCTCCAGGCACTGTCACCTCCTCCTCCAGGCACCCCTCCAACTACTCCTCCAGGCACCCCTCCACCTACTCCTCCAGGCACTGTCACCTCCTCCTCCAGGCACCCCTCCACCTCCTCGTAACTCACCAACAACATTAACACATCAACTAACATTAACACGGTGTGGACTCGTAATCGTTGGACACCAGACCAGCAACACTTGCAACATTGTGAGTACTTCATGCTTTAGTAACATTGTATGTGTGTGAGTAGTGCATGGCCTAGTCAACTAAATCTTATTTATTTAATTAGCATGTCAACTAAATCTAAACTTATGAATTTCTTCCTTTACACATGTCGTATGAAACCACAGCTGCAACAGTACCACAACACTACACCTGCTACTACCACCACACACCAGTGGTAGTTGCCAGTCGAGCCGGCAAGAGGGAGCCGGTTGGACGAGCGGACAGCACGCTGGACTTGTGATCCTGTGGTCCCAGGTTCGATCCCGGGCGCCGGCGAGAAACAATGGGCAGAGTTTCTTTCACCCTATGCCCCTGTTACCTAGCAGTAAACTAGGTCCTTGGGTGTTAGTCAGCTGTCACGGGCTGCTTGCTGGGGGTGGAGGCCTGGTCGAGGACCGGGCCGCGGTGATACTAAAGCCCCGAAATCATCTCAAGATAACCTCAAGATAACCACCACACCACACCTGCAACTACCACAACACCACACCTGCAACTACCACAACACCACACCTGCAACTACCACAACACCACACCTGCAACACATTTAAGTAATTACTAGCACAACATGCAATTGAGTTGTAGAAACGTAAGGAAATTATTGTTCCCTTTAAGGGTGGTCGGCAAGTGGAATGCATGGAAGAAAGGGTTGTTGAAGCTAATTCCATCCACAATTTTAAGAAAAAAATATGATGAAAATATTAATGTAATTAGAGAGGTAATTAGTGCAGCAAGTATAAATGACTAGGTAGTGTGACTTAAAGGGCTAGAGCTCACACTCCGGTTGTCACTGATAGGTAAGTTTTCACAACCACAATCCACCACATTTAATTTTTATTATAAAGCCTATTTCTGAGCTTTAATTGGGATACTGTATCTTTAAATGTTTAAATCCAGTATTCATTTACTGTATAGTCCAGTGTCAGCCTAGTACCTGCTGGATTATACTCCTGAGAATGTCATCTGAAGTGGAAATATTCATGATTTACATTTCTTTCAGCTAGTGTGTGAGTGGCAGTCATGAGGAGCAACAGCACATTGAGACTTGTTGGTGACAAAGTGATTCTTGTGCCATACAAGAAATTGCACGTGGAAAAGTACCACCAGTGGATGCTCTCACCGCAGCTCCAGGAGCTCACTGCCTCGGAACCTCTTACCTTGGAAGAGGAGTACCAGATGCAGCAGTCTTGGTTTATAGACGATGACAAATGCACCTTTATAATACTTGACAAAGGACTAATGCTGGAGACAAATTCTGAAGTTGAAGCCATGATTGGGGACACAAACCTTTTCTTGGTTGATCCTGGGGACAGATCTCTTGCTGAAGGAGAGATCATGATAGCTGAATCTGGGTTTCGCAAACAAAAACGTGGCTGGGAGGCAATGCTGCTCATGTTCCGTTATGGAGTCGAGGCTCTCGGAATCACAAGATATCAAGTTAAGATAGGGTTAAGCAATACCCCAAGCATAAGCATGTTTAAAAAAATGCATTTTGTTGAAGTAGGCAAGTCAGAAATTTTTCAGGAAGTGTCTTTAGAGGTACAGGTTAATGATAAGTGGAAAACGTGGTTATTGGAAAATACCAAATGTTATGATATTACACCATATGAAAATGGTAATGATAATTAATTTCCATACTTTATAGCTTGTGGAAATTAGGTACTTGTGACCTTGGAGAGCACTGATTTGTCACATGTATTGTTTATTTATTTATTGATATATACAAGAGTTCTTACATTCTTGTGCAGCTACTAGTATGCTTAGCATTTCGGTAAGTCCTTAATCCTGTTACCTAGAATATGACCCTGCGAAAAATCGTTTAACAACCAGTACCCATTTTACTGTTGAGTTAAACAGAGGCTACAGTTAAGGATTTGCGCCCAGTAAATCCTCTCCGGCCAGGATACCAATCCAGGACAAAGCATTCACGAAACGCCAGGCGAGCGTCTTAACCACTACACCACGGGAACATATGTTTAGCTTTAACCTGTTCTTTTTGTCTTGTTGAAATTATTCAGTCTGAAGAATATATACTGTACCATATTATCAGCATTGGAGTTTAAAAATTATGCCTAACGCCTAACTCCTTAAACGTTAAGATGCCTAACGGTTGCCAAACTCCTGGGTACTATTTACTACTAGGTGAACAGAGACATTAGGTGAAAGGAAATGTGAGCAACCATTTTTGTCCCACCCAGTAACTGAACTCAGCATCCCCAATTGTGTATCGAGAACAAAACCAACTCTACTTACCAACTGACCCTAATGTGTATATACACACACATATATACACACCTAATCAATTCAGTGTAACATATCTTACCCTCTAAAGGTCAATCTATGTTTTGCTATTATTGAACATCAAAGATGAATGACTGAACTTGTAACACTGCTGATATTTGAATTGTAAAAACTTAAACAGTTTTATTCCTTCTTTTTATTTAGTTTAAATTACTATTTGCTGTTCTGTTGCAGTTTCTGCTGTTTCATTTAACATGTAAATATTGTCACACTTTTTTTTTCCTACTTCAGTTCAATTTTAGCTTTTTGATCTCGACTAGTTTTAAGTCTGTTTTTAAGTTTATTTGTCCATATCTTGCCTGAAATGCTGTGCGTATTGGTGGCTTTAAGCATAGTGTATACTTGCTCTATCTAGAAATCCAACATTTTTCTTGTAACTCATTTTGTTTGTACATACAGTATTTTCCCTAAATATACATTATTATTATTATTATTTTTATATTATGTAAACATTCTGTATTACAATATTGGAAGATATTCAGATGTAAAGTTGTCATATCAAGCTGTGGTTCAGCTCATCCCATTATTTACAGTATTATCAATGTTTGTAGTAGGAGAAAGAGGTGGTGTGGTTCACTCCCTAACATATTTGGCTTTTGAATTTAAATATGTGGAAGGGAGGGATAGTGTCACTGGCACCCAAGGGAGTGCGGTGAGATAAAGCACACAGCCTTGTTCATGACTGGCACACACCCTGGCAGCTTTAGCATGTGCAAGGTGCATGCTACACATGGTGATTAACCCATAGTGCAATTATAGTGTGAATTAAAACACCATTTGAATCATCAGAAAATTGTCATATTTATTAAATACCATCATTTATTTTTCCACTATTTACATAATAATAAATCATAATTCATTATGTTGGGGGGACAGGCAGGCATTTTATACATAGAGTACATGTTAGGCTTGTATCAAGGTCCCCCTAAGGTCGAGTTACTGACCTTCCTCAGGATGCAACCCCACAACATGCTGTCTAACTCCTGGGTACCCATTTACTGCTAGGTGAATAGTTCCTTGAGGTGATAGGAAACATAGCCAATCATTTCTTTCCTGCCTGGGGTATGAACCCGAAATACTGTACAGTTCTCGATTGTGAGTCGAGAATGAACCCGACTGTACTACCGTGAACCCCCCCCTCCCCGGTTGTATGGTGGTGTCCTCACCGTTCCAAGTAAATGGAACTGTTGAATTTTTCTTGAAATTTCATCTGAAAATTGTGGGATACTTGTCCAAATACATGTATGGAAATAATAATAGCTGAACTGAAAAGATTATCAATTGCGTCATTTAGCTGGTGTTTGGCTATACTGTAGTCAATTGTAGACATACAGATGTTTAATACATAGTAGGATGTATTGTTTTCCATCAGAAATATTAAAGCTATGGCTGAAGTCATTATAAGAAAAGTAAGACAATTTGATTGCAAGCTGATGAAGAAGTTGATGCAAGAATCGGCTGAATATCAGAAATTCCCACTTTGTTCTATTATTACTACCTCAGGTAAATTTAATACATTTTTATTAAAGCATATAGTTTACTCATATGCTGATTTGTTTGTGTTTCATTTAATTTGTATTTTAAGGCAGTAAAGAGTCAGCCGCTTATCTGTATGAGACGTGCTCAAGGAAACTCGTGCAACTCAAATTCCAATAAAAAATTCATTTCCTCCACTTTTTCAAATAAACACCAAAGTTAATATCATAATACTCCCACCACTTTCCAGCCACCTCTTTAGTATTACATGTTTCATACCTTTTCAAATACTGCACTTGTCGATGTTAGTCCTGCACGTGTCACATCATTAATGCTGCACTTATCACACTGTTAATGTTGTATGTGTCACATTGTTAATGCTGCATGTAACATACCTCTTTAACCCTCTAACTACACATGTTATATTGATGCATTGCCTGTCATGTGCAAGAAAAATTGTTCTGAAAATTTTTGTTTCTCTTGATATTGTAAATTAGCATTCAGGAAGCACAAAAATATTCATATAAAAAAGTCTCTACCTAACATGGTTTAGCTGTCATGGCCTGTAGAAACTTTGTGGATTGTGAGGTGCCACACAGGCACCTCGTGGGGGTCTGAATGTGGTGCTGGCATGCTGCTCCCTTTTGAATTTTGGTGATCACGACCAGCCTATGTTCATCCGGTACACCAGACCATTCCCTCTGTCAATTTGGGTAAGGTTAGCCTCAACCATGTGGCCTCCAATTTTAGACAGACATTCTCTTATATGCAGGCGATGAGTTACAATAACGTGGCTGAAGTACGTTGACCAGACCACACACTAGAAAGTAAAGGGACGACGACGTTTCGGTCCGTCCTGGGCCATTCTCAATCTACTTCAGAATGGTCCAGGATGGACCGAAATGTCATCGTCCCTTCACTTTCTAGTGTGTGGTCTGGTTCTCTCTTATAGTTTAAATGTCACACGTCTTAATGCTGCATGTGTCACACTACCTCTGTTACACCACCTTGTGTATACCTGTAAAGTATTTGACTTTTATAATGCTTTCATACGTGATGGCTTCTTTTCTATGTCTATAGTCTTAAGTGTTGTCCTTATTTCCTTGTAATGTGTTAGTCAGCTTTTACTTAGATACTGTATACAGTATTATTATTATTCCTTGATAATGTAGTGAAACACAAAAACATTTGTAATTTTTGTTTCATTTTCCTAGTGGATAGTTATGCATAACCGAATCACATGTTTTTGTGATTATTCTTGCATATTATTATAGCTAGCAAGGCTTGTCTAAATACTGCCTTTTATACATATTATATATGCTTTATATATTTTCCACTACTGATTTGCTAAAAATTATCTCACTTTGAATTTTTCCTTTTTTAAGTAATTTCTTAATCCTTTGCTTTAGCATATAAACAGTAAGGGGGTGAACTAGCCTGGTTAGGCCTTAAATATAATAGCACTGTTGAGGGTTTACATGTGAAAACCTTTGCTGAAAATAATGAACAGATAATAGCTTCTGATTGACTGTTGGATGAATGGAACTGCCATATTTTTTTAATTGGATACATCCATGTCACTTTTGGAAAATCGAGAGTGCACTTTGCAATACTCTTCTCTTATAATAATTCTTAAAACTATACATACATTCCATTATACTGTTAATTCTGTTCAGTTTAACATAAAATCCTATCTCTTTTTTTTACACAGTAGAAACTTATCTACAGTACTTTAATATATTTTAACTAACCTCAAAGATTTAGTTACAGTAGAAGCATTTTGTTTATTATCATGAATGTACAGTATCTACCAGACATTTATACTCTGATCATGCAAAAGACTTGCCTGCAAGCAAACTGCAGTAAACAAACTCATACATAAGGAAAATGAATACTGTAGGTCCTCCATTGTTAAGATGTTTTTTGAACAACTGATATTATGTTAGCCCTGTATCATACTCATTACTGTTATATAATTTTTTGTTTACATTAGATTACATGGTAATGGAATTTAAAACCGACTGTTCTTATTGTTCTGTTATTATTAGATTTATTATTATTTTCAGAATTGGAGGAAGATGGATGGGGAAGCTTCCCTGCTTTTGAAGCACTTGTTGCAGAAGATAACAATGGTCTTTTAGTAGGGTATGCTCTCTACTACTATACCTACTCAACCTGGGAAGGACGCAGCGTGTTCATGGACGACCTTTATGTCACTTCCTCTCATAGATACAAAGGCATTGGCTTCAGACTATGTCAAAAATTTATTGAGGTTCTCTTAATTATTGCACTGTATAGTATTTGTAAAATTACTAATACCATATGTAAAATTGATTGAATTTCAAGAATATTAGTTTCTGTTGTTATAAGCATTGACAATGTGTAGGTTTTCATGGGGGTTAGGAGATACCTGAGAGGAAGAAAGAGTGGGTCCATCTGACATGACCATTCTTACTGCCTACCAAGCTCAGTACCATCACAAACCTATGGCACAACTCTCATTTATCTCCCTTAGATCATGGCTTATGTCATACATTAATATATTTTGCTTCACCCAGGGTGAATACTGCTTAATCATTCAGTAATATGTTTTTCATTATAGAAATTTGAAGAAATTAAATTTGACTTATAAAGCCTTAACATTACCAAGGCTTGATATTTCTTTGGCTATATTACCTAAGAAAATGATTAACCTTGTTATTATACATAATCATTAATTAGAAGAATTTTGGAGTACGTGGCACCATTGTGCCCAATAATATTTATTCACAATAATAAGCTGAAGGCCGTTTTTGGTATTTCTCTGGGGAAGCCCTTGGTGGCTTCCTGAAGGTATCTCACTGTGATGGCTGCTAATTACTAGGTCACATCAGCCACAAGAGTTCGTATTTGACCTACCAGAACCTGGCATCCTCTCACTGAGGTACAGAGAGCAAGTGACAGTCCACCACCCCACTGGGAAATGCATCCAGAAAATCAGTGAACCTTTACAGACAACTACAAAGTTCAAATAAAATGAAGTATCGAAACAACCAAACAACTCTGCAAATGATTCAAATGAAACAATTGGTTGACTCAAAACTAGCTTGAACCCATTAATGATGATAACCACCTCCAGGTGGCCTGGGCCATGTACACAGCTAACACCCGTGGATCAGTTCTGTTGTTGATGTGGTTGTATCAGCAACTCAGGTCATCATATTTCACAGCTTCTTAGGCCAAGTGCTGGTCATCCTTTGGAATTTGTCCTGCAGGGGCCAATTTGCTTGTGTATTGTTCTTTTCTTTGAGTGTTTGCTTCATGTACATTTTTTATATCCAACTTTGTTGTGTGGACTTTGCTTATTTTGCACTTTGAGTGGCATGAGCTCAGGGGTTTCTTTCTTGGGTGCTCATTAGCACTGCCTCATGCACTGACAGAGTTGCTTCTCTGGTATGTTCAAGAGTTTGACTGTTCAGAGAAGTGTTGACTCCTCTGTGCCCTTGGCTGGGGGCATCCTTTTTGTTTGTGCTTGGAGTGCACTGGAGTACGCATACAGGTACTTGATTAAACAGCATGCTGCGAACCCCTCCATAGCCTAGTATTGTATCTTTCAGCTACTTTCAATGTCTGTTCTTTCGGCGAGTCTCCAGTGCCTGGGGATCCTGCTTGGCTAGTTACCTTCAGGTCTTGTAATTAAGTGGTGGGGGAACCATGCTCAAGACCCCAGTGGGTTTTGGGTGTGGTTCATCATGAATTGTTGTCACTGCTATAGAATGACAGTCATTCTCTCTGCCTCCGCCATGCTGCCTGTTGGGTCGGTGACGCCTATGGCCCCGAGTTCTGTGGCATATGCTCTCACTGGGCCTCTGTTCTAACTGAACCAGCTTTAAGAACAGAAGCTTACCAGGCAGGAGCCAATTTCCAGTAGTCTTTTACACCTTTGTGCTTGTTTGGGTGCCCACAAGTTGGCCTCTAGTGTGCTTATGGCCCCTGAATTGGAGGCGATTGTGACCTCCACTTGGACTCAATCTGTGCTTCCTCTCTCTTCTCCGGCAGGTATGGTTCTCTCTGTTTCTGGTTCTGGCTCCGTAGAGTTTTGGTGGAGTTTTCACCTTTACAACCACCTCTTTACCTTGAGCCTTTTTTTGGGAGGATACCTTCTTTTTCAAGCATTGGGTGAGGACTATGGTTCTGCCCTGGAGCCTTTATGGTGGGCTTCCAGGACTGGGGAAGAGCCTGAGAAGGATCTCTGGGTGCCTTCCAGCCCTTTTTGGTCCTTAGTTTTTCTGTAGAGAGTATTTTGCTCCAGAGGAGGGGTATTTCTCTTCTCCTCATTCCATATTTGTGTTTGCTTACTCAGCAGCTACCCTTGGGGTTAATTTCCATGTGCTGTTCAACTTTTCAGATTTGTCTGTTTTACTGGAGGTTAATGTTCTGCATTTTCCTGGCTGTGGCTCACGCGGATCTTTCTTGGTATCTCCTTCAGGATTTAGACGTCTTTTCGATTGACGGACCCTACCTCTTTTTGAGTTTGGGTCTGCTTCATCAGTTTTGCTGTGTTCTGAGGTTCTGGTTTCATCTTGGATAGCTGACACTTCCCTCTCTTCCTTGGGGGCTTGGCGAGGGTTGTGTTGTCCTCGGATGCTTGATTGCCAAGAGGCACATATGGTATTATCTTTTTATTTTATTTTTTTGTTATTCTCTTCTCGAGTCTGCCTGTTTTATCTGGTCCTCTCCAAGGATGTGGGCATGTAGCAGCTCCATGTGTAACTGCCTGTGCTCCTGGAGCCCTTATTGCAGTTGTCTATGGGGCTCGTACACACCTAATGACAGTTGCGTGTTTGGGCTTCCTTAAAACTGTGTGTGGGGATTCACTGGGTTCATTCTTGGGTCAGAGGTCTTGTGACCTGCAGGGCTGGCCTTGGAAGCTTTTCCCAATTTGCTCTGCTGTCCTTTGTGGGAAATGGTGATGTGTTTCTTGCCCAGCCTCACGTGTCATTGGGCCTTATTGGCCGTATTGTTAGGTTTGTCTTGGTACTTAACCTTTTTATCTGCCTACCCTTTTTGCTTCTCTTCCCGGAATATGTTATCTCTTAGTTTCTTTCAGCTGCTTTTTCATTGAGGTTCTGTCCTGGGTTTTCGGAGGCAGTTTAATAGGGGTGAGGGCCTCATCTGCTGTTGATTGAGGTAGGTCCTCAGTGGAAACGGATTCCAAGCCCTTGTAATTCTGTGTCAGAGCCACAATGCATCATGGCAGGATGGCACTGCTTGTGATTAGTTCTAGCCAATTTGCGATTTGCCCTTTTGCCTTTGCTGTGAGGGATGTCTGGCCTGTTTGCCAGCTTCTGGTCCCACGATTCATGGGGCCTTTGGGTCTTCTTCTCCCTTAACCTGTGGTGGGGTTAGGGGTTTGAAGATTAGGAGTCTTTCCCATTTCTGCATCAGGTTGTGACATGGCTGGACTTGGTCAACAAAACTGTGTTCTTTCAGTGAGTCTAGGTCGTTTCCGATTCCAAAGTGGTACATGTATTTCCAGCATTTGATCTTTGGGATTGAAACAGTTCCCTTCCCTGTCTGACTTGCAAGACTATTTTGGCTCCAGTGCACCTGGTCTTGTCAGCAGAGTCTGGGATGGGCTGGGTTTCCTTGTGGGGTGTCAGGCTTTCCACTTCAAGCTTGAATCTAGTTCCCTATGTTTTTCCTCAGGTTCACGTGGTTGTTGTGGCTCAGCTACATCTCTTTATAGTTTGTGTCGGCCTCCATCCTCGACTGGCTGGTTTGGACTTCTCGTCAGTCTGCATGTCAACTGTTCAGGGACCTAGTTCTTTCCCAGATTGCCAGATTTTGGTTCCTGGTGAACTTGCAGATGTTCTGGTTGGTTCTGTCCCAGACTTAGACATGGCTGGCCCTTGTTTGGGGCTCTTGGTCAGTGTGTTTGACCCTGCTTCCAGCAGTTCCAAAACATGAACGTAAGGTTTAACTTTTCAGCCAAATTTCAGAAATTTATATCAATGTCAGAATTTCATTTATTTGAAATTCTGTATATACATGGAAGTATATGTATCTAGTATTTGGAAGATTTTGTATTTTTAATATTTTAAGAATTGTGCACAGTGGTGACCCAAAGCCGAGAGAATTGTGCACTCCAAGGGATGAACTTGGTAGCATCATCACTAACTAGTACAGTGCTACCATTCTCTAGCTTAATAACATAGGAACTTAGTACCACCACTAACTCTCTAGCTTAACATCACAGGAGCTAGTGCTACCAACTGCTTCAGACTGAAATATGTTCTGGTATATTAGCTGTTTTATGGTTAAGCTGTAGAAGCATTTTACATGGATAGTTAGTACTAAATACACACTAAATTGAATGATTCAAGTTTCATACAAAAGTGATATATAATCTCCCAGTCCCCCAGGTATTGAACATGAATCACTGATATACCAGCTCAGTCCAAATGCCAGGGGCCTAGACTACCCTCAAGGAGCCTATTGAAGCATGAGGAAAGACCTACTAAATCTTGCAAGTGGAGAATTAATGAGATCAGATCAAGACATTTTAACATCATGGAGATGATCCTGTCACGGAACCAGATCTCACTCTCACTTATAAGTGATTTCCTGCATTGGGCATGAGTGCTTGTTGCACAAGACCCTGTTGCACGGAGTAGCAGCACCTACAAATTCAGCAAAATATAATCGTTAAACATTATATATTAGTTCAATAGTCTGGTTGTGAGGAAGATGGAAGTAAGATAAAAGTATTTGTGAAGAGGTATTTACACTCAGATTTCATTCATATACCCAACTCCGACAAGGATGTCTGGAGTGCGAAGTCGGATGGTGGACTCTGTCAAGTTTTCACAATATTCTCCACCTTTTAACACCTAAGAGGAGGTTAAATTTTGGTAACATTTGAGCAGGTCAGTATTATGGCTATGTTTATTCAATGTCAACATTGACTGAAAGCATATCCAAGGTCCCGCAGCGATCTATACGCCTGAATGAATGAACTTCATTTCAGTAGTTGATGCCAACTCGGTCGCACATAAACCTGAATAGTACCTTGTATTTAGGTTACAGTACCTGGTTGATACCTGGTTGATACCTGGTTGATACCTGGTTGATACCTGGTTGATGGGGTTCTGGGAGTTCTTCTACTCCCCAAGCCCGGCCCGAGGCCAGGCTTGACTTGTGAGAGTTTGGTCCACCAGGCTGTTGCTTGGAGCAGCCCGCAGGCCCACATACCCACCACAGCCCGGTTGGTCCGGCACTCCTTGGAGGAATAAATCTAGTTTCCTCTTGAAAATGTCCACGGTTGTACCGGCAATATTTCTTATGCTTGCTGGGAGGACGTTGAACAACCGCGGACCTCTGATGTTTATACAGTGTTCTCTGATTGTGCCTATGGCACCTCTGCTCTTCACTGGTTCTATTCTACATTTTCTTCCTTTAAATTACTTTAAAAGTACTTTAAATTCCCAATTTTTTTTTTTAAATTGGTGAAAAAATTCCCCAATTTTTTACTCCAGTAAAATATTTTATTAAGGTCCTCTTGAGATAGTTTGCTATCTTCATTCTCGATTTGTTTAATTATCTTTACATCATCAGCAAATAAAGTACTGTCCGAGTAGTCCCATATCTGACTGTTATATTAGTCATCTGTTATTGTTATTGAAGACCAAACATTTCAGATTGTTCTTGATGTAAAATGCGCACGGTGGAACTTAACCATGTTGAAAAGCAATACTCAAGCCATAGCATTCTTCGAAGGTCAAGGTGCAGTTAACCTTTCCATAACCGAAGGATGGGACGTGTTTAGAATGAATAAAGATGCAATGGAGGCATTTCTCAACAAGTAAGAATTAGTGTTATTGACACCATTTCTTTGTGAATTTCAGTAAAATCTAGATTTAAACCCTATGAGTTTGTATGTAGTTCATATCAAAGTTAGGAATAAAGTGAGTTAATAAATAGCATTGAGAGACCTCTGATTAACATTCACCCTAACTCTTTCTTTTTGTTATTTTTAGTCTCAATCTTCTCTTTTCCCTTTTTCTCTTTCAATCACATTTTGTGAGTGGCTCTTCCACACACCATACCTACAACACAGGCACTCAATGTGTTGTCAGAATAGCAAGCATCAGACTCTATGTACACAGGGAGGTATGGAAATTTTTGGAGGATATAATATTTGTCATCTCATGTCCTGAGCGCCTGACAGCTGGGTGGACAGTGCTTCGGATTCGTAGTCCTGAGGTTCCGGGTTCGATCCCTGGTGAAGGCGGAGACAGATGGGCAAAATGTTTCTTTCACCCTGATGCACCTGTTACCTAGCAGTAAATAGGTACCTGGGAGTTAGACAGCTGCTACGGGCTGCTTCCTGGGGGGGGGTGTAACAAAAAGAAGGCCTAGTCGAGGACCGGGCCGTGGGGACGCTAAGCCCTGAAATCATCTCAAGATAGGTTATCACGTGTGTGTGTGTGTGTGTGAACACGGGCTCCATCTTGCTTCAGACCAAATAATCTGCCCACCTTCTTCCTGGTCTTCCTTCTCTCCTACCCTCAAATTGGATACACACACTTCAGTATACCATCACCCATTTGTTCAACATGCCAAAACCATCTTGGTATGCTCTCCCTCAATCTTGTGCTTTATTGACCTTTGCATTCTGCATTTCTCCATGACATTTTCATTCTTTATTTACTCCCCTAATATTACACACAATTCTCATGTTATCCATTTCTACTGCTCTAATTCTTGATTTTTCATGTTCATTCAGACCATTGTCTGGCAACCATACATAACGTTGGCATCACCGCTTCTTCATGTAGATCTCTGGCTGCATCCCTCTCTCTCTCTCTCTCTCTTTTGTTCTGCTAATCAGGGCTTTCATTGCACTAGCTATTTACCTTTCCTGACTGACCATACTCTCAATTTTGAATGCACAAATTCCTCTTTTAGTACTTACTCATCTGATGTATTTAAATTAACTGACTTTGAACAATTTAACATATTAATTTCATTCTCTCTCTGCCACCATAATTTGACTTGTCCATATTCACTCTTAACAGTCTTCTTACTCATTACTCAATATAACGTTCAACTTGTCAGACTGCAGACTGTAGGGGGCAGGAGGCCAGACACAAGGTACAAGTTGGAAGATGAAATCCTTCAAGAATCGGGTAGAGAGAAAGGTCTATCGGCTGTATGGTTGACATCCCCACACACTGTGAATTGTTGTTAAGATACCTAAGGTTGGCTAATTTAAACCCACAACAAACCGTACCCACTCTTCCCTACTACACCTATGACTCGACTCCCCAAGTGCAAGTGGCACATGTCAGGTGAATTATTCAGATTTTGCAATGGAGACCAATTTTCTAGAAAGTTGAAAGGATGTAAGGTTGTCGTAACTTTACTGGCAAAAAAAATATATGTATAATATATAGAACCTTTAGGTAATGTACAGATCTTGGTTTAGGCATGGGATGCTATGTGTGGCAATACTGTAAATATTTCATTATCTTTTCCTGAAACTGAGTGCACATGTTACAATGTTTAGAAGCAGAATACAGTTGAATGGAAGAACAACCAATCTTTATAACAGAGTTTATCTCCAATTTTTACACCTTGTCACTTTTTGGTTATACAGTACATTATCTTTCATTTATATATTTTATATTCTTTTTAGAGCCAAAACTATTGAGGGAGTGAAGATTAGAGCAGCAACAGCCAAGGACTGTGTTGGCATTAGGAAACTCATCCAAGACTTAGCAGACTATGAGAAGATGCCCGAAGGACCACAAATTGATGACAAAAGTACTGTACTATATTACTTTCATCTTTTTTATAGTGTTCCACACAATTAATATTTCTTAACAGATACTTCATTATTTTAATTCAGTTGTGCTAATTAATTTTAACCCCTATTGGGACATATATTGCTGGAGAAATTTTGACCAGGAACAGAGATTTAAGATTTAGGATTTTGAGATTTAATAAACAAAATGTTTGTTCTTGTCACTGTGATGAGGAAATTATATTCTGCACCACTGCTTTGGTAAGTCTGATGAAAGTCCTGGAAGCTAGGTTCAACCTGAAAAGAATGGCCTTGAAGTAGTAACTTGAATTGATCTTGACATAAAACACTAGGATGTGTCTAAAGTTTAAATATATAGAGACCTGGTAATAAGCATTCTTGAGGTGGAGGCATATAAGCCAAGTGACTGGGTAGTCATCTGGAAAATAAGATGACTGCTTATGTAGTCATCCTATTTTGATGACTACATACACCTTATTTTGAAAATTATGACATCTTTTGACAAATTTAGGTAGAATGAATATTCAAGGCAGTTGAATATTCACATCCTAGACTTTATCAAACCAATGAATTGTTGAGCTTCTGTAGCTTTAGTAAATCCTGTTTTATATGGTGTGGAATTTTTGTTATATATCTAGTATATTTGTTATAGTATATATAATTTAGTATACAGTGGTATCTCTATTTATGAATTCAATCCAATCCCAGAGGCAGTTTGAAAGCCGAAACAAATTTTCCCATAAGAAATAATGTAAATTTAATTAATCTGTTCCACACCCCCAAAAATATTAACTAAAAAATACATTTTTTAAATACAATTTTCAGGAGGTTGCCACAGATGCAACCTTGAGGGGCGAGAGAGTAGCCATAGACAGTCTTAAGAGGTTGCCACAAACACAATCTTGAGGAGGTTGCCACAGACAACATTGAGGGGGTTGCCACAGATGCAACCTTGAGGGGGGGGGTTAGCCACAGACACAACCTTTAGGTGGTTGCCATAGATGCAACCTTCCACAGATATTACAAATACTTTCAAGTGTTAATAGCACTTGAAAGGTGCACTTGGAACATTTACCACATATTTGATGTGGTGATTAATGTGTTGTCAATAGTGTATAAAGTTGTGAGGAGGTTCAGGCACACAGAAGCAGGACTGCTTTAAGACTGAGAGCCATCATGAGCTGAAGCATGAGTGACACAACAGAGTGAGTGTTGCTAGAGAAAAGGACCATCAATGGGAAGTAGTGACGTGCACTCTTTACTTACATGCATGAGAATCTTTATGGTCTGCTTTATTACCTCTTACTGCATTTATATAATTTATTCTACACGCACTAATAAATTAACTTGTACACATGTTTCCATGCAGAACTACAAGAGGATTGTTTTGGAGAGATACCATTTTACAAGGTATTTGTGGCCGAGGATGATGACATCCTAGTGGGTTATGTATTGTTCTTTTATACGTATTCTCTGGATGGAAGAGGTGTCTACATGGAGGACTTGTACGTGAGCCCCTCGCACCGTGGCAGAGGCATTGGCTCAGCGCTCTGGAGAAAGGTGGTTCAGGTATATAAACATGGCATTTTTATTAGCTTCATTCTGGTTCATTTCTAATGTGTGTGCACCCTTTTGCTCCAGACTGTTTCCCTATTTCTTAAATCATCCTATATGCTATTCTGATACAGTGTACTGAAATACAGTACAGTATATTATATTTTAGCCTGAATTATGGTATACAGTATACTGTATTGATCTAATTTCACATCTACGTCAAACTTGCAAACCCAAGGACAGAATACGCATTTATGTATTCATTTCTCCACACTCATAACTACATTTACAATTTCTCAAGAAACAATTTGCCTTTGTCTTATGTGGCTGTCCAAGTGACTGTCCACTTTGTACCCTTCCCCATTTAACTGATGCAAAGTGGCAAGGTTGGGGCTCCTCCTGAGAAACATAAGTCAGTAGTTCATCCCAGGGGGAAGGGAACCTTGTTATAAGCCTAACATGTATATTTACACTGGCTGCATGTCCCCTGACACAAAGAATTATTATTATTATTATTATTATTATTATTATTATTATTATTATTATTATTATTATTATTATCTGTATATATGTGTTGAAAATTAAATGTTTTTCCTTTAAGATGATAACAGTAACAATAACTTAATTTTGATATGAAATTACAGCAATTGAATTTAAGGTATTCTCAAACATAATAATTTTCTCATTCGGTTATTTTTATTCCAGTGTGGTATGAGTGTTGGAGGTTGCAGATGTGACTTTAGTGTTTTAAACTGGAATGCTTCAAGTATTGAATTCTACAAGCTTAAAGGAGCAACCAATTTAACAAGTGAGAAAGGACACCAGATGTACAGAATTAAAGAAAGCATTATGAAGAAATTTGTTAGAGAGTAATAGCTTTAGCAAGTTGGTTGGTTGGCTGTTTAAGTATTTCAACCTCTCCATATTTTATGTATTTAAATGGTTTAAATATCAGTACTAAATTGATAAAAACTACAGCCTCTGCAGATATTGCAACTTCCTTTATTGCAGCCTCCATTGAGGTTCCACCTTTCCCTATACTTGTACTATATTGCAGTTTTTGTTAACGTTCCATTTAATACCCCCCCAGTATTGCAGTTTTAATCGAGATTCAAACTTCCCTTGTACTCTAATAAGTGCAGATCTAATTTAGCCACACCTAATCTAACTGTACAGCATTGTACATATAATTTCTGTTTATCAAATATGTGCATAGTGCTCTGAAGAGCTAAGGAGTCTTTTATCAAACTCTGTAATGATCAGTATTGGTGTCCTATTGTTGGGGACAGGAAACCTGTTAAGCTTATTGAGGTCTCTGTAGTCAGTGACCACCCTTCTCCAGGATGTAACCGGCAACACTCTACAAAACTCTTGGGTAACTATACATTAACAGAGGCAGCTAGTGTATGAAAATATGCCCTGAAATCGACCCCAAGATCAATAAACTGTAAGCAAACCACATTATTCATTGATACATGTATTATAAGCCTAGATTTTGCATTCTTGTAAAACATTCATATCATAATTGTATGTTGAACATCTTTTCTCTTCCGCATCATCTACCAATTCTATTTATTTATCTACACTACACCTTATTGGTTTGCCCTCTGCTGTGTTGATTATATTTGTTTATCTTTTATTCTAATTTCTTGATAACGTATACAATTTTATTTCTTAAAAACTATTTAGATACAGAGAGAGATTCCTTTAGTTTTGGGTGATGTGTTTGGTTAGAATAATTTACTCTCAACTACAGGGAAAGAACTTACTGGTTAAGTTCCTTTGTGTGTGGGAATGTGTATTATGTAAATAAAATTCATCAAAGAATTGGTCTACTGATTTTAATTGACCTTTATACTGTAATTGCATCATGTGTCATTCAAGGCAATACTGAGTATCCTTGGCACTTTCTTATTCCCTCTTTACATCATTGATGCAAAGTGTTTTTCAACACCTATAAGCAGTACTCTACCTTTTGGTGATGATACTGTACTTTAGTCGTATTGTAGACCTAAGACCCAAAACCATGGATATCGATTCCAATTGATAATACCGTTCAATGATTCCAGTATACTAGCCCCAGTTTTTCAGCGTTATCTTGCTTTTGTTAGGCTTTATTTTGACTATGCAGTTCTGCTTCGGGCAACATGCTATAACACTACCTCAACCACAATACACCACCACACACAAAAAATACTACACCATACCACACACCACCATTACCAGACCACCCCATCACACTATAGAATAGTCTTAAACTCCATTGAAGGTATACAGAGAAGGATGACTAAGTTAATCCCATGATTAAGAACGTCCACTATTGAGAAAGATTCAGAAAGCTTCATTTATATTATATAGAAAGGTGGAGAGTGAGGGGATATATATGACTGAAGCATACAAAGTTATGATAGGGTATAGCAAAGTTTATATGTTGAAGGGGCCGTCAAGCCTTCGACAAGCTGCTGGCTTTGTGTCCTCATCGAGGCCACTAGTGTCAGTGGCCATCAGGTAAATAATTATAATTATTAATATTTAATAATTATGAAAAAGAGGCATGAAACCAGGAAGTCTATGTAGTACTGTATTGTGTTGAGGGATATTCAAAAAGTGCTAAATATCACTCAGGATGCCAGTATGAGAACAAAAGGAAATGAGGCACGCAACATCAAAGATATCAGATTCACATTCTACAAGGAGATGCATAACTGTAAGGGAACAATGCAATTTAGAGCAGGGTGTTGTTCCTTTACGTGGCCATGAGAAGCACATGTTAATTTAATACACAACCTAGCCACAGCCATTTCCTATCATCTATTATAGTGGTAGGAGGAAGTCCAAGGGGGATTGGTCTCCTTTAAGAGTTCTCGTGATTACATATTACATGTAATACCAGACCAGTGGCCTAGCCATTGGTTATGGATTCCAGAATGAATGAATAGAGATATAAATAAGGAATAATCTGTCTATATAGAATAAGTATGAGGGGCCTCCTTAGCAGTTGCATTCACAAGTTCATTCAAGATAATTCTAATGTTACTGGGTACCCAAAAAAATTTGACTCCTAAATTTGCTAGATAAGAAACAGCCATTATTGAATTTCAGCCACTGCTGGATGCAAAGGGTTAAAAGTTTCAAAATCTATGAGGGCACTGTGAGAGTCAACCACAGGTAAGAATGAAATGTTGACACCTAAAAAGCAGCTGGTGAAAAGTATACTATATTGCATAAAGATCTGCCGAGAAGATGCCAGACTTTGGAAGCATGTGGCACATGTGATGTGCCACATGCACATAGTGTACTGAGACAGCGAGACTTGCAGACAGACCAACCCTGCAGAAAAAGGAAAGAAGGGATAATGAACAGGACCCTCGTGAGTGGCAGCAGTCAAAGCACAGCACCAGTGAGAGTGGGGATGTTGCAGGGACCGCACAAGGTAGTAATGATTATGCCAATGTTGTAGAGACAGAATGCAAATTTCAGTACAGTGTACAAACCCAGGATAGGGATGAAGAAGGACATGCCTCAGAGAAAATCACAGCACGAGTCTTGGAAAGAACCTGAAGCCATGATTGGTGGCCCAGAATGATACGTTATTGATTGGAAGTTAGAGCTGGCGTGTGAGGAAAGAGAAGCTGTTACTGTGACAGCAGAGAGTGAGATTGTCAAAATAAAGGGCAGAGAAATTGCCAGGGGTAAAGGGAGGAAGGAAGATCATCTAGGGCAACCAGGAAAAAGTAGCAGTGCTCAGAGCACTACCTAAGGGAAGCAGCTTCATGTTGTTAAAGAGTCAGAGACATAGGATTTCCAACTCGTACGTTTAGCTGTATGTATGACCCTGTGGGCCATCGCACTCGCCTTCCAAAACGGAATAAAATATTCAGGTGTTTTCTGACCATATGCTGTTCTGCCCGAGCACAGTCTAAATTCCAGCAAGGAATGCACTTCTGTGTACCAAGGGAGGCATAGCAAATGACAGTGCATGGTAGTGACAATGGTGGGAAGTGTGTGTGGTGGCGACAATGGTGGGAAGTGTGTGGTGGTGGTGGTGGTGATAATGGTGGCAGTGTATGGTAGTGGTGATAATGGTGGGGGAGATAATGGTAGTGGTGATAATGGTGGTGGAGATAATGGTGGTGGTGATAATGGCGGGAGTGCATGGTGGTGGTAATAATGGTAGGAGTGCATGACGGTGAAGATAATGGTAGGATGGTGTGTGGTGGAGATAATGGTAGGATGGTGTGTGGTGGAGATAATGGTGGGATGGTGTGTGGTGGAGATAATGGTGGGATGGTGTGTGGTGGAGATAATGGTGGGATGGTGTGTGGTGAAGATAATGGTAGGATGGTGTGTGGTGGAGATAATGGTGGGATGGTGTGTGGTGGAGATAATGGTGGGATGGTGTGTGGTGGAGATAATGGTGGGATGGTGTGTGGTGGAGATAATGGTGGGATGGTGTGTGGTGGAGATAATGGTGGGATGGTGTGTGGTGGAGATAATGGTGGGATGGTGTGTGGTGGAGATAATGGTGGGATGGTGTGTGGTGGAGATAATGGTAGGATGGTGTGTGGTGAAGATAATGGTGGGATGAGAGAGGGCGGCGCGTGCAGTGATGAGCCCAACACTGTCACCTGACCCTCCACCGTCTCCTCCTCACACTTATCTTCTCCATCTTCCGTCTCATTGTTTTATATCTCTGACATTCTTATTGTGTTCTCTCCTCCGCTTTATTATTTTATTCCGCAATAATATTCTACTTTTGCAGCTGACCAGCACACCAGTTCACACGGGTGGTACGCGAACAAGGGGACACAGGTGGAGACTGAGTACCCAAATGAGCCACAGAGATGATAGAAAGAATTTTTTCAATGTTAGAGTAGTTAAAAGGTGGAATGCATTAGGCAGTGATGTGGTGGAGGCTGACTCAATACACAGGTTTTTTTTTTCTTGCAGGGATATTCCTGCGCGGGCCCTAAGCCTCTGGCTGGCCCACTAAGTGTTGCTTGTTTCTGTTTTACTTGGGCAGAGTATGAGTATTTACGACTCGTATGGTCGCTTCAGTAAGATTTTGCCATATGTGTTTAACAACTTCTTCTGCTCTGTTGAATCTAAGTTAAAATCTTAATGGGTTTGTAACTGTACATTGTGTTAGATAATGTTCCAGTGGTCTGTCTGGTATTTCTCTACAGATACACAGTTTCAAATGTAGATATGATAGAGCCCAGTAGGCTCAGGAATCTGTACACCAGTTGATTGACAGTTGAGAGGCGGGACCAAAGAGCCAAAGCTCAACCCCCGCAAGCACAATTAGGTGAATACAACTAGGTAAATGTGTACCAGAGGACCACCACACCAGGCCACTAAATCAGCAGCCACCACACATATTAATATATGAACAAAACTATTTTAAATAGCTATATTACACAAATATATAATTTACAAATAACCAAACGATACGACACTTACGAATAACACCAAACAGAATTGTCGTGTGGAATTATGTAACGTTTTCAGCATGCAAAACCTTCAATATTTTCCACGAGGCGACGACGCATCCCATTGGCTGGCGAATTCCCCCGAAGACTGCCGCGGTTGGGTAAAGCCTTCAGAGCGTTGGAGGCTTCCCTGTAATTGGTAGACTGGCATGGTAAGGGGTGGAGGCTCAATGTGATTGGCTGAAAGTCGTTAAGGGGTGGAGCCAGAGGAAGGAGGGGGCGAGGCAGGAGGTAATACAGAAGACATGTGCTGAGAGGTCCACTTGCGCCGCGGAAGTTCGAGGAAGCAGAAGGAGCTTCGCGGCGGGAACTGCCTGCACCAGCGACCGTCATCCCAGGCTTCAGCGTTACTCCTCTGGTCAGGTGGGTACAGCCGCCTCCTTGTGTACCACCCTCCACCCTGTACACCCTCACCAGTCTTTCCTCCTCTCCCGCAACATTTGATGTATGTAGTTTATCACTTCACTTCTTAATATATAGAAGTAATGAAATGCACTGACAGTATATTTTTGTTTTTCATACATATGTACGACTCATCTGCGCTGCAAGTTTGTAGCTGTGTTACCTAGTCCTACTGCCTTATTCTGAACATTTTAATCTTCATACACCTTATTCATTTATTCACCTGTTTTATGTGGGATGAGGTTCAGTTCCCTCAGTCTTGTAACAGCCTCGTTGTATGCCCTGGGACATGTTATATTTTTAAGACAGGTTTCCCCAGATGGGGAAACAGGTGTAGCAGGTGTTGTGGAGGCCTCCACTGGGCTCTTGTATGGTATTGTTACCTTGGCCACTTTCGCATATGTTGATAACATTATTGTATTTGTGCCTTATGTGAGGCTCGTGGCCACAGGTACTTCACGCTTGCTGTTTTATGGAGTAGTTTCCCGTTCATTTATAGTTACATGGATCTTTTTGTTCCTTCTGTACTCATTACCTTGCGTTTATCTAGGTTGAAGTCTACTAGCCATTTCCCCAACTATACTTTTAGCTTATCTAGGCCACCTTACATCTTTTTGCAATCCTTTTTTTGTTGCGACACGTCATCAATTTTGAATCATCTGCAAACATTGGTATGAATTCAACAACTTCCAAACTTAGGTTATTTATGTATTCCAGGACCTTGTTGTGGTCCACTCTGAGGTCTCTTCTGTCACCGTAATCCATGTTGTCTATCAGGGAACTGCATCTCTGGTCCAGCGTACCTCCGGCACGGTTACCCCCTTCCTAATTCTTTGACTGCCTTGTAAGAGATAGAATGTGATAGTTCACTATTACGTTCTGTACTAGGCAGTCAAAGACCAGGCCACATTGTTCGCCTGATCTTATAGTGAGTGACCTCGAGTTCCCTTCCAAATGTGGCTGCTGTTCTAAGTAAACAAAAAAGTTCAAGTCGTGCTGATACATCATTTACCCTTCTCGTGTCCTCCCTGACATGTTGTGTTAGGAAGCTTCTGTCTACTGTATGCACCTGTTTATGCCTCCATGTCTCACCCTCCTCTTCCGTCCCTTCTATCTCATTGTAAGTTCCGCCTTTAGCTGCAAACTATCCTACCTGCGGGTTTGGACTATGTCTATACAAACTATTTACAATGCCGTGTTCTCATCTGGGCCTCCTGTTATTCAGTTGTGGGATAGATGACCACAACAACTATTATCACTCATCTTATAATCCCCCATGTCATTCCGTTTGCTTCTTCAATGCTCTTCTCTTCATATTTCATCTTTCTCCCTTCAGCAGTACTTCTCTTCCTGTCTGAGTCCTTTCCTTGCCCTCTGTGGTATGGGGGGTACATGTTCCCGCCACCCTCTAGCACTCCGTCATCTCCCTGACAGGCGCAGCAGCAGCAGAGCAGGATGGTAGAAGCTTGTGGTCGTCGCGTGCTGCTGGGGGTGTTGTTGGCGGGCACGCTGACAGCCGCCGCCTCTCGACCCGCCCAGTTCTTACTCCCATTCCAGCTGGAGTATGATATCAGGCCAGCTGGTAGCGTCGGCGAGCCAGATGGGTTTGAGGATGTAGCCACACCACTGGGGTCCGACCCCCTGCTGCCCCCGGACCCATACCTCACCCACCCTCACCTCTACAAGCTAGTTCCATCCAAGAGAAGATACTGTGAGTCTTGTCCAGTCACACGTCACTAGCCATACCTGTTGTGTCACTTGTGTCATCCGTCATCCTAGTATGTCACGTGTCACCTACGTCACCCATGTCATGTGTTACCTGCTTCAACCGTGTCATGTACCATAATGAGTGTGGTGTAGTAAGCTGTAAAATCTGGTTATATACATATTTACCATTAAGCCACTACACCAGGGGTTGGTACACACTGTGGTCCTTACACCAGGGGTTGGTGCACACTGTGGTCACTGTATACACCTGCCTGTACCCACACCTGACCTCCTAGTTCTCTGAGAGCCTCAGGCATGAACACAGCACCATCGCTACAACGCTGCCACCTACTGTAACCACGCACGTTAGTGAAGAGTTGAGACGAACACTGTTGCTTCACGGTAAGAGATCTGCCACTGGGTGCTCCCTGGGCCGCTCTCACGACGCCCGCTGATGCTGCTGCTGGAGGCAGCATCTCTCTTCCCCTTCCCCTCACCTCCACCACACTGTCCACAGTAGTTCCTTACACCACCCTGCATGCTGTAGGAGGGTATTTATAGGTAAGCCCCCTGTGTGTGTGTGTACTCACCTAGTTGTGCTCACCGAGTTGTGTTTGCGGGGGTTGAGCTCTGGCTCTTTGGTCCCGTGTGTGTGTGTGTGTGTGTGTGTGTATACTCACCTATTTGTGCTTGCGGGGGTTGAGCTTTGGCTCTTTGGTCCCGCCTCTCAATTGTTAATCAACTGGTGTACAGATTCCTGAGCCTACTGGGCTCTATCATATCTACATTTGTGTGTGTGTGTGCGTGAGTGCGCGCGCGCGCGAGCGTGAAGACAACCATGCTGTGACCATCGCCGCTGTATCAGGCACAGAGTATGGCCTTATACTTCCTGACCTGACCTCCAATGGCACTCAGTCTGCACTCATGTATGAGGGCGCCTCGCTCCACCAGCCTCACTCACACCAGTGGCAGCTCCTGTACTCACCTCACTCACAAACTCGCTCAAACTCATACTTGGCAAATGGAATCCATTGTGAATAAATACCACATTATGGAATGTGGAATAGGAGAAAATAGTCCATACAGAATCTACAAGTTATGTAGAATGGCATTATAGAACTTTGATACAGAGATCAAGTGATGGTTGAGGACAGTATATACTTATTTACCCGAGGTCCGCATAAAGAACATACTGCGAGGAGCCTAGGCTACGCTTTCCAACTTCAGCCTCGCCTTCAGTGATACATGGATGGCGAAATATTAAAGAAATTGTTTATGACCTTTGTGAGACCAAAATTGGAATATGCAGCAGTTGCATGGTGCCCGTAGCTCAAGAAACACGTCAATAAACTGGAAGAGGTGCAAAGACATGCTACTAAATGTCTTCCGGAACTGAAAAAATAAGAGCTATGAGGAGAGGCTAGAGGTGTTAAATATCTAGAAGATAGAAGAAAAAAAGGTGATATGATCACTACATACAAAATAGTAACAGTAATGAAAAATTTTACAAAGATGTATTACTGAAACCTGCAACTTCAAGAACAAGAGGTTATAGATTCAAGCTAAGGAAACAAATGTGCTGAAAAAAATACTAGAAACTTTTCTTTTGCAGAGCGAGACGGTTGGAACAAGTTAAGTAAGAAGGTGGTGGAGGCCAAATCCGTCAGTTGTTTCAAAACGTTATTTGACAAAGAGTACTGGGGAAGACGGGACACCACGAGACCTATACACCAGTTGAGTTATAGTTAAGAGGCGGGACCAAAGAGCTGGTGCTCAACCCCCGCAAGTACACTGTAGGTAAGTACACACAAACACCTCCAGGATTGATCCCGGCAGCTTTGTGTCATATTCCATTACGTAATGAAGAGCCCAGAGGCGGCACCGTTGGTGTCGGAGAGGCGCATAGTCCACACCTTTGCTGCGGTACACACCACATATTGGTACAGTATTGATGTTGGACCACCTGGCCTCACACTGACATGGTGAGTTTTTTGCAAGGAACTTCCTGCGCGGGCCCTAAGCCTCTGGTTGGCCCACTAAGTGTTGCTTGTTTCTGTTTTACTTGGGCGGAGTGTGAGTATTTATGACTCGTATGGTCGCTTCAGTAAGATTTTGTCCCATGTGTTTAACAACAACTTCTGCTCTGTTGAATCTAAGTTGAAATCTTAATGGGTTTGTAACTGTGCACTGTGTTAGATAATGTTCCAGTGGTCGGTCGGGCATTTCTCCACAGTGTTGACATTTCCTCTCATCTTCTGGAACCTGTAAGCCTATTTACCATGCACATGGGTATCCAAGCCTGATGCGATATAAGTGTACTTCTGTTGTTCTACTGCTCCCTTTCATCAAAATAAGTGGTTCGTAGTTGGTTGAATTCTTGTACCAACTCGCAGATCCTGATGTTGCAACTGCTGTGTTGTAGTCACTGTACATCATCTGCAGTGCTCTATTTCTAATTACTTTCTTAATCTGTGATAGACTCTGTGGTATATAAATGTCTACATTTTTCGCTTAGTTGCAGATTTTGCAGCTTCGTCTGCAATGTCATTTCCTATTATTCCCACATGACTTGGCACCCAGTTGGTAACTACCCAACGGCCTAACATGGCGATGACCTGGCTCTTACGTAGTGTTGACCTGGCTCTTACGTAGTGTTGACCTGGCTCTTATGTAGTGTTGACCTGGCTCTTATGTAGTGTTGACCTGGCTCTTATATAGTAGTGACCTGTCACTGACCTGGTGTTGACCTGACACTAACATGACCTGATGTTGACCTGGTGTACCATGACCTGGTGTTGACCTGACACTAACATGACCAGATGTTGACCTGGTGTACCATGACCTGGTGGTGACCTGACATTGAAGTGATGCTGACTAAGATGTAGCGTGGTTCAGACCGGCTAATTATATGGTATTAAGATGTTTACCGAGAACACAAGATGAGTGAAGGAAGAGAGAGACATTTTACCTCACATAGGAAGATGGGAGGTGCTCTACGTACAGCATGTAGGGTTACAGAGGCGGGAGGAGCTAGGAGCACAGTTGTGCAGGTGGACTCTATACATGGTTGCCACAGTGACTATGATAAGGTGAATACATACACACAACTACAGCTAAACATATGCAAATAGTGCACATGTTAATACACACATACTAACGCGGTGTTCTCTCCCACAGTGGGTATTGAGCTGCCTGACTACATCGCCAAGAACAATCACGGCAAACTCAAGGAGCAGATGATGTCTTCCGGCAAGTAGTGAGGTCAAATACCCATCTGTGATGTCACCTGCTCTTCTGTGACGTCACCATCCCGTCTATTCCGTTACCTTTCAACGTGTGCGCCACCTATCAACCTAACAACAGCGATGACGTCATATACACATATGTACTGTGCTGTGTTTTTATCATGTGAACCTTAATGTATTATTCAGCATCGAATATGTCCAAATATAAGACTAGTTTTGATAGCTCAGTTATTGATGAATACCCCCAGTGGGGCGACCCCCCCCCCCTATGTGGGCGTAGCGTCGGGCGGCAGCGGCCCACCTGATGGCGGCCACAAAGTTAACCCTAACATGAGATGTATACACACACACACACACACACACACACACACACACACACACACACACACACACACACACACACACACACACACACACACACACATCAGTAGTTAACAGGTGGAATGCATTAGGCAGTGATGTGGTGGAGGCTGACTCCATACACAGTTTCAAATGTAGATATGATAGAGCCCAGTAGGCTCAGGAACCTGTACACCAGTTGATTGACAGTTGAGAGGCGGGACCAAAGAGCCAGAGCTCCCTCCCCCCTTCCCCCACACTCACACTGCATGTGGTATATGCAGCAGTTGTATGGTGCCCAAATATCAAGAAGCACATAAATAAACTGGAAAAGGTACAGAGGCATGCTACGAAATGTCTTCCGGAACTGAAAAACAAGAGTTACGAGGAGAGGCTAGAAGCCTTAAACATGCCAAAACTAGAAGATAGAAGAAAGAGAGGTGATATGATCACCACTTACAAAATACTAACAGGAATAGTACAAATTGACAAAGAGGAATTCCTCAAACAAGCAACTTCACGAACAAGAAAACAGATTCAGTCTAAAACAGAAGTACCAAAAAATATTAGACAATTTTATTTTGCAAACAGTGGTAGACGGTTGGAACAAGTTAAGTGAGAAGGTGGTGGAGGCCAAAACCGTCAGTAGTTTCAAAGCGTTATACGACAAAGAGGGAAGACGGGACACCACGAGCGTAGCTCTCATCCTGTAACTACACTTAGGTAATTACGCACACACAGCGCTCGTCCCTTAGCTAAGAGATTAGGGTTATGAAAAACAGACTGAGGGAATTGAACCTCACTACACTGAAGGAAAGAAGGAATAGGGGTAGACATGATAACGATGTACAAGATACTAAGGGGAATTGACAAAGTAGATATAGAAACAATGTTCAAATTAAGGAACAGTTGAACAAGAGGATATAATTGTAAACAGGAAACAAATGAGTTACAGGGATATGACGGACGGAATGAGAAAGTTGTCCAAGCCAATTCGATATACAACTTTAAATGTAAATGTGATACGAAAAACTAGTGAAAAAGAGTCACTGCATTGAACTAATGATGGTTGAAATGCGGGGTTTACACACATACACACGCACACGCACACACACCTACACATGCGCACACGCACGTACACACACACACACACATACACACACACACACACATACACACACACACACACACACACACACACACACACACACACACACACACACACACACACACACACACACACACACACACACACACACACGCACGCACGCACACACACACACACACAGTGGGATTGCAGAATGTTGGCTGATATAGGAGTGTGATAAGGGGTTATAGCGGTGAGCTGAGAGGTTGTGAGATGGTGGCAACCATCACACATAATGTGTAACAATGATACATATACCTCTTACAGCTTATGTAACAAAAAGATGAATAAAATGTTTGAAAATGTATATATTTTTAATACCCCGTAAGTTAAGGTAAGAGAGACCCTTAAGGGGACCTGCAGCTGGTGATGATCAGTTAATCACTTTCAACTCCCATCCTATTTCACAGAAACAGGAAAATTTCTGTAAATCTCTCTACAGAGCAATCACAGACTTCTGACTAGCCTTAAATGATAGTCCATAGCACGAGCTTTCATCCAACACCCCACAAGTGTATAGTAGTTTGAAAACTTCTTGACTAGAGTCCCTAGAGCGACTAGCCCAATTTAGAAAACTAGGAAAACTAGCTGAGGGAATCTACATTCTAAGGCAGGATCACCTCATCAGAAAACTGGTGACCAATCACCCTCGCACGTCTAAAGACTGACGCTAAGGGCAGGAATCATTTATCATCTCACCGTAAACTATGTAGTATAATCATCATAAAATGCTAATCTAACCTCATGGGATAAATAAATCGATTTATATAGGACAGACGTAAATCTGTGTAGTTATGTTTGTAGGTTAGATTAGCATTTTAGAAGCACTACAATCACCTTCTGTGGTTGATTATTCAATAAATCAATGAACTATATGTTTAACAGATATCTAACCCTGTTCATGGATAAGAAACTGTATATATAAATCTGGTTACAACTGTAAATGTATCGCCACGTATGTGGTAGAAAATAATAATAATAATAAAAAATACATGGTTTTGTTAAAAATAAATCCGGCCCCACAAACCTGCTCACATTTTGGGAAACAATAGCCAGCTGTTCAGACAAAAAGACTTACAGCAGATGTAGTATACACAGACTTCTTTAAAGCTTTTCATAAGGTACCACACATAAGACTAGCAGGGAAATTAGAGGTACATGGAATAAGTGATTTAATAGTAGAGTGGATAAAACAATAATTAAAACAAAGAAAGCAAAGGGTCGTTCAAAACGGAAATGAATCTGACTGGAAAATTGTGGAGCGTGGGGTACCACAAGGGTGTATTTTAGGGCCAACCCCTTTCATCACATACACCAATGATATAGATGAGAATATTACAAACCATATCATCAGATTCGCAGATGACACTAAGATCTATGGCAAAGTTGGAAGTGAAAACGATGTTAAGGCGTTACAGATATATCTCTGTATCTACAGAGAGATCTCTCTCTTTTACACACAGAGATCACACTAACGTGATGCATCAAATGAACAAATCCACAAAGGCCGTGGATCTTTTCAACCCTTTTAACCCTGTCGTAGCTCAGTCGATTAAGGCAGTGTCTGGGATGCTCCCGGACGCAGGTTCGAATCCTCGTCACGGCCCTTGTGGATTTGTTCGTCTCTCTCTTTTGTCACTGTATTGAACTTCGAGGAAGTTCAATACAGTGACAAAAATCATTCCAGAAGTAAGTCGACTCTCATACCAGGAACGGTGGAGAGCTTCAAGGCTGACAACTTCACAAACCAGACATAACAGGGCGGATGTTGTCCACCTCTTTAAAATGCTGAACAATTTAGAGGATATTCATCCAGACTTCTTTTTTAATAGGTAAGATGAGACAAAACAAGGAACAACAGCTTCAAGCTCAACAACCCAAAATGTAGAACAGAAAACATGATTTTTCACCCACAGGCATATAAATAAACAGGTAAATAAACCCATGAACCCGCCTACCCGCCGAAGTCTAAATACCAAAACACTGCTGCAATTCAGAACCCAGTTGGAAATTTTCCTTAGAAAAAAATGAGGGTCCATTTGACAAGCTGTCGGCTTCCTGTCACCGTCGAGACCACTAGAGATGGTTGCCCTCAGGTACATTCAGGTAAATTAAGCAATTAGGAATAAGAGAAGGCCAGTTCCGGACAAACTATGCCATGATGAGTGGCCGCCAGGCAGTACACTAGGCTACCAGGAGTTGATGAGGTGCCCACCACCGGCCGCCCACCACTGGCCACCCACCACCGGCTGCCCACCACCGGCCGCCCACCACTGGCCGCGCCCAGTACTGCCTTCAGTCCTCACTCACCCCATTCCTAACAAGATCAATATTTACCATCTGTTTCAATTGAGATATTTAGCCCAAATGAGCTAGTTGTATGGGGTGATAATGAGCTAGTTGTATGGGGTGAAAACGAGCTAGTTTTATGATAACGAGCTAGTTGAATGGTATGATAACGAGCTAGTTGAATGGTATGATAACGAGCTAGTTGAATGGTATGATAACGAGCTAGTTGAATGGTGTGATAACGAGCTAGTTGAATGGTATGATAACGAGCTAGTTGAATGGTATGATAACGAGCTAGTGGAATGGTATGATAACGAGCTAGTTGAATGGTATGATAACGAGCTAGTTGAATGGTATGATAACGAGCTAGTTGAAAGGTATGATAACGAGCTAGTTGAAATGTATGATAACGAGCTAGTTGTATAAGGTGATAACGAGCTAGTTGTATAGGGTGATAAGCTACTTGTATGGGGTGATGACAAGCTAGTTGTATGGGTTAATGAGCAGCTAGTTGTATGCAGTGATAAGGAGCTAGTTGTATGGGTGATAAGACGCTAGTTGTATGGGGTAATATCGATCTAGTTGAAAGGGGGGGGGGAATAATAATAATAATAATGGCGATCGAGGCAGTTGGTCCTGTGAACGCTAGTGGCAGGTAGGTGGCGATAGACCAACCATTGACGTAACCAACTTGCATTCACTGGACAATTTACACAATGTAAAAGCCTTGGTGTATGTCAAGTTCATCTGGAAAGGGAAATTGGTGTGGCCACAAAAACCACCGCAATCCACTTATCTCTCTCTGACGCCAGGGAACTGTCTCCCGGTAATTGTTTATATTGATTCTTGACCATCTCTGTATCATGTCTATACTACTATCATTTTAGCTGAATTTTAACGTTCAGCAGAGTTCTGGCAGTTCTGTGGGTAGGCGGTTCCATGGGTTTATAATCCTGTGGGTGAAAGGCATCTCCTGTTTTTATAGCTATATGCGAGGACAAGCTTGATACACAGATCAACACAGGATAAACTGTCTGGTGACAATTAGTCTGGTTACGTGGGCCAGTGTCACAAGGTACACTGGCACTCCAGTGATGAACTTGCACCACCTGCTAGTGTCCGTACACCTCAACTCTCACCAACCATCAACACCAGCTGTCAGCCATGTCAGTATATCGGTCAGTATCTCATACAAGATTACAAAAGTTAAGTTCACGCTGGCTCTTCCCTAAGGCCAACACCATTCACCCCTCAAGTTCCCAACTCCCAGGAGCCACCCCCTAAATTCATCACCTTTTCTTCCTTATTTATATGGTCTACCTAAGACTCATAAACCTGGTGTTCCTCTTCGTCCCATCATTTCTTCAGGGGGCTCTGTCGGCTATCCTCTTGCCTCGCTAAAACTTTGACTCCTTACTATGGCACTTTAGTTCCTGCCCACCTTCGTCACTCTCAGGACTTCATAGACTGCGCTTGCAGCCCTCCTTCAAAATGCTTAGTCTTGATGTCAACTCTCTGTTTACTTATGTTCCCCTTGATGACGTTCTCTCTTAGTCAGAAGGCGGCTGAGGGCCTTCTTAATCTCCCGCTCCCCCAAAGATAGATCGATAAATAGACAACTTTCAAATATTGCACCAAGTAATGGCGAGAGGAAAAACACTAGACAGTATACATTACATTTGAAATTAATAATGGATGAATGGTAATAAATTGGTGTCTGTGTATGTATACCAGACAAAGTCCATTTAATGGCAGAATTTAGCCATTTTGTGTAAAAACTTTTATAGCTCATATTATTAATTATAATAGTAATCGAAAAAAGTCATAGTTTGTATATACAAGAGATGAAACAGCGAGCCATGAGCTAGAGCGATGTGCTGAGTCCATAAGGAGGCCGAGCTTCCAGAAATACCTTCCTGTGATTGGCTGTTGCGGGGAATACCAACACCCATTTTTTAATAAAATTTAAACTAAGAAATAGGTCCTTGTGCACATCAACAAGGTTGTTGTGAAAACGAACAACAATTCCTGTTTTGCACCTGACAGAAATCTCCATCTTACTGAATAATTTACTCGAATAAGAGGGCAGAGCAGTGTAACATTATTAGTGTGAGGCAACCCCCAATAATAACGTCACACGTTAGGTAGCCAGCAAAGTGTTTCTGTAACACCTGTTACATCCTGCAGTATTTAGATATCACTATATTAATACTTTTAAATACTTAACATTTCACTTTTTAGGTAGATTAAAGTTGAAGCAGAACGTCATAAGCAAGGATGGTGTGCAGAATAAAGATGATTTATTAATTGGATGGAGCCTTTAGCTAGTCCCTTCCTGTGATTGGCTGTTGCGGGGAATGCCAACGCTTATAATAAAATGCAAAATAAAAAATACGTCATTTGCTCAATAACCTTGTTGCTGTACAAAAGAGCAACAATTTCTGTTTTATACAAGACAGAAAATTCCATCTAACTGAATAATGTAGACCAATAAGAGGGCGGAGGCATTGTATCGTAGATAATATTTGTGTGAGGCAACACCCACTGATGACGTCACAAGTTAGGTAGCCTATAACCCATGTTTCTGTAACATCTGTTACATCCTGCAGTATTTAATTATCACTATATTAATACTTTTAAATACTTAACATTTCACTTTTTAGGTAGATTAAAGTTGAAGCAGAATGTCATAAGCAAGGATGGTGTGCTGAATAAAGATGATTTATTAAGTGGATGGAGCCTTTAGCTGATAACGTCCTGTGATTGGCTGTTGTGTCAATGTCAGCAAAGAATATCTACCAATGATATGCCATTTATTATGCATCCCATACCACTTGTGGGTGGAGTTTGGAACCTCTTACCCGAGCACAACAACCCACCTTATGGGTTGCTGTTTGGCTATTTATAGTGCGTTGGAAAAAAAAGAGATGGCGCTAGTTGTATTTTGTGGGGTAATTTGTTATAAGTGTAATTTGATGTCAACAGATGGCGTAAGCTGTATCTTATGGCCATTATTGACCAGCCAGTTGATAGTGTTCTCTTCTGCCAACAGATGGCATCAGCTGTCTTATTATTACTTCCGAATTGTATATAATTGTTACAATATTAATTCAGGAAAACTTGGCTTATTAGGCAAATCGGCCCTTGCATAGTAGGCTGAGAAGTGCGTTCTGGCTACTAGGTACGACATATATATATATATATATATATATATATATATATATATATATATATATATATATATATATATATATATATATATATGTCGTACCTAGTAGCCAGAACTCACTTTTTGGCCTACTATTCAAGGCCCGATTTGCCTTATAAGCCAAGTTTTCCTGAAATAATATATTTTTTCAATTTTTTTTTCTTATGAAATGATAAAGCTACCCATTTCTTTATGAATGAGGCCAATTTTTTTTATTGGAGTTAAAATTAACGTAGATATATGACCGAACCTAACCAACCCTACCTAACCTAACCTAACCTATCTTTATAGGTTAGGTTTGGTTAGGTAGCCGAAAAAGTTAAGTTAGGTTAGGTTAGGTAGGTTAGGTAGTCGAAAAACAATTAATTCATGAAAACTTGGCTTATTAGACAAATCGGGCCTTGCATAGTAGGCTGAGAAGTGCGTTCTGGCTACTAGGTACGACATATATATATATATATATATATATATATATATATATATATATATATATATATATATATATATATATATATATATATATATATATATATATATATATATATAAATAATATTACTAAAACAATTAACATCGTGTAGTGTACTCTATATATCAAAATATATTACTTTGAAATCCATATCATTCACTGCCCGAAACGCTTTGCGTAATAGTGGCTTTAGGCATTGTATGTATTAGGTCTATCTATAAATCTAAATCCATCAACTTTGTATCTTACCTTGTATGTATGTACCTTACCTGAATAAATATTTATTTATTTATATTTATTTATTATACTAAAAAAAATTGGGCTAATCTTATTACAAGTTCGCTACTTTTAGGCCGTCAGCTCGCTACTTTCAGCAACTTAGAAGTGGCAACGGTGAGTGTGGAGGTCCGCCAGTGTGGGTGAAGACCCAGGGGGGCTAGGATGCCGCTGCTGCTGCTGCTCCACTTGTCACCTGGGGACACATGTTAGTTGGTTCTACCCTTTTTTTTAACTGGTTCTTTGGTTTAAGAGCCCAACTCATTCTCCTTACATGATAGTACTTTGAGTAATTATTTGGTCGAAAGTATAATTATGATGTGATGGATCAACAGATAGTAGAGTTTTGTGCTTTCAGTTTTACTCCAGAAAAAATATAGCTAAAACCCAAGTATTGCCAGGCCTAGTGTAGCACATATATGCACAATATTGGCTGTATAATATAGCTAATAATGCATATATTAAGATGGTATGTAGAAAAAGGGTCCAATAGTATTCGTTCTCCACAATCGAAAATCCCGGGCGGGACGGAAATGGTTGGGCACATTTTCTTTCATCTAGTGCCTCTGTTCACCTAGCAGTGAGTAGGTACTCAGGAGTTAGTCAGCTTAATGTGGGGGTTGGCATTCTGGGCGAGGTCAGTAATTCAGCCTGGGGGAGGGGGCTCGATAAAAGGTCCCCCTTATATACAAATAAATAAATAAAAAAAGTATGAATACACTCTGGCTTCCTGTCCCCCAACACAATGAATTATAATTAATATTATAAGGGTTAGGATTGCTAGAAAAAGTTAGGTTAGATCTTATATTTATGTTGGTGACAAAATGTTTCTGGTCTCGGTACAGCAATACAAAAATTCTACTCTCGAGATTTAGATTTGGAGTTTTTATTCAGGTAAAGGTACGTACATTGAAGATGAGTTACAAACTTGTTGGATTTAAAGTTAGTTTAGTTCATTTATTATGCACCCCATACCCATCTTGTGGGCGGTAGTGGAAAGGGTTACAGAGGCACATAATGGGCTCAGGGACTGAACCCCACGATTCATTTAAAGATAGAGCTAGTACATGCAATACCTAAAGCCACTAGTATGCATAGTATTTCGAGCAAGGTGAGGGGGGGGGTAAACACTTGGACTAAAACTTAATAGTAATTGAGCTTAAAGTATAAATTGTGTTGACAAAATAAAAAAAAAAATAAAAAAAGGGGGGAGGGGAACATGGCAGAAAATAGCAATTATACAAGTTGGTCAACAAATGGCATTGTTTAAAATAGTAAGACATGGTTGACATTTAGGGGTAAGGTAGGTTACATAGAGTTTATTAGGTAGTATTTAGTTTTTTATCTTAAACTGGTTGAGAGAGGTACAACCCTCTCAACCAAATAGTTACTATAAATACACTACTGTGATTTTACTAGGATGGGTTCGAGATTTAAGGTGCCGGCACCTTTTCCACTTTGTTGATGTGCTTCTTGAGGTATGGGCACCATACAACCACTGCATATTCTACTTTTGGTCTGTGAACATTGTAAACAACTTTAGTATTTCATTATCCATGTACTGTATTTATAACCAGTTTAAATTGGAAAGTGCAGCATAGGCGTCTCGCACAATATCCTTTATGTGCTCCTCTGGTGACAATTTAATGTACAGAACCATCTCTAGATATCTTTCCTTGTCCAAGTTCTTTAATGTCTTTCTACATAATTTGTAGGTTGTGGTATATGTTCTCTTTTTTTTTTATTACATAACTTGGCATTCAGTCACATTTTTTTTATTTACATACAGTATACAAGAGCTCTTACATTCTTGTAAAGCCACCAGCATGCATGGTGTTTCATCAGGTCCTTAATCCAAATTTTTTCCCAAGGAATACGACCCATCAAATCGTTTTAACAGCCAGGTACCCATTCACTGCCGGGTAAACAGAGGCTACCGTTAAAGATTGGCATCTGGTCAATCCTCCCCAGCCAGGATATGAACCCAGGCCAAAGTGCTCGCGAAGCACCGGGCGAGAGTTTTACCACTATGCCATGGGAACGGCTAATTGAATTCCATCTGCCAAATGTTGCTACATTCGCATGTTTTGTCCAGGTCTTCTTAATTTAAGTCTGTTTTCCCTAGGAATTCAGCATCAGCAAACATACTGTATTTGTACAAGTCTGTATCCCCCTCTGGTTGATTGTTTATGTAGACAATGAACATTAGTTGATAGAACTGAGCCCCATGATACTCCACTAGTAAAATTTCTCCAGTGTGATACATTGCCTCAGATGTATCAGACTTAACACTTTTTTTTCAGTCAGAACATTTTTCATCCATGTTAGAAGTAAATTTCATCTAGATAAATTCAGGCAAGTCTTCCTGTCACACTTCCACGATGTTCCAGCTTCAAGAACATCATTTTGTGTGGGACTCTGTCAAAAGCATTTTATAGATTCAGATAAATGCAGGCAACCCAATCATCTTGTAAGATGTTTGTGGCTCTTTCGTAAGAACTAAATAGATTTGTTATACAGGATCCTGTTTGAAAACCATACTGTGCTTTATTGTCATTTCTTTCCTAATTTCGGGTAAACTAGATTGTACCAGGTATATGGTATGTTAGGTGTCTGAACAGTTTGGCACAAGTAAGTAAAACATTTAAATGCTGCAATTTCTACTGGTATGTGTGTAATTACCTACTAAATTGTAATTAAAGTGTAATGTGTAATTTCCTGTGTGCAAGAGTAAGTGTGCAATCTTGGCATAGTTATAAGTGTGATGTAAGAAACTCAAGGTATTTTAGAAATCATTTTATTTAAACATTATTTAACAGACTTTTGAAATTTGAAAAGTGCAAGAGTTAGAGGTAACAGACGCCCACCATCCCACCCAAACTCTTAATATACTCAACATTTGGTCAATTTTAGAATAAATAACACAGATGGAATTATGATTTGTGATTAAGTAATGTTTTCAAAGGGTTCCACATAATTCCATAGCCACAAAAGTTTAAACAAGTAATTATATAACCAAAAAAGCTTATGTAGTGGTAAGCAACAAAGGGTTCCACATATTACATGGCAACAAAAATATCCATAAGTGAATATACATTAACACAAATGTTTCCAAAAGTGATCATCTTGCCACAACACAGTGCAGGATTAAAATGGCAAATTATAGTAAAAAAAAAGAAGTGTAAATGCCCTACATTTTTAGCATATTTTAACCAACTGAAGAGATCCATATCAGAGCATCAACCTACAAATAGATATTAACCCAAAGAACTTAATATAGCCATAAAGTGGCTTAAGACTTTATTATAGAGATTTAGTTTGGGATCACAAGGAGAAATTGACATCTTCGTGTGCTGCGGTTGGATGGCACAATATACAGTACTGTATAATGGTTTCATTTGGTTTCATTAATAAACTATGAATCATAAACTCCTCGGCTCCTGTTTTCTCTGTTGTAACATCTTAACAAAACAAAAAAATTGTCCTTCACGTAAAAAGATTTATTTACATTATTTTTTGTAAGAAACATTTTTTTTTGTGATCTCAATTTAAATTAATATATAACATCTTATAAATTCTGGAAGAGTGAGCGAATGGACCAGGGACACACATCATTAGACAGCATGAATAAATGACTTTTAAAAGTTAAGTACTGCAATTTGATTCTTGATCATGTTAGCAATTCTGATCTTGTCATGTTTAGTCATATATTTACATGTTATTAAAACCATCAGATAAACTTTCATTTCAGTCACATATATAGTACCACAAACAATGTGTTTTCACAGTGTTCCCCCCTTTTTTATTTTTATTTTTTCTCAACACATTTTATATTTTAATCTCAATTAGTATTAAGTTTTAGTCTTTAGTGTTTTTCCTGCCCGAAACGCTATGCGTACTAGTGGCTGTACAAGAATGTAACAACTCTTGTATATATCTCAAAAAAAAAAAAAAAAAGAATAAACAAGTGATTATTACTATAATGTTCTGAGAATGACATCAACACTTCAGCTAAAACAAATATCACTTGAAAATATGTAAGTTACTGTATTTTGAGTAAAAACTTTTGGATTTCTCAATCGATTGTATCTATATTTCCACCTGTATTAAATATCCTCAATTTTGTGTCATTGTTAATTGTTTTTAGATTATACAAACATCTTTCATCACATAATACTTTAAACACACAGTTTTGGTTTACTACTCACTTTATAAAAGCAGAGAAACTTTTGATCTACTAAAACATAGTCTACCCAAAATATTCTCCCACAGTGAATACTACAAAAGGAACCCACCATGTTAGAGAACTCTACACTCATCTACACTTAATTATAATTACTTATACAAGTACTGTAGATATTGATATTCTCATTGCTTATAGAAGTAGTGATATTATTTACAAAAGTTTCCGTATCGGGAAAATCTTGGGTACCCAAAACTTGGAACAATAAGAGTAAAGTACAGTAGCATTATAATAAACAATACATGAGTATGTTAACTCTGCAAATAAGTTATATTTTAGGAGCACAGTACAGTACTCTCATTTGCACAGCTGAATTCAAACTTGCTGTGTTAAGTGTTTATTCACTACATAGATAGTTTATCCAGATGTACTTGCATCAGCTTTCCTTATAATAATGTGCATACATACAGAGATAAATATACTTATCCAGTCATACACCAAATGACTAACTATCCATGTGATAAAGATCACACACATGTGACACATTAACAATTTAATAAATGCATTTGCAGCACAGAAATTTTCTGTTGAAGTAACAAGAATTAAAAACAAATATTTACAAAAAAGAAATGAGACGCTATTAAAAGCCAATACTGAAATAACTTCGACAATTTGCATATTTTGTTTTTAATTATAATAAATATGACCTGGCTGCAAAATTAATTCCTTATCACTATGTCGTGTTGTTAACCACTTTGTATAAGGCATTTCTAACATGCTCCTCAAGCTATGTCATAACATACTTAATCTTTACCAATTACGGTATCTTGATACCTGTATTTGATTGCAGTAATCACTGCAGCATTAAAAGCTTTCATTATCTCAATAAATCACAAACTCTGACTTCCCATGACAATGTCCACACACTATACCAACTTAACATTACAATGTTGGTTTGGTATTACTGTACACTCGAGTAGGGCATACCGTGGTAATGGCCAGTTAGAACACATTTCGCTAGTGACCTGACAGGCCAAACTTAACTTTTATTATTTAGTATGCCAGTTCTGACTAGATGCTTTATCAAAACTAAGTACGGTAGTTTATCAGATAAAGGTTCATTCATGCCATGATAATGGCTGAATTTCCCATAAGACAATATGGTAAAGATTTAACAGATCTCTAATTCACAATTATAAAATATTAAATATTCTCTATCATGAGAACATTAATATAAAATATTCATTATCTCATTCAATATCTTTGTGAGCTTTACCAAATTTTGTAGAAGACAAAATATTTTCAGGTAAACTCGGGTAAAAAAAAATAAAAATAAAATAAAAGGAAAATAAAACATGTAGATACAATATTCTTGTGTGTACAGTAGTTGAACAGGCAACAACACACTTTATTGAAGATGTTTGTTACCAAGTCTTGTATGTTATCTTTAGGTTATCTTGAGATGATTTCGGGGCTTTAGTGTCCCCGCGGCCCGGTCCTCGACCAGGCCTCCACCCCCAGGAAGCAGCCCGTGACAGCTGACTAACACCCTAGGTACCTAATTTACTGCTAGGTAACAGGGGCATAGGGTGAAAGAAACTCTGCCCATTGTTTCTCGCCGGCGCCTGGGATCGAACCCAGGATCATAGGATCACAAGTCCCGCGTGCTGTCCGCTCGGCCAACCGGCTCCCTATATGTGTTCATATAATTCTTACACTTCGGCTTTCTTGTTAAAGGATCATTTCTTGTATTCATTATAGGGTCCCGGTATTACAGTCGGGTTCATTTTTGACTCGCAATCGGGAATTCTTGGTTCGAATCCCATGTAGGACAGAAATAGTTGGGGTGCATTTCCTACCATCTACAATCGGGAATTCTGGGTTCGAATCCCATGTGGGATAGAAATGGTTGGGTGCATTTCCTACCACCTAATGATCTGTTCACCTAGCAGTAAAGCTTCTGACTAGCTCCTGACCCAGGAGTCAGTCAGTTATTATGAGGTTGGTCTCTACGTTGGGGAGGACCTCCATATAAGCCTAACATGGACTGTATATATACACTGACTGCCTGTCTCTTGACACAATGAATTATTATTATTTTCCTCATAAATTCCGAACATGACCCATAGAGATTTGTGAGCCTTATTAAATAAATTTTATAACTAATTACATTTGTATAAAATTCTGTAAACAGTGATAAGAAACACCAGTACTTAATGGGTGTTGTACAAAATAAATATACTGTATATATATATTTATTTATTTTGGCATTGAAATGAGGTAATCTTTGTTACTCTGATGCTGGTTGTTGCTAATACTGTACTGTCAGGAATGAGCACACAGGTGGTCTGACACATCAAAAAACCTGCTATATACAATTATATTTCTATTTAACTATTTATATACAGATGTGATTAATCAGTATTTTATGCCAGTGTGTTTGTTCTACAGGATCCAGTACTAGTGTTCATCTCTTTTGATGTCAGTGTATTGCTTACCAAGATTAATGGAACATAAAAATACATCAGGACAAATATCTATTAATTGATTTTTAATCCCTAGTTCTTAAAATTGTCTTGAAAGTAAATGTGCAACTTTTTCAAACTTGTAATAAGGACTGATTTAAAGCAACACTAATTCAGTGTTTAAGAAAATGTCAAGAAACTAGAGCTCCTTTTTAAGTTTATTGTGTTGGACAGCAGAGTGAGTACTGGGAGTCGGTGTGCTGAGAGGAGGCACGCTGGAAGCAGGCGTACTGGGAGCATCTTTTGTGTCGTTATTGGTAGTTTTTTTGGGTGCCAGTTTGTCCATCTTCTCCTTCCTGTGTATCTGGTACTCTACAATCAGTCTACATGTCAGCATGAAGAAGAACACCTGCAATGTACCAGGTAACCATTACATTATATTTCTTTACAATACAAATCAAATATGGCATTATATTCCCCTTCACTGTATTATGAAAAGTATAAGTGAAAAGATACACATCTTCAGTTTACTTAAAATACAGATGTTTTGGAGACATAACTTGATCATCAGTGCTAAAAAGAGAATACATACAATGCTGGATTAGCTAAAAACATTAATATATAAATCAGAATTATATACTGTACTCATTAGTAATAATAATTCATTGTGTCATTGGACAGGCAACCAGTGTATGGTTAGACACGTTAGGTTTATATCGAGGTCTCCCCCCCCCCCCACACACACACACACACACACACACAAAAGATGCAACCCCACAACAGGCTGAATCACTCCTCGGTACCTACTTGCTGCTAGGTGAACAGATGCATTAGATGATAAGAAAGGTACCCAACTATTTCTGTCCCATTAAATGAATTAAAATTACTAAAAATTTAAAAACTAAACTAAAGTACAGGTATATACAGAATAAGACAGTCTATATACACAAGAAAGGAAATTATAAAAACTCAAGACCATGCTTCAAATATGATGATGATTAATGCCTAAACAACAGAGTTGAAGATTTAAAGCCATTCAACTTGTCTCATTCTGGTGACTGAGATATTGTACTGTACTCTTCAAGGTGTTGAGTTCAAGGTGAGAGGAACAAGAAAACTGAACAGTGAAAGGGTGACCCTTATTGTCACTGCGATCTCTAATAGTAAAGGATGTGCATTGAATAAGAGGCAGACCAGTACAGTAAGAAATATGGTATTTCTTAGTGATGACATTTGTTCTGACTTTTAGGTCTCGGATAGAATAAAAAATTAACACGTGGGCCCATTGAGGATATGTTTCTGATGCTTTTCAAAATATTGTATTTTACTGGAATATATCTGCCTAGTAATTTTAAAGATTTGGTTAAATATGTACAGTGAATTAAAAGCAATCACAATTTGCAAAGATGATTAAGACTTTCCATACACCTGAACTGTATGGGTCAAGGTGAATGGAATGTTTATTTCCACAGAAATGTGGATGGCAATTTATGATTAAGAATTTTTATGACCTCTAATTCTTTTGTGCTACTGCTCAAAAGATGAGTATGGGGTGCACAATAAACTGAACGTGAGGTTGTGTTCACCTCACAAATTTTGGTCAATTTGCATATTGGCCCCATAGCATATTTGGTGCTAATATAACTATAGTAGATCAGCAGCATAGCCCCAAAAAATATTACCCTTGGTGTTATCTATTCAACAGTTAGGTTTACTGCCTCTTTCAACACGAGATCAAGATACTGTAAACAGTAAATAATAAAGAACTAAAAATAGCACCTTGGTTGACCCTATTTTTTGAGAATTTCATGGCCACTTTATAAAGAGAAGAGAGCTGCTTTGTGAGTTTGTAGTTCTGAGCAGTTTCCAACCACTAAGAACTGCATTGTGTTGTACAGTAACCAGTTTTGCATGCAAATTAATTACCAGTGATGGAGCTAGTCTCTCAAACTTGTCGCCCACCATCCAATGGTTGTAGGTGGCGAACAGCATCATCACTGCCAGCAACAGGTTTGCCCACTGCTTGATTCGTTCTGAAATGAGAAGTTATAACTTGAGCTTGTCAAGTGTATTTTTGTATCTGTGGCAGATTATTGTCCAGGAGGCTTAGATTGGAGAAGGGCAATTATATTTAGTACAAAATCACATTAATATGTAATGTTTATTCTCATTTATCAATATCTAGGCAACTGAGTATATATAAAGGTACAGTAACGGTAAATCAGGTAAATAATACTTCTCAATATATAGCATCAAACTAACTAGTAATCTATGTTTAACATTGTATCTTATTGTGATATTCTAATGTCACAATAGCTACCTTCACACTGACATCAATATATATTTTCATGCTGTGATATTAATAAATTGACTTGTACAGTGACATCATGAAAGGGTGGAGGATCTCAATGCAACTTTTAAAATGCTGAATAAGTTGGAGGATTTTGATCTGGACAATTTCTTCAAGAGGTCATATGTAACACAAACAAGGAGTAACGGTTTCAAGCTCAATAGTCCACAATGTAGGACTGAGAACTGGAGATGCTTTTTCACCCACAGGCCCATGGAACTGCCTACTTGCCAAAGCCTTAATTTGTAATGCTAAAACTGTTAAATTTTGAAATCCAACTGGAAAAGATCATCAAGGGAAATGGGAAAGGACCTTCGACAAGCCACCGGCTTCCGTCGTGTTGAATTTCAAAATATACCTGGAAAAGATCATCAAGGCAAATGAGGGGGACCTTAGACAAGCCACCGGCTTCCTGTCTTCATTGAGGCCACTAGGTTAGTGGCCCTCAGGTAAATCAGGTATATATTATGTATAGAGATAACATCTACAGTGAGGCTTTAAGTGGCCTGTATAGTGAGGCAGGCTGGCTGGTGGCCGAGTCCATTTGTCTGGTAAGACAGCAGGGCTGAAGCAGCTCAGAAACTCCTGGCTGCTCTGTGGTGATGCTCTGGAGATGTTTGATGCTAGCATCCGGCCGTCTTGTATATCTGAGGCACGTACCAATGCTGCTGGGTGATTGGTAGAGAAGCAATGGCTGGTCTAGAGCAATATGCTGATGTCAGTGATACATTTATAAATACAGTACTGCTGATGTAGGAGTAACAGCTATAAGCATTGCAGTTTCTGGTGTAGCTGCTATAAATCCACTAGTCTAAGTTTAATCACTTGTTCCTTAACTGTTGTTTTCCTTCTGATGCAGAAGAGAAGCAACTTGGGTTGGATCTGCTTTATCTGCAATGTTTTCAAACAAACTTCCTGCTTTTCTTCTCACTTTGATGAATGCATCCCTGGCCCTCTAGTAGTCCTGTATATCAACTGGTCCTTTGTCAGACTTCTATCTTCTAGTGTTCTGCTAAAAAGTGTATCCTTACTCCCACAAGATATTCAAATGCCTTTACACAGTGATCATTTATTCCCATGGGGGCTTTAAAACTGCCTTCCTTTATGTCTGATTCAAAGTAAATACCATGCTAAGTTTGGCTGGTACCTCATTACCCCTAATTATTGTTTGCTTAGGAAGCTTCTTGTAGTCACTTCCATGAATTTAGCTTTTCATGTATCTGTAACTCCATGGGGTTCCCTATTCAGAAGTACTGTAGATATAATGGAGTAGGTGATAGTGACTTACTGGATGGGATAAAAGTGAGGCAAAAGCCACAGAGGACCTCTAAGCCACCCACTGTCCGTCGGTACCACTTGGAGGGGATCTTGAACTCAAGGGTCTGGGATAGAGGGAAGACCTTGCTATACCGTGCGAATTCCTTCCTCTGAAAACGACAAACATGTTTCAACTCAACAATAATATATTTCAATACAAAAGCAATATACTGTACAGTAATTCAATACCACAGCAATACAATTCAGTATTAGTAATACAATTTAGAACTACAGTATGGTGATGCAATTTTGTATTGCTGATACAATTTAATATTGTATCTATACAATTAAACAATGATGCATGAACCTCAGTGATGCAATCTATATGTATAAGAGAATGTTTTTGTCAAAAGTTGGAGGCTAGAGGCTTGGGGCTAGTCTCGCCCAACCTTGCAGGGAAATGGTATAGGCTGGTCAAGGTTGGCCTAGGTTTAGAAATATTAGCAATTACTGTATAGAGATCACTGAGCGACTGTCATGGAGTCGAGCATGAAACATTTGTTTTTCTATAGTTTTTCAGTGCTTTGTAAAAAGAATCCTGAGAAGGGGAAAAGGAGGGAAGGGAGAGGAGAGGAGGGGGGCAAGGGAGATGGGGAGGGGGAAGGAGATCCAGGTGTAGCTGGGTGGGTACCCTTCTACATGGACCATACATAAATGGAAATGGCTATCTGTTCAAGATAGCCATTTCCCCCGCCTTCCCCTCCATAACAAGGAAGGAGGGGGTAGGGGGGATACCCCCTCCTTCCCTCCATAACAGGGAAGGAGGGGGTAGGGGGGGGGAAGATGTGAAAGGGGAAAGGGTAAGGAGATGAGAGGGAAAAGGTACCTTGGAGTAGACAGCTGCTATTGGCTGCATCCTGTGTGTGTGAGAAATATATAGAGAGAAGATGGAAGAAAATAGGTCAGGAGTCAGTAAATTAGACAACCGATAGTTAAAAAGGCAGGGTCCAAGAGCTCGATTCTACAGACACAAATATCAAATATACCGAATACCACTTATACCGAATCTAGAATATGGAACAAAAAGAGGTGATATGACCACTACGTACAAATTAGTAACAAATAGTGCCAAATTGGGGAAGAATAATTCTTGAAAGTGCAGCTTCAAGAACAAGAGGTCGTAGATTCAAACTAAGGAAATAAAGCTAACAACAAAACATTAGAAAGGTCACTTTGTAAACAGTGGTAGACGGTGGGAACTAGTGAAGTGGTGGAGGCCAAAACGTCCGTAGTTTCAAAACGTTATATGACAATAGTAAATCAAATCAAATCAAAGTACTGGGAAGACAGGACACCACGAGAATAACTCGTCTTGTAACTAAGGTAATTACGCACACTTCCTCCCCCTGCACCGGGTTGTGACACAACAGCTAAGTATAGTTCAGCTGACAGACACCAGCTGGACCTCCCACCCCACAACTATGGCCTGCTCTCTCCTCCTCTACACCTGCTAGTACTTGCCTAGCTGAGCTTGCGGGGGTTGAACTTTGGTTCTTTGGTCCCGCCTCTTAACTGCCAATCAACTGGTGTATAGATTCCTGAGCCTACTGGGCTCTATCGTATCTACATTTGAAACTGTGTATGGAGTAAGCCTTCACCAAATCACTGCCTAATGCCTTCCATCTGCTAACTACTCTGACAATTAAAAAGTTCTTTTTAACGTCCCTGTGGCTCATTTGGGTACTAAGTTTCCACCTGTTTCCTTGTTCGCGTACCACCCGTAGTAAACAGTTACAGTATCTTTATCAACCTTGTCAATTCCTCTGAGAATGTTATTGGTAGTGATCATTCCCCCCCCCCCACCTAATTCTTTTGTCTTCCAGTGTCATGAGGTTTAGTTCTAGTAATTTTTTCCTCGTAACTCATGCCTTTCAGGTCGGGGGGACTAGCCTGGCGGCATACCTCTGAACCTTTTCTAATTTCGTTTTGTGTTTGACTAGATAGGATGGCTCTTGCTCCACGCTGGAGCCGCATGTTCCAGTATTAGTCTGGCATATGAGGTATACAAGGTTCTGAATGATTCCTTACACAAGGAAATACTGCCTGCCCTTTGACTGCCTTACACAAGTTTCTGAAGGCAGTTATTATGTTCGCCAGTCTTGCGAATGAAGTCACGAGCGTATTGCGCGTGTATTGCCATAGGCAGGGAGTGCCTATGGCAATACATAAACACAGGCAGTTATATTTCAAGAGAGACGACATACGGAACCAATGACCTGGCACACGGGTCCGTCTAATTACAACAAGCTACACAAAGCTTCCTGGCAATACGTTAGTAATGAATAAATATGATATGTTAGGCTGACCTAACCTAGCCTAACCGACGCTTGGATCGTCGACTTGATTTGGCGTCAGCAGCTCTTTATTTTCGTCTAATTTCTTTATAAAAAGATACTTTTTCAGATCAAAATTGTTTTTCGTGTTGTACATTCAGCACCAACATTATAATGAGTAAATATATCATATTTACAGCAGTCTCCGTGGTGTAGTGGTAAGACACTCGCCTGGCGTTCCGCGAGCGCTATGTCATGGGTTCGTATCCTGGCCGGGGAGGATTTACTGGGCGCAATTCCTTAACTGTAGCCTCTGTTTAACGCAACAGTAAAATGTGTACTTGGATGAAAAAACGATTCTTCGCGGCAGGGGATCGTATTCCAGGGACCATAGGATTAAGGACTTGCCCGAAACGCTACGCGTACTAGTGGCTGTACAAGAATGTAGCAACTCTTGTATATATCTCAAAAAAAAAAAAAAAAAAAAAAAAAAAAATTATTCATTACTAACGTATTGCCAGAAAGCTTTGTGAAGCTTGTGGTAGCCTGTGGTAGCCTGTGGTAATTAGACGGACCTGGCACACATCCCCAGGAAGCAGCCCGTTGCAGCTGTCTAACTCCCAGGTACTTATTTACTGCCAGAACAGGGGTATCAGGGTAAGAAACTGCCCATTTGTTTCTCCCTTGGCCGGGAATCGAACGTGGGCACTTAGGACTACGACCATGAGCGCTGTCCCCTTGGCAATGAGATGTGTATACCAAGTAAACTTAGTTACAGGATGAGAGCTACCTACGCCCGCGGTGTTCCGTCTTCCCAGCACTTTTTATCATATGATGCTTCGAAACTACTGACGGGTTTGGCCTCTACCATTTTCTCACTTAACTTGTTCCCACCGTCTACCATTCTGTACACAGTGTGTGTGTATACTCGCCTAGTACCTGTACCTGCCCGAAACGCTTTGCGTAATAGTGGCTTTAGGCATTGTATGTACTAGCTCTATCTATAAATCTATAAATGTTTGTAAAACCTCTTGTATGTATGTACCTTACTTGAATAAACATTTATTTATTTATTTTATTTATTAGTTGTGCTTGCGGGGGTTGGGCTGTGTGTGTTTACTATTTGTATCTGCAGAATCGAGCTATTAGCTCTTAGACCCTACCTTTTTAACTAATTTATTTTTCCCCTATTATGTTTATTACACACATTTCTCTCTAACACACACACACACATCCACAGGAAGCAGCCTATAGCAGCCGTCTAACTCCCAAGTTCCTATTTACTGCTAGGTGAAATGGGGCATCAGGGTGAAAGAAACTGCCCATTTGTTTCTTCCTCTGCCGGGGATCGAACCCGGGCCCTTAGGACTACAACCCCAGAGCTACTGGGGTTGTCTACTCGGCCACGAGGCCCCGTATGCTGTGTGTGTGATATATGGGGCCTTACACTGTGTGTGTGTGTGGGGGGGGGGGTAATTACACAGTGGGCAAGGATGTGTAGGGCTATAGACGGGTCTTGTCCCATCAAGACTTAACATTTTTTTTATTTTTCTTATTTTTGGTTTAGAATTTGTTTTGTTTTGGTGTTCTGAAATTAGGGAGTAAATTTGACGGATATGGTACGCCAGAATACGTGTGATACTGAGTTCACACGGCACATAGGTACTTAGGCCATTAACATGAAAATGTTAAACCTAACCATCAGTTTACTCCCGTCACGTAGGGTGCAGTCACACCACAGATCTCCAGTATCATCTATTGATACTGGTAATGGCTCAAGAGGGACACCACTTGCGGGCTATTCATGCCCGTGCCACCTCTTGGGTGGCTTAATCTTCATCAATCAATCAATCATCATCAGTTTATATTGTTTGCTAAAATTAGCTAATGTGGGGTACGTGGTGTGTGTGGTGGTGGTGGTAGGAGGCTAATGTGGGGTACGTGGTGTGTGTGGTGGTGGTGGTAGGAGGCTAATGTGGGGTATGTGGTGTGTATGGTGGTGGTGGTGGTGGTAGGAGGCTAATGTGGGGTATGTGGTGTGTACTCACCTAGTTGTACTCACCTAGTTGTGTTTGCGGGGGTTGAGCTCTGGCTCTTTGGTCCCGCCTCTATGTGTATGGTGGTGGTGGTGGTGGTGGTAGGAGGCTAATGTGAGGTATGTGGTGTGTATGGTGGTGGTGGGAGGCTAATGTTGGGGTATGTGGTGTGTGTGGTGGTGGTGGGAGGCTAATGTGGTGTGTGTGGTGGTGGTGGGAGGCTTATGTGGGGTATGTGGTGGGAGGCTAATGTGGGGTATGTGGTGGGAGGCTAATGTGGGGTATGTGGTGGGAGGCTAATGTGGGGTATGTGGTGTGTGTGGTGGTGGTGTAATGTGGAGTATGAGGTGTGTATGGTGGTGGTGGGAGGCTAATGTGGAGTGTATGGTGGTGGTAGGGTAATGTAGAATATGTGGTGTGTATATATGGTGGTGGTGAGAGGCGGCCAAGCCGGCACCACAACTCACTCCCCTCCACGGCTTGCGTTATTAATATTGGCCAAGTTAAAACCAATGGTTAAACAGGACACCTGTGGGATATCTTGCACGTCTTTACTATCACAGAAAGACCTGTGGGAGTTTCCTTCACAAGGTCCTAGGGTTTAATTACAAGGTTATCGAGTGAGGGGAAAAATGGTCGCTGTGCACAGTGTAACGCTCCTCCAGGCACTACTTACGAGATCTTTATGGAGCTCCTTGCTGATCTTTGGAGTCAATTTGGTTGTGCCTACAAAAATAAAGAATATACCCAGTAATACAGAGAGAGACTTGAGTACTATAGAAGCCATGGTCGGTGGCTGGTAACTGTGGCTGGGACCAATGTTTGGCCGGGACTCGTGCGCGCGCAGTCACCACGCGTTCCTAACCCTGTTTTCAAGTTCTCTGAAACATTTAAACCAATAACCTTTTATTCTATTACGTTTAATTACGCATATATAACGATAATCTCTTTCAACTCCATCTTATGTCGTGTTCAGTCTTATCATCAGGTATAAACATCGTCTTGTTGGGGGGGAAGAAAATTTGCCGAGAGAGACGAACACTTTGGCTACTCAATATCGATCACATGCATTAAGTGCAACACATGAATGATATCAGTTGATCACAGGACCTCTGCAAACACTCGGGTCATAATTATCAGCTTATGTACTCATTCCTCCCATGCATTTACACAATTAACTTTGGAACTCGTACATTTTAGTCTTTAAAAAAGGAATTTTGTTCAATACAGATATTTATTTGCCAGGATTTGAATACCTACTTTGGTTCCCTGTAGCCCCTGGTCTAAATTCCTTCCTTAGCTTACTGTGGCCACTATTTCAGTATCTATTTTAACTCCTTTTTTCACGGTCCCAATGCCCATTTTAGCGTCCCCTGTTATCTTGAGATGATGATGAGGTTATCTTGAGATGATTTCGGGGTTTTTTAGTGTCCCCGCGGCCCGGTCCTCGACTAGGCCTCGACCTGTAGCTGCATTTTCAATACCTATTTTAGCTCCCTGTAGCCTTGGTTTCAATACCTAATTTAGCTCACTGTAGATGCCTAGAATAGTTGCCTAGATGCCTAGCAACAGTTGCTGCTTTCTGATCAGGTAGTTCAATTAGATCTAAGAACATGAAAAAGGGATTACATTCATTATCACTTTCACATTTCAAGTAAACTATCAAGGTTGTTTTAATGCTCAGGCTTGTTGATTCATCAATGAGAACATAAATTTTGCCATTTATCTGCTTGATACGCTGGCAAATTAAATTTTTCATATTAATGGCTGTGATTAATTATCTCTGTGGCACTAGTGCGGGATGCAGTCCCATTCTAATGTCAACACCATTTTGCTTTTGTAGTTCCAGTAAGCTAAAATGATCAAAGTATGGTCTGTCATTCTGCGCTAAATAATTTACCTGAGGGCTACTAATACTAGTGGCCTCAACGAGTACAGGAAGCCGGCGGCTTGTCAAAGGCCCCCCCCCCCCATTTGCCCTGATCATTTTCAGCTGTATTTTAAAACCCAGCAGAGTTTTGGCATTTACATCTTCGACGTGTAGGCGGTTCCATGGGTTTTCAACCCTGAGTGAAAAAAAATCTGTTTTCAGTCCTACATTGTGGCTTGTAGATCTTTAACCCTTTGCTCCTCATTCGTGTTACATCTGACCTTTTAAAGAAATTGTCCGGATCAACATCTGATGAATAATATGCACAACGCGAAATTGAAAAAGTTATCTTTAGATGCGAAGCATTCATGGTATCACACAATTTTCCAAGAGCACTAGCTACATGTTCAACACGTAAAGGCAGTAGACTTTGAAATCTACATTCGTACTGCCTTTACTGTGAAGACCTCCGTTGTTACATTTCTTTTTGACGTAGAAAACGCTTATGACACCACCTGAAGATACAGCACTGTATGTCTCGACTACCGTTTTGTCTGAATAGCTACGTTGTTCAGTTGTCTCGACTCGACTATGGCAAGTGGGTTCATTTGATTTGATTGTTGCCGCCGGAGGCGGCTAGTTTATTGTGCACCCCATGCTCATCCTGTGAGCGGTAGCGCAAAAAGCATTACACAGGGCACAAAAGGTCTTTATCAGACCTCATCTTAAATTATTACATAAATAATTTTATCTATCCTTCACAGCTTAGTTACATGTCAGCTAGTTACAGAGAATGTTCTATTTCAAGAGCTATATATTTACAGCAAGTCATTATACATTAATGGTAGGTCTTATCGCTAATACATAATTATTTGAACAATGGAGGTATTACATATCCCCATTTATGATATTGGAGAGCATTTTTGATATTACATTATCAATGATATTTTAGATTAGAGATGCTCTCTTATCAATGATAAGAGAGCATTAATGATATTACAGACCATTTATGATATTGGGGGAGCTGCTGTTTATTATTAAGTGGGTCCAGATCCCACTTGCCCTTTGTTAGCGCCTGTCTCGCCGGCTTCCATTTCAGGGTTTGGTTCCGTGATACCATCCTTCCATGTTACTCGAGGTGTTTATGGATGTTTCAGCTCTGGCTAGGAGCTTCATTACCAGTGCTAACCAGGCTGCCTTGGGTCAGTGATAGGGCCCAATCCATCCTGCGCACAGTATGTTGCACAAATTTGCGGATACCAAAGAAGTACCAAATCATATATACGTGGAAAATACTGGAGGGCCAGGTCCCAAATTTGCACAGTAAAATATCAACATACAGGAGTGACAGATATGCAAGGAAATACTGAACAGAGCCACAGTAGAGTTGCCATAGGCACAATCAGAGAATATTGATCATCCAAGGTCCCAAGTTGTCCAATATTCTCCCAGTAAGTATAAAAAATATTGCTGGATCAAATGTGGAAATCTTCAATAAAAAACTGGACAGTTTTCTGTAAAAAGTGCCAGACCAACCAGGGTGTAATGGATACGTGAGCCTGCAGGCTGCTCCAAGTAACAGCCTGTTGGACTAAGCTCTCACAAGTCAAGCCTGGCCCCGGGCTAGGCTTAGGGAGTAAAAGAACTCTCAGAACCTCATCCAGGGTGTGTGGCATGCTCTGAGAAGGATTTGGCTCCATCTGGGCTCTATGCGCCAGCTCCACTCCAACTGCTACCCAGTAGTTCATTGCCTGAACCATGGTGAAGGGGGTGGGGGGTCGCTTCGGTCCATCACCCTGAGAAGCTGGATGCATTGAGTAGTTCGGCTTCTAGTTTCTCAGGGTTTGGTTTTCTGTGTGGTTTGTGTGGAGGGTGTGTCCAACATTCTTAAGTATAGGTTATCTTGCTTCCGTCTCATTTCTATGGAGTAGACCATCAACAATGTATCTTTCTGTTGGATCCAAGACGTTGTTTTAGATTCTGCTACTCGGTGCAAAAGTTCCAAGTAACAAGGGCTATGGTGAGCCCGCAGTGGACTTACCTGGCACAGGAGCAGGGCTGTAACTGGTGGATCAGAGACATTGTTGCCCCGAGGTAGACTGAAGACTTCATGTTGGTGTGGAACTGGCACCTTCCCTCCTACACGGCTCTGATCCCCGATCATGAGGCCCTCGCAGTGGATGTCTTTCAAATGGACTTGAGGTAAAAGTGCATTTGCCTTTTCCCCACTGTTCATTTGTCTGTCCATTCTGGAGTTATTTATGTCTCCTTTTGGAACCCTGGTGGCCAGCTCAGCCATATTTCCGCAGCTCTGGATCTTTCAGCTGATCGGCCTGATAATGTACTTTGCTGGTTTAACCTCCTCAGTTTTGTAGTTTTTGATGCCTGTCGTCATTTGTATGGTGAGTGAGTGGCTGGTTTGGTGGTGTCCCACTTGCATCTTTCTTCATGGTGGCAGTATGAGATTGTCTCGCACACGTTTCACCATTGTCTCTGCCATCTTTCATTAATTTCAGTGAAGGCTATCCTGTCTTTTGTGTCTTGGTTGTTTCTAACTTGGCGGAACCGCTGTTGCTTGCATTTGATGCTGTTTTGCAAGTTGTCTCGTGTGTTTTTAACCTCCACCCAGCTCATTCTCTTAAGCCATCTGGGTCTCTTGATCAGGTGTTGGTTTTCCTCTCCTTACCTCATTTTATGGTTCCCCTTCAGCTTATATCTTTCTCAAATCTATGATTTTTGTTGGCTCTTGCCTCTGGCTGTAGGGTTGGGGGAGCTTCAGACTCTTCTTTGGAGGCAGGGGATTTTGTTCCTTTGGTCCAAGTGAACAGTTTGTTCATTGGCAGCAGCCTCCTTTTTGGGCAAAGAATGAGTCGATTAGCCTTTAGATGGGTTCATTGGTGATTGATGTTTAGTTGGTCCGGTCGAGGGTGCATCACTTGTTGTGCCCAGTGGCAGCTCCTCACCACTATCTGCCTCGGTAGATGCCTTGTTGGTTAACTGTTTCCTTGTTCCCCTGTTCCAAGGCTTGTATTTTCCAGGTCATCAAATCTAGCCTCCCAGCAGTCTACACTCAGGCCCATGATGTTCACAAGTATGCTGCATTAACTGCAATCTTCTCATTCCATTCTTTGTATACACCACATGGCATCCAGAGGTGTCGTGTCTGCTACAAGTATGGTAAAAGGAAGGACACCAGGTATAACTGCAAGTTGTGTGGTGTGGCATTGTTTGCTGCACCATGCTCCGGCTTGTATCATCGCAAGAAGACATTCTAGGTGGCTAAGCAGTAATGCTTACCCACTTATAAAACATCTGTTGAGCAACTTCACGAAATCTTTTCTTGGAGCAGGTGGAGGGGTTCTACCTAATGTTCAACTCGTGCTTTACAATCATCATTGGGTGGTAGGTACAGATATGTTTATTCATTTTTTTATACATATGATATTGTGGTACAAACACTTGTGAAGGAAGCAACACAAAAACGAATGATATGGTGTCGTAACGTTGTTCTTATATACAAATATTCCTTTAGAGCATTCTATTGTGAACAATTTGATACCATATTGAAGTTGAAAAAATATAAACATTGGAATGTGGTGGCCCCACAGGTAGCTCATTGGCAACGTGCGGCCTACCTTGTGGTGCGGGGCGGGCCAGCAGAAGTGTCAAGTGAGGTGGTGGTGGAGGCCAAAACCATCAGTAGTTTCAAAGCATTATGTGACATTACTGGGAACACCATGAGCATAGCTCTCATTCTGTAACTACACTTAGCTAATTACATACATTATGAATATGGCAAACATGCTTTTAAGTGAAAATGGGCCTTGGCCCAGACTCACAGGTAAAATTGATTCAAAGATAGCCTACAGTACCTGCAATGTAGCCGTCTCCAAACAACACTTGCTATATACCAGTAGTTGTAATGGCTTGGTACTGTCTTCTGATAGTTCCCTTCCCCAGTTGCAACAAACACCCAGTTGACCACATGGGGGTTATAAGGCAAGTGAGGCGGCACCACCACCCATGGAGCCTCAAGAGGAAGGTGTGGGTGACCAGGGTAATCATGTGCATCACACAAAATAAAAGTTTTGGAAAGAGTGATTAAGAATCAGATTTCCAGTTTTTATGGAAAATAATAAACGTCACAACCCACGACAACATGGATTTAGAGTGGGAAGATCCTGTCGTCACAGTTACTCGACCACTATGACAAAAATCATAGGTCTTAGAAGAAAAGCAAAATGCAGATATTTTATACAGACTTTGCAAAGGCATTCGACAAATGTGACCATGGTGTGATTGACCATAAAATGAGGTCAATAAGAATAATTGGTAAAGTGGGGCATTGTATTTTCAACTTTCTGCCAAACATAATACAGAGTGTGATGGGCAATCATATAAGATTGATTGATCATATGGCCAAGTGCAGTGAAAACTCTGAACGCCAGGGCACAGTCCTTGCACCACTGCTATTTCTCATTCTTATCTTAGATATAGACAAAAATACAGCTTCGTGTCATCCTTTGCAGATGATACAAAAATTAGCATGAAAATTGCCTCTGTAGAAGACACTGAAAAGCTACAGGCAGATATTAAGTCTTCAATTGGGCAACTGAAAATAACATGATGTTTAACAGTGATAAATTCCAAGTACTTGGGGTATGGTGGAAAAAAGGAACTTAAATGAAACACAGGACACAGGTGGAAACAAAGTACCCAAATGAGCCACACACATTACAAAGAACTTTTTCAGTGTCAAGAGTAGTTAACAGACAGAATGCATAAGGCAGTGAAGTGGTGGAGGTAGACTCCATACACGGTTTCAAATGTAGATATGACAGCGCCCAGTAGGCTCAGGAATCTGTACTCCAGTTGATTGACGGGACCAAAGAGCCAAAGCTCAATCCCTGCAAGCACAACTAGGCGAGTACAATCAGATCTACTCATAGAAGAAAAATAACATGTAAAAGATCTGAGAAATGTGACGTCTGATGCTCTAACACTTGGTGAATATAACTGAGCAAATATAGCAGTGGCCAGGAAAAATGATATGATGGAATTGAGAACGTTCAAAATCAGAGACCCAACAGCAATGCTAGTACTGTACTATGTAAATCATTGGTGCTGTCCCATCTTGAGTATTACTTGGTACTCAATTCCCCTTTCAGAGCAGGAGATATCTCGGAATTGGAGGAAATACAGAGAACATATACGACACGAATAGAAATGATAAAACATCTAAATTATTGGGACCGTCTCAAAGCTCTCAACATGTGCTCTGGAAAGGTATCAAATAATATATACATGGATGATCCTGGAGGGGCCAGGTCCCAAATTTGCATACTAGAATAACATATTGGAGTGACAGGTACAGAAGTAAATGCAGAATAGAACCAGTGAGGAGTAGAGGTGCCAGAAGCACATTCAAAGTACACTGATCATCAGGGCTCCATGGCTGCTCAACACCCAGCAAGCATTGGAAATATTGCTAGAACAAAGGTGCATGTATTAAAGAGGCATTTAGTAGAGTTCTTGCAAGAAGTGCCGGACCAACTAGGTTGTAGTGTACATGTGGGCTTGCAGGCTGCTCCAAGCAACAGCCTGTTGGATCAAGTATTTTGTGACAATTATTAGTGCTATAATGTGTGGTTTGCTTTGATCTCCCCAGCCTATTGAAAGAAGATATTTGTAAAGGTACTTTTTCTTTATGAGTAAGTCACTCAAGGCCCAATGTGACCAATGTCCTGGGGTGGTCGGAGTCAGGCAAGGAAAACTACAGGGGGTTGTTGAACAGAAAAATCATTAAATTTTGATTAACCCCAAAAAAAGTTATTATCATGCATTGACTTACAGGGTAATGTGGTTGTTATATGTTGATTTAAACTATTATTGTCTGCATTTTACATCAGATGTATAGATAAATTGTTACATATAGTAGTAGAATTATATCTTGACCCATGAAAAAATCCTGCTACTGTTTTATGAACATCTTATTATGTCAATTATGTCAATATAATAGTATGCCAATATGTTCATGGTATAAAATTTCATTATACATAATTACTTACGTATGCCAATTATGCTCATCAGGTTTTCACAACACTATATGGTTAATGAAGTATACTAAGTCAACCAATCATTTGGTCATAATACTGTAAATGAGGTACAGAAGGCCTATTGGCACATGAGGCAGCTCCTATTTACAGTATATCTATACGGTACTGTATGAGCTCTGTTATTAAAAGGCCTTTTGAAGCGTATATTTGGGTTCTGGCCAAAATCGTACCTGAATAATTTTTTGGCAAAACATTGCTATATCCAGACAGAAATTCAGACCGGAGATTAGGTTATGTAAATTTTCAAGGACTATACACTTCAAGATCTACAGTATCAAACAAGATGACAAAACACAAGGTAAGCTGAAGTCTGTTTTAAATTATATTTTTTATTTATAGTATAGAAATTCAAATTATGATGGTTGTGGTACAAAAAATTTGTGAATGTTAATTTTCAGACTTCCCTGATAAAAATTAGAGATGTCTGGCTTATTCAGTGAGGGGTCCTTACCATATAGTCGGGATAAGTGAGCTTAGTCAGTATAAATTGATAAAATACTCTGGAAGTGATTGCCTTTAGGCAACATGTATATACAAGATAAATACAGTGTCATAATTATTAAATCTTTTATTATACTTGGGTCAAGGAATACATTGTTATGTACAAGGCATAAGTCTAACTGGTATATCAATATTACTCATTATTTACAAGCTAAACAATGGATGAATAATTCATAAAAAAGTTACAATGAGGCACAAAATACAACAAGTAATTGTGTTAAACAATGAGGATGAACACAGCTCTTAACCACAGTGATGAACTACAGGATGAACCTCCAAGACTCCCTCAAGTAACAAGAAAAGGAAGTGCTTTACATATCAGCTGGCAACGTAAAACCACAATTGCACTTTGTCTTCAGCCTGCCTTTTACCATCACATTATAAAACACTCTACTTTTCGTTGCATGTAGCACTGTTACAGCTAACTCTTGCTCGGTTGTGATCATATCTTGAACAGTTGTCCCAATACACTTAAACCTTACCTTTTATTTTTCTAAGAGGTGCAAGTTGAACAGGTTTAATTCTTGACAGTGAATAAGCCCCCCCCCTCCCCCATTCCTTGCTGCCAAAGACCTAATACATGTATTGAGCAAGGGGTGAACAGTCATATGGACAGTCATTATTAAGTACTCCTGTAGGCATCAAAATGTCAAATCCTCTTATGAAATAGTCCACTAAAACTCTGACCTTGTGGTAAAAATTAAGATAAGGCCCAGACTTAATTATAAGGAGTTTTGCACTATTGGAATCCCTCACCTTAAAAAATAGCATTTATTTCAACATATCACGAAAGTGGCTGAACCAGGGCTCTATTTGTACAGCAGTGTATACAAGTTTTTTTTCTCTTCCTTTCAGGAAGATAAGTAAAAAACCAGCTTTACTCAATTTCCTAGCAAAAGCATTATACAATGCTAACCCTCACCCCTGGTGTTGACAATAGCTTCAGTTCACTAAGTGATGAGACTTCATTGTTTCACTCAAAGGTGTGGTTAGGTTTGTGGTAACACGAGCCTAGTTGCAATGGCCTCCAACTCTTGGGATAAGGGTCAGCATGATATAGATAAATTGCTTTTGGCTGTACTGCTATGACAAGGCCCCAGTCAGCAAGCCAAGACTTTGATGATATACTTGTGTATTTTTGCTGCCAACATAGCAGCAACTGTGACAGCAAATCATCACTTACACTGTATTTCTGGTCAAATAAGTGTAAAAGAATAAAAATAATACTGAAGTGCAATCTTCTGATGTAATTAATTTAATGCTAAAGTGTATCACAATATTTTTCTTTATGGCCATGAATGACAATATTTTAGTTAAGTTTAAAGGCATGTAATGAGAAATTTTCATCAGCATATGAACATTCTCATACCATTAATCTTGTCATCCACTTGTCACTCACTATGGAACAAAGTTTGCCAAATAGTCCTTGAAGAAGCACTAGCAGAACTGACAAGAGTATCTCTGAAAGCACTAACCTGGACATCAGTGGATACACATTTAGTCCTCCTGTTAAATAGAAATTTGAAGCTAGGTAGCAGTGTTATGTTTAATTTCTCCAAAGCACTGCCACACTTGCTTCTGCAGATTATGAAGTAAAATTCGTGCTAGGCTAAGGGGTCGGCTACCTAAGAGTGCCAGCTTATCACATTTCAGTTAAATATAGTAATATGCTGCTACAAATGGCTACTGCTTAACCTGACAACTTCAATTTGTCTTTCCTTGCACTCTATGTGGAAGAGATCATGAATGCAAACTTAAGACTGGAAAAAAGGCATATATTACCTGATGTGCTATCCAAATTGCATCTATCACAATTTTCTTCAATATGAAAAGGAATCGCTTGTGAGAAAAGTGTCCATAGTGGCATATATGTTGAATGATATTCATATTTATTAAAAAAGAAAATCATCCAATTGATATTATGTTTTTTCTTCGTTGGTAAATAATGTATGTAGTATTAGGCAAACCACTTACACTGTTTATTACGTTCTTTCACCCTGTGATGGGAATGACTTCTGGTGGTGGCATAGGTGCTGTACCATCAGAACCCTCTATACAGAAACGTGCTTCATCTTCACTGTCTGCTGGGAATGACTTTGAAGAGCTCTCATTTCCCTGTCCACTACTATTACTACAGGCTTGACTTAAGCGGTCATCACTACTCCACTTTCCGTCAATGCTTTCGTCGCTCTCCGTCACGTGGACACCATTGATGTTTAAAGTTGAGGCAGTTGGAGGATCTGTGTTGATATCAGAATGAGAACTATCTGCAGAAGATTTTGCAGACAAGTTTGATTCTTGATGACTAAGCACTACTTCCGCCATTTGGCTCACATTCGCCGATCGCAAACCGTCGGGCTCAACATCGTCTGTAAGAAAATTAAGTGGGTGAATAATAATGCATTACTCAAACCATAATGTTTTTCTCACCCAGCTGAATGAGATGAATAAATATTAACTACTTCAAGGACTCTTTTTAAACATCTGCACATTGTTAATGCTTTATTTCTTACCATTATCCTCCATTAGCAAAATAAACACATACTGTACTGTACTTAATCACTGGAGGAAAAGATCTCCACAAAATAAATGCTAACTATACTCAATCTCTGAATTTGATCTACATACAATTTAATAATATATTTATAGAATAGACTGGGTTCCATTTTGCATTCTTTTCTCTTCCCTTCTCATTGCTACCGTGTAGTTTTGGACTTTTTCGTATTTATATTAGTTCCACTTGTTTTTTACGTGTGGTTCACAACTTCTTAAACCAGCCATTTTCAATCCTGTTTGTTTTTATATAAGAAACTTGATTGGCTTAATTATAAATTCATCAATTTTCTATACAGTACAATTTCCTCCCATTCTAATTTTTCCCAATGAAATCTAATGAACACCCTCAATTCCCTATGACATCCAACCAGTACTGCTAAGAATAGTAGTAGTAGGCATCCATCAGTCTCAAGACTTATGGATCAGTCCTGAGTTTCAAAATTGTGCAAATTGTTAATGAAAGTGCCCTTTCATTAACACTTTCGTTGACCCGCCGTGCACCTCAAGGTAGCCAAAGTGGTGCACGTGAACTCGCCACCGCATGCAAATGTTTATGTTTTTCAGCTTTCTGACCTCATTTTTCGTGCTGTTGTTCAATTTGGTATCAAATTGTTCACAATAGAATGCTGTAAAGGGATATTTGCATATAGGAACATGTAAGTTTCATTTTTCTATACTTTCAATGAAAACTCAATAACTTTTCCTTTATACATGTTTCTTTCAATGCTTTTGTCATGGATTGGATCTGTTCTTGATCAGTATCCATTTGGAGGTAAATTTGCAGTGTTTATATAACTGGTAACAACAACATACCCAAGATAAAATAACCAGAACGGGGAAACTTTTTGACTCGAGGGAAGGCTGCGGCTGTCACGAGCGAGGTCACGAGAACAGCGAGCCTCAAGCGTGGGTAGGCACCCACCTGGCAGGGATCGGGATGCCATGTGGGGTATACAGATAATGGGAAGAAGTTGGCGAACATTTTAAAATAAGTCCTTTAATATTCGGACAAGAAATGGAATTTCTATTAATTTTTAAAATATTGATGCCATTTGTGTCATGCTGCAGACTCCGCATTTTGGTTTTATGACGGGATATGTGGCATCAGGTAATAAGTGATAATTTCTATTAATTAATTTCACCTCTAAATTTAATAGCTTTGGAAATACAACCTCACTTAGTTTTGTTTTCTACAAAGCAAAAAAATTTGTCCATTTTATTATAAAGCATCTATTAGCTCTAGAGCTTTTTTTTAAACTTGTAACAGTATCTATGTCTATAAAGTAGAATGTCTGTGTCTAAAGTAGGAGGCCAGATTGCTTCAGGCTAGCCTCACTAAAGTTTCCAAGATGAAACATGGGAAAGAGGAGGGGCCGAGGGGCCATCAGCTTTGGTCTCAAAGGTCATGAATAATTTCTTTAGTATTTCACCATCCATGTACAGTATTTAATACTGTATATGTATTGCTTTTATAGTTGTGTGTGTATAGAACGTGCTGACAAAAACTTGGTTCAACTAAACTGCACACACTAAATTATAATCAGATTAAGTACATTTTATTACAAAGCAGAATTAGGTACACCATATCAGGGAATCTGAATACAATTTATTGTCAGTTTTCCTATCCTTGTCATGCAACTATTTGCAACACATTCTATTTTCTTCTACATATTGAAACCTGTAATAGTTTTTGACAGACTTTCACAGTTGACTATGGGTAATGTGTACTGGAGCACCACCACACTACCTATGGGTAATGTGTACTGGTGCACCACCACACTACCTATGGGTAATGTGTACTGGAGCACCACCACACTATCTATGGGTAATGTGTACTGGTGCACCACCACACTACCTATGGGTAATGTGTACTGGAGCACCACCACACTACCTATGGGTAATGTGTACTGGAGCACCACCACACTACCTATGGGTAATGTGTACTGGAGCACCACCACACTACCTACAGGTGCTGGCAGTTGGAGCAACATCTACCAAAATATCAGCCTTAACTAGATGCAACAGAGCACTATCATAGATCAAATACACTATTATTAGTCAGCTACTGCATTATTATGGAACTCATGATTGCATGTGAAACTACACCACATATAAATCAAGAAATTCTACAATGAAAATAAAGAATGGGTTTTTTCATGCACTTTAATAAAATAGAAAATGAAGACTTTCCCCCATACCTGAGTTACAGAGTTTAGCGAGACTGAGGGAGTGAAAGTAAAGGGAGTAAGGGAGGGAGGGAGAAAAACACCAATAAGAGATAAGTCAAATGGTCATATTTTTTTTTATCAAAATCAAGCTGTGTACCCAAAAACTGTGAAGGGGTTCAATGCAATTGTAGCCAAGGAAAATAAATCCTTAATTCATAATACAAGACTGCAAGAATACAGGTATTCCTTCTGAGTGACCTAATATGGACAAGTATTGGAAAACCTACAAGGCAAAGGTTATTGCTAAATAAGCTAAATGAGGTATTTTAGTCATTACATGAACTCCATAAAAATAGTTAGTACATAACCTAATCTTTGGTACAGTTAGTGATAGCATAGCCTTTAATCTTCAGCCAAAAGAGGTAGTACTGTACTGGAAGTTGGGATCAAACGCTGACAAAGACAAAATGCAAGAAAATACGTCTTACTTACTACATGGTTTCAGAACGAGTTCTTTGAGAATGTCGGATAGAGATATGACACCCACAACCCGTCTTTTCTCATCCACCACGACCAAACGATGCACTTCTGCCCTCACGATACGCTCCATGATGGTCCCGAGCGTTTCATCGAGCGTGCAACTATGAACCTGTTCGAACCACTCGTTGCGGTACTCATTTGCTTTGAGGAGCGTCACATCAAGATTATTGTATGTTCCTTCTGCAGCAAGATTCTGTGAAAGAGATAAAACAGGTAATCAATTTACTTAAAGAATAAAGCAATACAGTACTGAGCTTTGAGAGGTACACAGTATGGTGTCTCTCCAATAGTTCTTTATTTCACCCCAATATGTATAAAGCCAAAAGATCATACTAAATTGTATGACTTCATTTTGTTTTCCCAACTGTGAATAATTTTCTCCTCAGTGCTGCTTTTTTAAGTGCCTTTTCTTGAAACTTCCTGCTTGTCCCAAGTTTCCTTGTGAAAGTCAATCTTAATGACTGTACCGGCAACAATATTTTCACAGGTTAGCCGAGTCACACACCAACTGAGTGTTTACAGTCTGCTCGGAATAAAGCTGAACAATAAACTTTCTCAAGGAAACCTCAGAAAGGTTGGTTTCCTTCAGGAATAGTTCTGGATGGTTGTCCAGGACTATTGCCAGTGTGGTCATGGGCTACACTGATTGTCCAGGACTATTGCCAGTGTGGTTGTGACTACCTTGTGGTTACTTTGTGTAGCTTCCGGGGATCAATGGCCCCATGGCCAAGTCTCTGACCAGGCCTCCCAATTGGTTGTCTGGTGAACCAGGCTGTGGGATGCAGCTGCTCGCAGCTCTATGTATGAATCACAGCCTGGTTGATCAGGTATTTTTTGGAGGTGTTTGTCGAGTTACCTCTTGGCCACTGTGAGAGGCCGGCCAATTACGCTCCTTATGTGTAGTAGAAGTACGTTGAAGGTTTTTGGCCCTTGATGTTGATAAAGTTCTTCCTCAGCGTACTTATTGAACTTCTGCTTTTCAACAAGGATATTTTGCACATCCTGCCATGCCTACTGGTCTCATGTGATGTTATTTTTGTTCAGAGTTGGAACCAGTCCTTCTAATATCTTCTACGCGTAGATCATTATGCATCTTTTTCACCTACGATCTAGAGAGTACAGATTTCGAACTTTTAATAGGTCCCAAGATTTATAGAGTGAATTCTAGTGGTAAAGGATCTTTGTACACACTCTAGGTCAGTAATTTCTTTACTCTGAATAGGGCTGTTAGAGTGCAACAATATTCCACCTTAGAGAGCACTAGTGTCTTGAAAATTATCATTGGTATGGCATCCCTTGTTATTGAATCTGTCATGACAGGTTGGCATATCCACCTGTCATGGTCACACTGGCTGTCCAAACTCTTGCTGGTATGGTTATTGTCACACTAGCTGTCTAGAACTATTACTGGTTGTGGTCATGGCCACACTGGATGTCCAACTGCTTGTGCTCCCATACTCCCTCTCTCCCAGCTACTGGGTGAGAGCACCAGTAGCTGGGAGAGAGAGAGAGAGGGGGGGGGGACTATGGGAGCACCAGTAACTGGGAGAGAGAGAAAGAGAGAGGGACTATGGGAGCATCAGTAGCTGGGAGGAGATGAAAGATGTGTACTGGGAGCTGTGACAGACAACGGAGGACAAGACTCGAGAACGTTGTGTTCCTCAAGTCTATCATTAAGTGTACAGTCAGTTTCCCCAAAGTATTAGAGAGGACAAGACAAACAGGAAATAGACACTAGCAGCATTGGAAGCAGAATAAGCAGTGTATTTAGTGATAGTAATAAAGTAGCCATGGGTGTTAAGGAGAAACCAGCCGACTGCCCACCACCTATCAATGCTCCTGGATATTTGCAGTTTCTAATTATCTATTTTATGTACTGTTTTAAGGCATTAGACATTATATCGTGCATTGATTTCATTTATGTTTAAAGACTATACGAGTATCTGTCAACCTCAACTAATAGTCTTCAAAAATGGAATACAAGAGTTGAGTTACACAAGTACAAATGCTGCAGTGGCTTCCTCAATTATATGATACTTACTATGACATCAAACTTGGCATATATGTCAACAAGCTTTCCTTCATCATCAACAATAGGCAAGGCAGAGATTCTATGTTGCACAAACTTATTAAGAGCTTCTATGATGAGCGTATCCTGACTTGCCGTTTCTATATCTTTATACGTGCCTATTTCCAATTCCCTTAGTGGCTTCTGCAAGATGGACGGCTTGGGCAGCTCATTGATCTGTGGGGAGAACAAGTAATTACAAAAAGTCAAGCATAGCTTAGGAGCCATAAATGTATCTTTCTATATTTCTGAATATACAGTAAATAAAGAGCTGCAAAAGACTGGTATTAGTTTAACAAAACTAGTATGAGTTTCCGTCTATGATGGACTTGAGTATTTATTCAGAGTACATTTCCACAATTAGCATTTTTAGGACAATTTTCATCGCAAGAAAACAATTAGAGATATGACAACTTTTTGGAAAACAAATCAATAAGATAGCTAAAAGCAGTTGTCAAAGAGGCTTTAAGAATTATGGCTAAAGATTTTTGGAAATGTAATACAGTATTACTTTTAGCACTGTACTCATTGTTTACCTGTAGTACTGCTTTACTGTCACCTCTGAGATCTATGCCTTTCTGGACCTCTCCTCCTCTTCCAATTATTTCCCATTAAACACAAGGTTTACTTTGCTTTTCTCTCTTACTTCTTTCTCGAGTCAGCTTTGACATTGGCATGCATCCAGGCAATAAATTCCTTCATCTGATATGTGGTCTTTATCTCCAATTCATTCTTCCATTGAACTTCTTGTAGTTTGATCCTTGCCCTCCAGTATTCAACACATCTGTAGTGTGTACTATTCTTCAACCCATTTCTTGAGTTTACATCCTCTTTCAGCTGTAACATTAACTGGACACAATAATGCAGTGGTTGCTGACTCCAAGGACCATCTCATACTCAACACTATATTCTGACCTGTGTCTGGTTCTAGATAAACACCCCTGCTACTAATTAACCTTCCTCTTGTTGGATCAATGATCCTACACAGGTTTTCTTTCCACTGTGTTGAGTCTGGTCTGCTCGTTCCATCTCCCTCTCGTCTGTATTGCTATGCGTCTTCCTCTGGCTGTCAGATTGTAAATTACCATAAATTTCTCCATCTCCAGTTTTTATTAAACACATTTCACAACCTGCTTGTATCTTACAGCCTCTAACAATTTTAGGTGGTCCCAACCCAATTATTTAGATATTTTATTGAATAGAATAGATTTTAACAATTAAGGTTCTCGAGATATTCCCAAAATCGAAAATTTTTCTAACTTTGAATAGAAATATCTAAATAATTGGATCTAGTCAAAATCCTTCTAATTGTACTCTTTTTAAAATGCAGATGAGAGACATACATCACAATTTATTCCACACTAGATGGTACTTTTTAAAAAGATTAGTACTATCACTTATGCGGCACCTCTTGTTTGAAAGAGCTCTTGTTATCCAGCCTTACTTTTTTCTTCCAAATGCGACACGTATTTTATTGTGTTCTTTAAAATTAAGGTCAGCCAACATGACTACTCCCAGGTCATTTGCATTTATGAATTATTCACTTTACCATAATGCCGAAGCTGCAACTTGTTTTCAACCCAGCTCCTTTGTCCTATTTACATTCAGTTTAAGAAGTGATGGTTGCAGTGACTGTAGCATTGGTGGTAGTAGGCAAGTAGGTTGGGTGCTAGAGCAAGCAATAAGCAAGCCTCTCAGACAGCATGTACTGTATGTACTTACATTACAGTACAAGGCTCCTCTTGGTAGAAGGGAAGCCATTTATGTATATAATCTAGATAGAGGGCTGAAAGATTAAACTCTTCAATAATAAAGCACACTAAGTAAAACCTATAAAATTTGAAGCAAAACCTTAATTTTTATAGGTTTGAAGTTTAACTGTAATAATAAAGAATTTACATCTATAAACCATTAAGAGTTACAACTGTGAACATTCTAAGACACATTCCAAAACAAATTCAGTGTCTTGACAGTTCTTGCTAAATATCATATCTCTATGTTGTTACATCAATTCCATAACTTCCAAGGATATCGTTAGGCACTACAGTAATAATCACTTGGCATCAGGCATACGTCATGTGCTTAATGCCTGAAGCCAAGACATTTTGGAGCAGCAATGCTCATGTCATTTTTTACACAAGACCAACCATCTCCCTCCCGAATAACTTTTAAAATGGTTCTAATGTGTGTCACATGGGAACACCCCCTGATAACTATAAATATCTTCCATGTTCAACAACACATGAGAAAAATTCAAATTATGCATGAAGTTTCATTCCTCCATATACTGTATCTCATTAATAATAATACAAAAGTTAAATAAAAAAATTTTTTTTTTTTTTAGTTTTCTAATTATTAAACTATGTGTAAACATAGTATAGACACACAAGAATGCAGTTATGGAGACTTGAGATCTGAGTTATAACCTACACAAAGTAATACATGTCATAAGCAAAAATATATGACACATGACAGAACCAACTGGCATTACAGAAGAAAATACAAAAATACTTACATATAAGTAAAGGAACTTGAGAATGCGCTTGTGTGTGACAATATACAAAACATTGCCCGTGGCGGGATCGATGACGGGGAGACGGTGAATTTTATGATGGATGAGAGATCGTATAGCAACATACAAAGACTCGTCCGGTCGAATGCTGATTAACGGCCGAGCTTCATCCTTCAGTACCGCTGCAAACATTAAAAATCATTCACTACCATCATAGTTTATTGAGTTCAAACTCTAGAAATAGTTTGAGCCATGTGGAAAGGTTTAGCATCCCAAGCACCTTGGGATGGATGCTTGAGAAAGCTATTGAAGATATTTAAAACCAAATTCTATGATTTCTTTCATGTCGAGTTGACAAGGTTTTCATTCACTCGGGTATGGCCCACTACCATTTGAAAACGAGTTTTGAGACTAGAGACATGAGAAATAAGCTAGGTGTGGTTAAATTTGGTAGTTGTATGATTATATTATAGATTGAACTTGAAATTTTCCTAAATGAAGTTAGCCCGTATGGCAGGGAAAATGCATCCTGGAGGCATCTCCGGTTGCAACAAATCCCTCGCTACAACAAATTTGGGGCTGGACCCATGTAGTTCATTGAATTTAAGTTGTACTGTAGGGAGAAGGGGCACAGTAACAAAGTAAACAAAAGTTTACTTACTTCGCCAAGTTTCAAGGCGATGGTCCTCCAACTCTTCCATTTTACGATTCGGTGAATTATAAAAATTCTGAAGAATACGGATGAAGTCTGTGATTGTGAGCATGCCAATAAACTGCTGCCGTTCAGAATCCCAGAGCGGGGCAGCTCGAACTCCATTGTAAACCAATGCAAAAAAGGCCTGCAACAAAAATACTTAAGGTCAATAATGTTCCTTCAAATATTAATAACAACTGGATGCAATGTATGTTGACCACAGCCATTCAAGAAAGGCTTTGCCAGGCTGGCATGTCTCAATATGCAAGTGGTGTACTGAGTATAGGGGAACAATAATGCACAGAGTGAGGGAGGGAGTGGGGATAGTAATGGCAGACAGTCGAGTAAGTAATGATGCTTAATGCCCCATCTTAAGATTATCTCGAGATGATTTCGGGGCTTTAGTGTCCCTGCGGCCCGGTCCTCGACCAGGCCTCCACCCCCAGGAAGCAGCCCGTGACAACTGACTAACACCCAGGTACCTATTTTAAAGCTAGGTAACAGCTAGCCCCACCTACCAGTCTTTGTGTATTTAATCTCTGAAAGTGTTCCACTCTTCTTTACCACAATGAGACACAATTGCAGACAACAGAATCTCTGACTCTAATAATGTAGATTTACTTGCATAATAACCTATATATTTTATTCATATGATTTACAGTACTGTACAAGCAAATCATTTATATTATATTTACTGTCCAGTATAGTACACTGTACTTATTATTATTAAACTTTGTCTTTGCTTCCAAAATGTGCAATGCAGACTAAGGTATTGGGTCAAGAAAGTATTAACCATGAAAACACTAACATTAATCACCAATTAATTCTGTAAACATTGCCATAGCGGTGGCATTGTCCAAGGTGAACTGTTAAAATGATCATTGGGTCTCTTAAACCACATTGAATTTTGAATGTTACTGTAATTTAGAATGTTAGATTCTGAAGATTCAGAATTCCCCTGCACATGAACTCTGGTAAATGTAATGACATTGGTAATAAAACTAAACAGCATTGTCTTGAGTGCCTTTAACGCTTTAGCAATACCACTCCCCCCTTTCCTCAACTTTACTGACCATAAACATGCCAGGCCTCTCACGGCTTCATTCAGTGATGATTAAAATATTTATACATTTTCTAATTTACTTTGTTTTAACTAAATTAGTATCAAAATGTCCACAAATGGATGTTCTAGAGTAGAGATTAACCCTTGGAGGGCGCAACACAAATCATATACTGTATATGATTTGCAGATTTAAAATATTTAAACTAGTCGTGCACATACACAGGGCTCACATTCGCTTCCTCGGCTTCCAATAACCATCTCCCATCTTGAAAAAAAAAATCCAGAGACCCCTCACTTTCCTTCTAGGGGTCTTAATAAGAAAATGAGGACCATTGTTTGGCAACATCATCATCCAATGTCTGAACGTTTAGGACCGCCATAGAGGGGACACTAAACTTTTAACAGCAATAAATGAGTGATTATCATCTATATATTTGAGGCAAACTGTGTGCTATATACAACTTTAAGATTTAGGCTTATATATATATATATATATATTAGTATCAATAAGTCTATATATCTATACTCATATTATACATACTTATATCTTCAAAGTTATACATGATAAAAAGAACAAGTGACAAATGTAAACTGTTAGCATGGAAAAACTAAATAAATAAAGTGACAAACAATTAAAATAAGTCAACAAACTTATTCCCATGCAGCACCTCACCTTATTTCTACCCCCCCCAAAAAAAAGCTAAACCACAAGTGGTATAGACTTTTTATTTGGATTTTTTGTCCTCTTAGCCTCTTCCTGGAGGCTAATTAACATCAGAACAAAAAAAAATAAAAAAATTTTAGAACAATTTTTGTGTTTAGCACCACAAGGATGTCAGCTGGTGACAGTTGCTCAGCCCGGGGGTTAAAGAATAAAAGTTGTATTGGTAATAGAACGTGACTATGCTTAATGTACAAAAGTTTATGACCATTTCAACATTCCTCATTTATTTTTCAAAGTGAATAAAAAATATATGGAAATGTGTGTACATGATTCGAGTATATAGCTGTAAAAATGAGATGAACTTAACTCACACATTTTTTTTTATATGTAATTTACAAAGCAAAGAGAAAATGTGCACAGGTAGAACAATAATCATCTTGAATGATGGGTGGTTGGCCGAGGTGATCTTGAATGGGTCCTCTGATCATCTATTGCTTATATTGCACTCGTGTATTTCAATCATTTTGTCATGAAAGTGCAAATAGAATGGAGTATTTAGAATGTGTTTGCTCAACACTTAGATATGCAAGAAATCCAGTCAAGGCTCTGGTATACAGTTGGCTCTAGTTTCATCTTATTCTGAACAACATTGTTCATTCCTTATGGAAAAAATAAGTTCATAAAAAAAAAAAAAAAAAAAAAGTGATGATGATGTAATGGTAACAGCTCTTAGCTGCAGTTTCATTAGAAGCATCAATGACTACCTAATGAACCCTTGTATTAGTTAAAAGTGTTTTTAGGAAATTCTAGGATTGGATGATGCATTTTAATAGTGTCTGAATGCTAAAGTGTTAAGCATAGTGTATGCCTCACACTTGTTTACCCTTTGAAAATTCTATGAAGGAATAATCCTTTTCCTTAACTAAATTTAATGTATAGTATTATACAAATTTACCATCTCACCTTCTTAACTTGGAGCCTGGTGTCAAAAACCACGAGTTTGGCACTGATGGGGATTAGGTCATAAGTGTGGTGGAACTCGAAGAACTTGACAAAAATTTGCGTTTCATCCTCCTCTGTAACAAAATCATATATTAGGGTTGATTAACACATTAAAAATATACAATGCTAGGATGTCAGTAGATGAAGAAAAATTTATTTTAAGCATTATATCTATTATACATATTATGACCAGAATGCTTGTCGCATCAATGAGGATAACTGGATAAACGAGCATCAACACCTCACACGAATATTTGACTTATTAAACACGTTGTAAAGGGAACTGCTACAGTAAACTTGGAAATAAAATAGGAAGTAAATCTTACTAAATCAATACATGCCAAGTGTAATTGACAATGATAATTAATCAGCAAGTTATAGCTATTTAGTGAGTATTGCACTAGGATGTACTCGCCGAGTTGTGCTTGCGGGGGTGGAGTTTTGACTCTTTGGTCCCGCCTATCAACTGTTAATTTACAGGTTCCTGAGCCTATTGTGCTCTATCATATCTACATTTGAAACTGTGTATGGAGTCTGCCTCCACCACATCACTGTCTAATGCATTCCATTTGTTATCTACTTCCAATGAAAAAATTCTTTCCAATGTCTCTGTGGCTCATTTGAGTAGTAAGTTTCCACTTGTGTCCTCCTATTTGTGTTCCACCCAGGCTAAATAGTATATCTTTGTTCACCCTGTTAATTCCTGAAAATTTTGTAGGTGGTGATCACCTAGTCTCGCCTAACTCTTCTGTCTTCCAGAAATGTGAGGTAATTCCCCTAGCCTTTACTCATAACTCATACCTCTCGGCTCAGGGACTATTCTGGTGGCATCTTGAGGTTATCTTCGAGATGATTTCAGGGCTTAGCGTCCCTGCGGCCTCTTCGACCAGGCCTCCTTTTTGTTACACACCCCCAGGAAGCAGCCCTTAGCAGTTCTCAAACTCTCAGGTCTATATTTACTGCTAGGTAACAGGGGCATCAGGGTGAAAAACATTTTGCCCATTTGTTTCCACCACCACCGGGGATCGAACCTGGAACCTTAGGACTACAAATCCGAAGCGCTGACCACCCAGATGTCAGGCGCCCTACCTCCTAGCATACCTCTGAATCTTCCCTAACTTTGTCGTGTATTTAACTAGGTATGGACTCGAGTCTGGAGTCGCACCATGTAGAGCACCATGCAGGTATGCATGCTGCAGAGGGTGCACATGTATGCAATATATAATGTGCACACATTGTGATAGAATTTTGATAATATACAAAAGAATAACAAAAAATACTCACTTAAATATTTTTATTAACACTGCAGAGATTATTGATAATTGTAACATATATATCATTATTAGACACTTCTAAATATTGTTTTATTAACTGAAATGTACAGAATTTATATATAATGGGTAGATGCACTATATTCAAACTTGTTATTGGCATACTTTGGCAGGCCACATGGCACTGTGCCAGGAAGATACACCATAGTGTGTCTCCATGCTTCACACTTTCTCAATGGTGTGGCAAGGATCATTTGTGTGTTCAACGTTTGTCTATAATATGACTTAATTTGTATTCACACTGTGGCGGGCAAATGACCAAATATACAGGTACACCAACCACCTGTTATACAGTACTGTTCTGCACAGTATATGTACACGTTCTGAACAATATCTTCAATACTGATACTGAACTTCGTAAGTACATACTAGCAATATCTTCAATACTGAACATCGTAAGTACATACTAGCATGCCGCCATCTGCAACGGGTTGACCCCTAAACTCCGGCCAACATTCACTACAGAGACCTTCCTGCAAATCACAGGTTCCTCTCCATACTCAGTGAGTGACAATTCTGAACAAGATAACAACAAAGATGAGGAAAAAGAGAAGAAACAAGAGAAAGGAACTATTTCTTAATGAGAAAACACACACAAGCCAAAGTTGTCCACAAGAGGGAGGGAGACAGTAGCGAAGCCCTAGAGCACTAGTATCACTCCACTCATAGAAACTTTGGGCTCAAGACAATTTCACACACTACTCTAGGTATGAAAGTGTTACACTTTTTTAGTAATTCATACATGCCAAGCTCAGATGGATACCCCCCCCACTGCCCGAGGCACCGGGTGCCTTGGTGTGCACACAGGCTCCTGGCTACACTCTTGAGCCACTGGCATGCCAATCTCTCGAATTACATAACCATGATATTCAACACCCACCCTCATGTCAAATTAATAGTTGAACAGTAGCAAGTAAAAAATTTTAATCTATTTTTTCAAGGAAAAGATACAAATAAACCATGTGTTTATAAATGTCATACTCAACTTGTCTATCCTCTTGGGTTAAGTGACACACCTGAAGGGCATTCAATGTCAAAAAAGAGCAGGGCAGTAAGTTCTTTTTCTTCATTTAAAGCTGAATGACTATGTTCAAACAGGATGCATTACTAACATTTTAAGCATAGTAGGCCACAATTGCATTAATTTTTTCATAAGGAGACATTCTAGCAGTTATCAAACACAGAACAAGAAAGAACCATGCATTTAGCAATAGTTAAGCCCACATTTTATACAGGGCTTAAACTGTTTCCAGCGCACAGTTTAGATATACTGTAAATGTTTACATGCAATTTACTGCAGTCCCTATTCAATTTCCCTCCATATACTTAATAGTGTACCAAATATGCAATAAAAAAAGTACTGTACAAAGTAAGGCATCACCATTACTTGGCACATTCTCTCACTAATATAGTAGGATATTCCAATACTAAAACAGCTTCCCTTTCAAGTAATGATTTCTATCAAAAATAACATTTTCCAAAGCCAACCAGGATAAATATACAAGATTACCACAAAACCAGTGGTTCCACACCCACACTTAAGATTCATGCTGGAATGTACTACCTGACAAACATTAAATATATTGACCAAATCAACAATACACTTAAGTTAGTTAACTAAATTTACCTTGTATAGTGCTGAGAAACTCCTCAGTATCAGCCTTACGTACAGGTTCAAATACCGTGATTTGTGAGAGGGGGTAAACTGCCTCATCCTCTTCAAAATTAGGCGTTAAGTAGTTACTATACGTATAAAGGCAAATTGACATTGTGATAATGATCGAGACTTTGTTACACCGATCACTACCGATTGTCTGCTCACGAAGCGCGGCACACTTCTCGTCACACCTTGCTCCTGCTTTCCACCAAATACATCACCCAATTTGTGTTAATACTATTCTTTACAATTAATAAAAGCTTAATAACAATGTAAATATATATACTCTATGTCCATGTATGTTTACATTTTTCTTCATCAAAGTTAATAACTCATACAATGAAAGTCTTTTAGTAAGTGGAAAATGTGTTGTAAACAGTATGCCAAGTGTCCAGATAACTTGCAACACTCACCTAAGAATATTATTTCAACACTAATGTATCCAGAATACTCTTTCTTGTGATCTCACTTCAATCTACCCATTATCCAGGCGAATCATCATAACAGTACGTGCCAGGCTACTCGCCACATCTCTCACGACAAGCTATGGCACGATAAATAAGCTTTCCTGTTGCCCACAAATGCCATATTCTCTCCAAACTTTGAACACTATTGAAAATCCTATCAACATCACACTATGCTAAAATGTAAATGCTAGCTTGTGATGAAATGTGGCACAGCAACTGTTCCAAGTTCAACTCAAACATGGATTAGCTTGCACGACAATAGTGACGAGTTTGTGAGAACTTGTTTATATGAAGTCATCAAGGGGGAGTGTGGGGAATGGAGAGGAGGAGCAAGGTAGCCACCGCCACCACCAGTGCCAACACACTGGCTGGCTCCATCTCCACACTCCTGGCACCTGTCGTCATCTGCCCTTGCTCGCACCTTCACCATTTTTATCTTCATCTTTACCTCAATTTACAAGTGTACAATTATTTAGATGAAGGGTCCTCACACAATTTTTATAGTAGCCAATACTTGCTTCACCGGTATATAATATATTTTTAATTTTCAGGGCATCTATTACACAATACTGTACATCCATATTCCAAAATTATTGAAAAATCCAATAAAGAGTAACAGAAAATATATATACGGTATGTATATACAGTATATACATACTGTATATATAACAAAATTAGAATCCAAATCCATGTCTTTTTATCATGAAGCAGAAGACTTGGCCAACAACGCATCCAGAAGAGCTGGTACCAAAATAGTCATGTGGGAGGCAGGTCGACTTGGTTAGGCTGCCAAATCCCCTCGTAACTTTCAGCTTCTGTGCTTTCACCTTCATCAAGATTTCTTTTTTCATACTGTATTCTTAAAAACTATTACTGACCAGATACAATGCATATTCTTTAACTAGTTACAGACACATAATACAATATACAGTTAATGAAATTATTTTCCAAATAAACAAAATCCAAAAAATTACAGTTGGTAATTTTTGTAATTATAATTATCTATTTTTATAATTATCTTAATACAGTATTCTTTTATTTACCTGAATTTACCTCAGGGCCACTAACATTAATGGCCTCAACAAGGATAGGAAGCTGATGGTTTGGCAAAGGCCCCCTTTCCCCCCTCCCCTTATCATTTGCCTTAATGATCTTTTTCCAGTTGGATTTTAAAATTTAAGTTTTTTGGAATTTGTGGCTTTGGCAGGTAGGCAGTTCCATGGATTTATAACCCTATGGATGAAAAAGCATCTCCTGTTCTCAGTTCTACAATGTGGCTGGTTCAGCTTGAAACGATTGCCCCCTCGTTCATGTTACATCTGACCTTTTAAAGAAATTGTCCGAATCAACATTCCCCCAAATCATTCAGTATTTTTAATGTTTTAATGAGATACGCCCTGTCATGCCTGGTTTAGTGTTACCCTAGTGGTCCTCAACTCTTCCTCGTACACGAGTTGACTTAGCTCTGGAATGACTTTTGTTGCCCTGTGTTGAACTTTCTCTAGAGCAGCTATCTTCAATATTATATCTTCATTCACCATTTTTTTATCTGTTTATCGAAGATTTATATTTAAATTAATGATTTATTCTTTAGTGTCCCAAGTCAATATAAAAAAAAAAATCCACTTAAAAGATTTACCGTTTATATAAACATTAAATTGATCATTAATAATTTTACCACTGTTCTGTACTTTGTCCATAATGGATATTTTATACATCTAACTTGAACATTATAATAAGGTCTTCCTTGCAGGGAAGACCTTAGTTTTCCTTTTGAAGACCACTAGTTTTTGCCTTCAGCTCCTGACAAATATCTAGAGAAAATTCTTCCATTTTAATATGAAATTTACAACACCTATATAAAATAAATTATGATAATGGGCAACCTTATGATAAATTATGATTGTAATCAAGCGGCTCTTTCCATTAAGTTCTTGGTGGTTCCTTGAGCTAGCTACTTCGATACTTCCACTCAATCTCATCCATGCCAGGTCCTTGTGAAACAATGCAAGTCTACCAGGAACCAGAGGCCAAAGCCTAGCTCCTTCACAAAGGCACAAGGAGGAGATACTAGATCACCCTAACCAACAAAGCCCACCATAAAGGTGGGTGAGCCAAAATGCACAATCAGCAAGGTAAACAAAGAACAGAAAAGCAGATCCACACCCGAAATGAATGAACAACGTGGTCGTGAAGTAAGTCAATTCTCAGAATTAACATTGTCATCTTTATCTAATATTCAAACAAAAAATCTATTCTATTGAACAAAACTGGAAATTAAACTGTGTAGTATATATATATGGGGCAATAGCAAGGGCAAGATAAAGCTGTAAAAATTAGACAACTTATTGTTAATGCTTCTATATATGAATCCCAATATTCTATTATAAAATTTTAACATTTCTATAGCAATTTTTGGGGTCTTATTAATTATGATTTGGATATTTTCTGTACAGTATTCAATTTGGTAATTACACCATTGTTCAACTGATATCTGGCAACTGTTATTATTTCCTTAGCTAAGAACCGTACATTTATAGCATTAAACTGCATCAGCCAATCTTTCATCCACTTAAAAACCGCAGATTATAACAAATATTCTGTAACTGCTTTGTGCCCTCGTCTGAAAAATTTTCTTGCTTTAATTTAGTGTCATAAGCCAATTATCTGATCTTGCTATTCAACCATGTATCAAAATTATTTGACGTGTGGCAAAGAGAGGTGACAAACCCAAACTTCAGAGCAGTGTTTCCCCTAGACCTCGTCCCCCTTGAAGTTATCCACTGTTTCCTTGCAAATATCCAGCTCCTAACACAATTTTAGATATCCCCTCCAATACCTTCAACTTCAACCTTTATTACCACACTTATGAGGTTCAGTATCAAAGCTTTTGCTCATGTCTAGACATAATGTATGAAGACACTTTTCCCACTTTACACGTTTTAAAATGATGGGAAAAGAACAAGTGCTAATTTGTTATAACATAAGCAAACCATGGTGTGAATTCATTATTCTGTACTATTTAATATATACAAATGGCATTCATGATTAGAGCATTTATAATTTACAAGCCATTTTCCCACAATATATGCCAAACTAAAAAACTAATTTGTGCTGGTGTTTGTTCCATTTAGGCGAGTGTGGACAATATGCAGGATAGTAAGAGATGTTTTCCCACCACCTATTACTGTGGTAGGAGCAAGGCGAGAGAGATAGAGAGAGAGAGAGAGAGCACGAGAGAGATAAAGAGATAGAGAGATATATATATACAGTATAGATATGTATAGATAGATATATATATATATATATATATATATATATATATAGAGAGAGACAGGGGGGGGGGGTTGTGCTACACTTATTACTGTGCAGTCTCCTTATTACTCAACACACATACAATTATTTAAATACAATTGTTTAGTTAATGTTAATCCATGTTAATCCATTTTGAATTATTATTATTTGACCTAACTGGCTTAGTTGTACTAAGGAATATTCTATCATGTCCTTAGGAAATTAAAATTGTGTGTGTAATTATCTAAGTGTAGTTACAGGACGAGAGCTACGCTTATGATGTCCTGTCTTCCCAGTACAACACTGTCATAACACTTTCAAACTACCTGTACTGATGGTTTTGGCCTCCACCACCACCTCATATTTCACCATCCATGTAGTTAAAAGTAAGTCTGAAGTTGGAAAGCGATATATATGCTCCTCGCACAATGTTCTTTGTGTATTCCTCTGGTGACAATTTACTATTCAAAACCAACCCTAGATCTTGTTCTTTAATACCTTACCACATAATTTATAGGATGTGTGGTCTATTTTCTCCAATTCCACATTCTATAACATGACATTTATTCACATTGAATTCAATTTGTCACATGTCACTCCAAGCACTTATTTTATCTAGATCCATTTGAAGGGCATGACAGTCGTCTTCTATCTTCCCCAGTATCTTATCATCATCTATAAACATTATTCATACAATTTTGTATTCCTTCTCGTATATCATTTAGGTTGACGAACATTACTGTTGCAAGAACTGAACCCTGTGGGACTCTACTAGTAACACTCCTCCAGTCAGATACCTTGCCTCTGATTACCATCCCTCATCTTTCTGTCAGTTACAAAATTTTTCATCCATGACTAAAGTTTCCCTGTCACCCCCTCCAGCATGTTCTAGTTTCCAAAACACCCGCTTGTGTGGGACTGTCAAACACCTTTTTTAAGGTCCAGATACGCAGTCAACCCAACCATCTCTTTCCTGAAGAATCTCTGTAGCCATCATAAAAACTAAGTAGATTTCTTACACATGATCATCTTTTTCAAAAACCATACTGTCTGTCTGTTATTATGTCATTACTCTCAAGGTGTTCTACCCATTTGGTTAACTTTTTTCTAGTGAATAACACACCAGTGTGAATAACACTGGTACATTAATGTTACATGATCACATTACAATTTTTCACTGCTTGCTTAAAACCTAGACAAGAGTGGCCTTAGCAATGTGCAAGTACTGTATTGAATAACAAGTCTCGGGCCATTAATACTCACCTAAGTCACTCCTGCTGATGTTCTCCAAGAAGGGATCAGCATACGGTAGCTGAAATACAAATCATGCACACACATTATTTCTTTATCAATAAACCATAATTAATATTGGCAACTTAAGTATATCATACTCGACAAAACAATTGAATACTGGCCAACTTAATGTGAAACATGTACTGTATAAACAAATTTTGCCACATCACAAAAGACTTGCAGAACATATCAGCAATATATTTAATAAAATTTCACCTTATATTACTACAGTTTAACTCATGAACAAGACCTATTTTCACTCCTTACTAAATTTCATATGCAATAGGTTTCAACTAATCCAAATTTTTTTTTATAAAAAGCATATTCTTGATTCATTCATATTCCTCATTTCCCCTGATGTTTACTATTTTTAACCGAGGTATCTGTATGTCCAATGCTTTAAGTGTCATAACATCCACTGTATTGATTAGTTGACAAATTAATTAAATGACTAATCGATTGATAATTTCTAACACTAACAAAGTCACCAGCAGTGTGTATGGATAATGCATATCAGTATTTGTCTAAATTTTGGGTTAGGTTTACAATATCTGCTCAACTTTCCAAGCTGTCTTGCTGAGATGTTCCCTACTGCTAGGTCACATCAGTCACAGGAGCCTTGCTTGCCCTATTGGGAACCCGAGCCAGAACCTGGCCACCTCAGAGATACAAAGAGTGTGGGACTATTATCATCAACCTCACTGGGAAAGTACCCAGAAAGTCAGTGAAGCTTTACAGACAACGTTAAAACTAATAGAAAATGAAGCATCGAAACAGTCAAACGACTCTAAGTGAATCTGAAGAAACAATTTGCTCACTCTAAAGTAGCTTCAACCAATTAGTACCGAGCTGCCACCAGGTGGCCCAGAGAACCAGTCCACAGAAAACTTCAAATGTTCAATCCTGTCTGATGAGGTTGAGGCCACTAGTGTGCTCCATAGGTGCAACTTTTGCAGTGGATCGCACTACTTCTCAGCCAAATGCCAGCCATCCTTTGGACTTTGTCCCATAATCATTTGCTTTTTTTTTCGTTCTTTTGTTTTAGTATTTACTTCATGTGCGCACATTTTCTTTATAGGAAATTTTTATGTTTTGAGCTACATGTTCTCAGGGTTCTCTTCCCTGGGTGCTCCACTAGCTTTGCCCCTGCACCGAGTTCCTTCTCTGGTGTGTTCAGGAGTTTGCCCCCGAGGCCTGACCATTAAATACACTCACTGGGAATATATTCAACAAGCGGAGACCTCTGATGTTTATAGTGTTCTCTGATTGTGCCTATGGCACCTCTGCTCTTCACAGGTTCTATTCTGCATTTTCTATCATATCGTTTACTCCGGTACTGTATATTGTTATTTTACTGTGTAGATTTGAGACTTGGCCCTCCACTGCATTTTGTGTGTATTCACCTGGGCTTTAGGAGACTAACCGTGGACCCCACAGGTTCCCACAGTATACACATTTTCCATATTATTTATCTTTCGTCTCCTTTCTAGGGAGTACATTTGGAGAGCTTTGAAATGATCCCAATAGTTTAGGTGCTTTATCATGTCTATGCATGGTGTTTATGTTCTCTGTACTCCCTCTATTTCAGCAATCTCTCCCGCTCTGAAGGAGGAAGCGAGTATTGAGCAGTACTCAAGACAGGACAGTGCAAGTGATTTGAATAGTACAACCATTGTGATGGGATCCCTGGAGTTGAAGGTTATCGTAATCCATCCTATCATTTTTCTGGCTGATGCTACATTTGCATGGTTATGCTTCTTAAATGTTAGGTCATCAGACATTCTAGATCCTTTACATGCTGCTTTCGGTTAAGGTCCTTATTTTTACGGTACCCGAGTACCTGGAATTTATCACTGTTAAACATCATATTTTCTGCTGCCCAGTTGAAAACTTTATTAATATCTGCTTGTAGTTTTTCAATGTCTTCAACAGAAGTAATTTTCATGCTGATTTTTGTCTCATCTGCAAAAGATGATACAAATATGTGACTTGTATTTTTGTCTATATCTGATAGGAGAATAAGGAAAAACAGTAGTGCAAGGACCGTGCACTTTAGTACAGAGCTTTAACTGCATTTGGACTATTATATTTTTTAAACTGTTAGTCTGCATTTTGTTCGACAGAAAATTGAATATCCACCATCCTACCTGTTATTCCCATTGACCTCATTTTGTGTACTATCACTCCATGGTCACATTTATCAAATGCGTTTGCAAAGCCGTGCATACCACATCTGCATTCTGGTATCCGAGATTGTAATGTCCCTTGTTATGTCTTCATTATCTGTGAAGATCACAGCTTGAATATTTTTGTTCCTAGTTTGATCTTATCTGCTGGTTGAGTGAAAATTTGTTACAGAATCTAAGTAGTTCTTTAATCTGTATATGATTATGTCCAGACAGATTTGATGGTATACTACTATTGTTTGCTATTCTCCATCTTAGACTGGGTAGGTTGAAGTCTCCTAGGAAAATAATATCATGTACAGTATTGGGTTTGCCAGATTATCAAGACTATTCTCTATTTTGTTTACCCGTTCTGTGAATTCCTCAGTTGTTGCATCTCGTGTATGTATATTAGAATAGTAACAAGTCATCTTCTCTATTTTTAGGATGGAGAGGATATTTTTAGGTCTTAGGATACATGCGAGCTTGCTTACATGGCCCGCTACAGACACCCTTCATGGCCAGATTGATGTATTCACCTAGTTGTGCTTGCAGGAGTTGAGCTTTGGTCTTTCGGCCTGTCTCTCAACTGTCAATCAACTTTTTTTTTCTTTGTAGGCTGCATCCGGTGACAGTTCATTCGGCGAGTGTTCCTATTGCCCGGGTGTTCTGTTGGCTAGTTACTAGTTATCTTCAGGCCCTGGCAATTCCTGTACGATTCTGCAGTGTGGTTTGTTATGGATTGACCAATCAAGTGTGCACTCATTACTGGTTGACGAGGATTCAACATGACTCCATCATGCTGTCTGTTGGGTCGATGACACCTATGACCCGGGTTCCTGTGTCATATGGATGTGCCACCTTACGGGAGTGGTTTTCACTTATTCAAGGAGTGCAGCTGTGTGTTCATTTGAATGCTTCAAAGTTGGCCTGTGTTATATCTAGGTATTGATGTACTCCACCTGGGCTCCATCCATACTTTATTTATCCCCCTCCCTTGTTCTGGATCTGACGTGTCTGAGGGTTTCAGCGTCAGGTTAGGGACTGCTCGAGGTTTTGCTCGGCCATCTCCGCAAGTGGTCCCATCCAACTTGACAGAGGCAGTTGAGCCATCTCTTCCTGCCAGGGATGCAGAGCTTCTTCACAACTGCTCTACCTCTGGTCCTTCTCCTTGGGATGATGCTTTTCTTTTCCAGGTGTTGGGCATAAAATATGGCTCTGTCGTGGGGCCATCATGGCTGGCTTTTGTAGCTGGATGGGAGAGGGGTGGGCTGAGGTGGGTCTGTGGGTGCCCTTCCACCTTTCTTGGATATCAATTCCTTCAGCACCTTCAGCAAAGGGTGTTTTGCTCCAGGGGATGTTTTCCTATCCCCCTTCGCTGTATGCATTTCTTTACTCGGCAGCTTCTCTTGGGTTTGATTCCGTGTGTCATTTGGCACTTTGGGCTTTGCCTTCTTTCTGGAGGTTCACATGTTATGCTGTTGGTGGCTTGTGCAGACCTGTTTTGGTTCATCCTGCAGGTTTTAGTCTTCACTGCCTTGTGGGACCCTGTCTCATTTTAGTATGGATCTGCTTCGACTCTATAGCTGTGATATGACATCCCATTTCTTCCTGGCTGGCTAACACCCTGCTTTTCCTCGAAGGCTTGGCATAGGTTCTGTCGAGCCTAGACACATGATTGGCCAGAAGCACGTGACAGCTCCTTGTGTTTCTACCTGTGCTTTTGGTGCCCTTCCTGTGGTTGACAGCAGCACTCATCACCTGAGTGATGGTCATGTACTCTTCAGCTGTTATGGAGTTCTCTGTGTGCTTTGGTCTCAAGTGTGGGAATTGTGTTACCGGCAGTATTGCCTTTGGCTGCCTTACCCACATTGTTCGCCGCTCTAATGCGATTTTTAAACTCTAAACTCCTACAATTTTTGTTTCTCCTTGTATCAAGGTTGCTGTTGCTTCAGTTCCTTTGGCTGCTGCCCGACATCCTGTGTCAGCTGTTCTTTTTTTGGAAGTTCCGTCCTTGCTTTTCGGACACAACTCAATAGTGTTGGGGCCCCTCACCTGCTGTTAATAGGGGGTAGGTCCATGGTATTGTCAGATTCTCAAATCTTTGCACTTCTTTTAGAGGTTGCTGCTCATCGTCACCATTCTGCATGGGTAATTTTGGTGCAGCTTGGGGTTCTTCATGCTGTACCTGGTTGATGGGATTCTGGGAGATCTTCTCCCCAAACTATCCTTTTGTGGTTAGCTCCTTTGATGGTGCTGTGGGGATGGGCATCTGACCCATTTTACCAGGGTCAGGAATGGTTCAGGACGGACCGAAACTCATCGTCCCTTCACTTTCTAATGTGGTTTGGTCAACATTAGTGATGGTCAAAAGAGGCTCAGTGGCATTGGTGACTTCCTCGTGTTTCAAGAGGCAAGGCTGAGGAGTCAAAAGTCGACCTCAATCTTGAGTCGAGAAAGATCCCTCGGTTTGGATACTACCCAAAGACTATTTGAGGCAGTCCTGGTCAATGTGTGCTCGGCATCGGTGCTGCCCGAGTGGAAGGAACTACCGGGGTACATCACCTGTACATGGGAGGAGGCAAAGACCAGTGAATCAGTGTGTGAGATCGGAAGAAGTCAGAAAAACCCTCTTCTAATTCCAGTTTACTTGACGAGCAGAGGAGTATCATGCTGGCATTTAGTTTGCTATCTCTCTTTGACCAAGTTTCAGCATTTGTGCTAGTAAAGTTCTATGTCTGCTGGTGAGAGATACCTGGGCACTGCTACTATATTGCATTGAAATTCAACTGATGAGTGTTACCATATTTATCAGTTATTTTATTGTGTGGCCATAAGCAAGTGTGCATTTATTTCAGTAAATACTTATACATTCTAAAAACTGTTTAAAGTTATTCCTATCTTTACTCTCCAAATGTTTGCCCGAGGCCGAGTATATGAATATGAGGGTGATCTAGGAAATTTAGGCCGAGGCACTTTTTCCACCCATTGGTAAAAAATTATCTGGCAGCAAATGGCATACTAGCCAGATTGGCAACCTTGGGCTACATTTGTGGTGGCTAAGCCAGTAGCAGGGAGCCCTGGACAGTGCCAACTTAAGAAGAGATTGGGGTTCAGGGAGCTGCTGGTTTTACCTCACTTCTCATGGGGAACAAGGCTGAGTGTGTAGTGCTCTCTCCATGTGCAATTAAGGTACCCTTGAGGGGGACAGTAGCATCATAGAAGGGGAGAATGCCTCAACACAAGGTCTATTGTCACATGTATGGTGAACAGGAGGCTGCTAGTTTATTGGTGTCCGATCTGCACTTCTCTTCACGGCGTTAGAATGAGGCTGCCTGGGGGTCTTTTGCCTCTTTCTGTCTCCATGTCATCTTTTTTTTTCAATTTCAGTCCAGGTGGTTTTGTCCTTTTTCTTGTGATCTATCTTGAGGTTATCTCGAGATGATTTCGGGGCTTAGCGTCACTGCGACCCAGTCCTTGACCAGTCCTCCTTTTTGTTACACCCCCTCAGGAAGCAGCCCGTAGCAGCTGTCTAACTCCCAGGTCCCTATTTACTGCTAGGTGAACAGGAACATCAGGGTGAACGAAACTATGCCCATTTGTTTCCACCTCCACTGGGGATCGAACCCGGAACCTCAGGACTACGAATCCCGAGTGCTGTCCACTCAGCTATCAGGCCCCCTAAGGCGACTGTTGTAGAATCAGCAACTCATGCCTAATACTATCGCCTCTGATTGTTCAGCATTGGTGGAACAATTGTTGCTTGTGTTCAGCATTGATGTGGTTTTAGCTCCATTCTACAAGTTGTCTAGTGTATTTTTTTCACCACTAGCCAATTCATGGTCCTCTAGAGTCATCTTGGTCACTTTACCTTGGCCTTCATGTTTCTTTCCTCTCCTCGGTTCACAGTTTCCCTTCTGCTAGGGGGCAGTTTTTCTTAAAGAGATGCTTTTGTTAGCTTTCATGTCCAGCTGCAGAGTTGGAGAGTTTCATGGTCTTCTCCAGAGGCAGAAATTCTGGTACTTTGGTCCTGGTTTGTCTGGAGTCTTCTTTTCTGGTGAAAAGCGAATTGTCTGGCTTCTGAAGGGCTTCTAAGGGGATTGTTGCTTAGCTGGTCCAGCTGAGGGCGCTTAAATTGATGACCAGTTGATGGTCATAATTTCTTCAGCCACGTTATTTTGACTCACTGTCTGCATGCTTAGTTTTGCCCCGTGGTGGTGCTTCGCCGCTACCTGTACGTCACCAGTCTTGCTTCGGTGGATACCCTGTTGGTTGACATTTCCTTGTTCCAAAGATCACACTTTCCAGGTTGTCTACAGTGTCATCAAAGCTTGGCAGTACTGTATGCAGTCTACCCTCAGGCCTGTGATGTTCATCAGCCTTGGATGCTGTTTTTTCTACCATGTCATAAGCTGATATTCAATCTCTGGGGTTATGGAGGTCTAACAAAAGTCTTGGTAGCCTGGTATTTCCTTGTCGAGGGACAACGTCCCTTGTCTCTCTATCTTATGTGGAGTTGGCCAGGTTTCCTGGCCGTGGTCTCTTCAGAATAGTGCCTGCACTCTCACTCTCCTCCTTGGTCTCTTATTTTCCTGTTTATCTGTGCTTCAGGGAGCCACCAAGGGGGTTTCTTTCAGAAAACCACATTCAATGTAATGTTGCCAGTATTAACAGGTTACCTTGTGGTTAGCTTCCAATGAATTCAGGGCTTAACATCCCCATGGCCCTGTCCTTGACCAGGCCTCCTCATTGCTGGACTGTTCAGTCAGGCTGTTTGACACGGTTGCTCGCAGCCTGACGTATGAATCACGGCCTGTTTGATCAGGTATCCATTGAAGGTGCTTATCAAGTTCTCTCTTTAACACTGCGTGGGGTTGGCCAGTTATGCCCCTTATTTGTGGTGGAAGCATGTTGAACAGTCTTGGGCCTCTGATATTGATAGAGTTCTCTCTCAGAGTATCTATTGTACCTCTGCTTTTCAACAGTGTATTCTGCACATCTTGCTATGCCTTCTAGTCTCATGTGGTGTTCCAGTTTAAAAGTGAATCAGTTGTTTTCGAATCATTTGGCCCTTCTATGCTTCATATTCTATGACCAATACTGTAAAGTTGTAATAGTCTGTAAAGCTTTGCCGACTTTCTGATCTTTCCCAGTAAGGGTGACGATAATAGTCCCCAGGTCTCAGGGGGGGCCAGGTTCTGGCTCTGGTTCCTGATAGGCCAAACAGGATTCCTGCAACTGATGTGACCCAGTAGTGGAGAGTCATCTATGCAAGACTGCTTCAATGAGCCACCAAGATGCTACCAGACAGACACTGAATTTTGTTACACTCAGTGCTAATGTTTTAATGAAAAAAGCATGATTGATTGTGAAGTAGTGTGGAAAGTTTTAAAAGATCAATCAAATTTTAAATATCTTCTCTGCGCAGAATCAACAACTAGCCTCGTATGTGTGTTCAAATGGGCTTTATAACAATGAATTTATGGAAATGCCAATGAATAAAATAACACCAAAAATCAGGTGTGTTGATGCAATACTGTACTTGATAAGATTAACTGAAATATGTTGGTGAGCAGATAATGTCACTTGCCTGGTGTCTGACCACTGATGTCAACATCTGATCATGTACTGTAGTCATACCACTGATTTGTTTGATCACTGATTTGATTTGATCACTGAATTTCACTAATACAGTACAGCATTAATAACTATGTATTATTAATACTGTAGGTACCATAATTATGTACCATTTCTATAACATACAGTAATTGGTACCTGTAGGTCCAACCTACACATGGAAGGTCACTGGTATGGTATACCTGCCTGTCCTTAATCCTAATTGTCCCCGGAATATGACCCACCAAATCGTTTAACAACCAGGTACCCATTTACTGCTGGGTAAACAGAGGTTACAGTTAAAGATTGGCATCTAGTCAATCCTCCCAGGCCAGGATACGAACCTAGGCCAAATCGCTCCCAGGAGTGTTTTACCACTGCGCCACGGGGACTGTTGAAGAACCATTAAGCAATAAAATCCAATGTTACTGAACATGGAACAATGGCATGTCAATATCTATTCACTTTCTTGATCAACAATTTTTGGACCATTCCTTCTATGGCCAGACATCTGTATCAGGCATCCTCATGTGGCATTTTAAAATATTTTGAAGATCCTGTACAGTACTAGGTTTAGGTGGCTGGATACCAGCACTGGTATCCTGCCACCTAATTCTGTCTCAGGAATTCTGTTCTATCAATTTTATCAATTCATGTTACTATTTTCTACGTAGTGATCATATTGCCTTTCTTCTATTTTTTAGTTTTTGCATATTTAAGGCCTCTAACCTCTCTTCTTAGCTCTTGTCCTTCAGTTCTGGGAACCACTTAGTAGCATGTCTTTGCACCTTTTCCAGTTTGTTTATGTGCTGGGTAAGATATGGTCACCATACAATCGCTGCATATTCCAGCTTTGGTCTAACAAAAGTCGTGAACAATTTCTTTAGTATTTCATCATCCATTTATTTAAATGCAATTCTGAGGTTAGAAAGTGTAGCATAGGCTCCCCACACAATGTTCTTTATGTGATCCTCAGGTGATAGAAAACTATCTAGTTTTCCATCTAGAACCACCCCTGAATCTCTTTCTTTATCAGAATTCTTTAAAGATTTCTCACATAATTTATAGGTTGTGTGAGGTCTATGTTCTATTCCACATTCCATAACATGGCATTTATTTACATTAAATTTCATTTGCCAAGTGGTGCTCCATATGCTTATTTTGTCCAGGTCTTCTTGAAGGACTGTATAAACATCAGAGGTCCGCGGTTGTTCAAAGTCCTACCAGCGAGCATCAGAAATATTGCCAGAACAACCATTGACATCTTCAAGAGAAAACTAGATTGTTTTCTTCAAGGAGTGCCGGACCAATCGGGCTGTGGTGGGTATGTGGGCCTGCGGGCCGCTCCAAGCAACAGCCTGGTGGACCAAACTCTCATAAGTCAAGCCTGGCCTCGGGCCGGGCTTGGGGAGAACAACAACTCCCAGAACCCCTTCAAGCAGGACATTACAATCATCCAAGTTACTTATCTTCCCTATTATCTTAGCATCATCAGCAAACACGTTCATATAATTCTGTATTCCATCTAGTAGATCGTTTATGTAGATAATGAACATCACCGGTGCAAGACCTGAACCCTGTGGTACTCCACTTGTGACTCCCAGTGTCAAGACTATGGTGTACATGACTTTACTTGGTTTAATCTTAAACAAAACAAAAAAATTAAACTTAATTCTTGTAACACTTAAGTCTAGATAATTTAATTAATAAATATTAAACTATAAATACAACACGACACTCTTACCCCTCTCGAGTCACGGAAAAGCATGGCTGCTTGATTTGGATCCATTTCACCACGTACATACGTAGGCTGTAGTGTTCCACTGCCATGACGTTTTTTATCAGTTTCACTGGGAAGTCTTCGTAATTGACCTAAAATAAAGTGAAAGTTAAAAAGGCTTGCAATACATAAAATAAGTTATTTAAATACATTTTCATTATAGTTTATGATGGGCATCTAAGCACCTTAATTGATATTTGCTATCATTGTACAGGAATCAGATGGTGAACTAATCTATAACCTATGGTCTTGACACTGGTCAACTGTACTAACAGTCCTTAGTTATGTGTAATGAGATACATAAATAACCACAGTCATACATCTACTTATAGAACAGGAAAGTAAGCAGTTATTTTTTTACTATACTGTACAACTAGTACTGTACAGTATTTAAGTTGGTGTAGAACTAATTTGGCAATCCTAACTTTGTTATTTACTACAGTATCTATAGAACACTCGCATGCCGAGTGACAATATCTCACTACTCAAAGTTCAGTATAGTATAAAAATTATTAATAATTTAAATATTTAGTTTAGATATTAATTTACAGTACTTATTATACACCAACACCTGGTAAAAGTGGTTATAACAAAATCTGAGACTAAAATTATATATGTATATGATATACAGTACTGGTAAAGTATTTGTATATTAATGTACATAGTGTAAATATGTATAATATGTGTGTGTATGTAAGCAAACATTTAAGTAAGTACTAAAGTACTGTTACAGCTTAAGAACTATCATCTACAATATACTAGTACAATAATTCCCGAGTAATAGTCATAAATACTGCCACAATGTATCTTATCTTGAGGTTCTCAAAATGATTTCAGGGCTTAGCATCCCCGTTGCCCGGACCTCAGCCAGGCCTCCTTTTTGTTACACATCCCCAGGAAGCAGCCCGTAGCAGCTGTCTAACTCCCAGGTACCTATTTACTGCTAGGTAACAGAGGCATCAGCGTGAAAGAAATTCTGCCCATTTGTTTCCGCCTCCACTGGGGATCAAACCCGGAACCTCAAGACTACGAATCCGAAGCACTGCCCACTCGGCTGTTAGGCCCCAACGTGTATGTAACGTGTGTAGAATGAATGGCGGCACTGACAACAACACTGGATTCTGAGCAAAAATTTATGAGCACACAACACAAGAACTGTGAAACAATTTTTCCTGTCATCATAACAGTCTAACTCCCTTCTCCCCCTCACTCCCAACCCCGCCCCCTCTCCTCACAGATTCTCCCCTCACTCCCTATATCCCCCTAACTCCCAACCTCCCCTCCTCACTTCCTTCTCACTTGGGTACCTACTCCTCCATTATTTGCTATCACATCTATGTAAATTATAATTTGGAATCCGGATTTTACCATTAATGTGTATAATCTCTCGCATGGGTTTCTGTGAATGTTCCAAATATTGAAATCGACCAGGCCACTTTCAAATCTAACTTTTTTCTCAATTTTGACTTTAGGCATTGTATGTTTGTAAATATAAAATATTTCCCATATTGTGTGCCGCTTCTAGTTCCTCTCGCATTCTCCTCCCTCTTCATCATGATCCAGGGTGTGTTGTAGGTTTGGCAATTTACAGTATCCAATTTTTGTAGTGTTACTGGTGTTATGGAGTGTGATAACTTGTGTGGAATTGGGAAGTGTAGTACATGTGCACTTTATAATGACTTTCAGTCCACTCTTATGCATGGAGCAATTATTTGTGAACAATTTGGCATTAAAATTACACGTACTGTACAATTGTTATTGAAACCAAATGCAGAATATGAAATCAAAGACTTTTCTCAGCAAACTGGTGAGGAATCTACTACTGCCTTGATCCCACCTCGCTACACTGTCCTGTCATCTACTGGCTGCTTTGTCATGCTGGGCCATTGGAAATGCATTTCTACTTTTTATTGCAATCTCCAGCAAGACCGGTTGTTAATAGAAAAAGGCAAATTACAATGTAGATAATGCGATAATTGACAATACAGTATCATTTCTGATCGACCTAACCAGCAATGGTGTTTGTACACGTGTATTGACTAGTGGCTTGGGCAGGTTTTTTTTACAATTTTGAGTTATTAGTGATTGATAATACTTGTACAATAGTGTCTTATATTTTTGTATTTTTATTAAAGCTGTACTGTACAGTATTTTATTAATATTTGAACTTTAAACTGAAATGCTTCTGGGTAAAGACGAACATTAATAACATGTGGCACTGTAATAATATTCACTTCTGACTGTTTTGTATATATTTTGTAAATACTGTATTAGTACAGTATTTTACAATATACAGTGTGTAATTTAAATACTGTAGTATGTCACGTCCAAGTTTAATACAAGTTTTTAAGCACTATACAATAGTTTACACTTTGATTAGGTAGATCGTGGATGATTATAACACAGCCGCCTCCCAATGCCCGGCATTGGTAATGGCTTGGATGAACATCTTCACTTAATTGAACACGTTCCACTGAACAATCTGTACCAAACAATTTGTTTGAACCATCCCGCCATTCGTTAGAGTGAGGATGCATTATGCATACCCAAAATAGTGCACAAAACATAGTACACAAATACATTCTGTACTGCATTAGCACTCAATAGTGTATGACTGAATTGATTCAATATCCAGTTATTAATGCACATGTTGATAAGCCCCAAAATTGAATAGGGACAAGAACAAATCAGTGGAAAATACCAAGCCATTACAACTATACAGTACTTGGAAGGGATCAGGATAAGGATTTGGTATGGGATGGGGGAAATGAATGGTGCCCAACCATATGAACAGTCGAAGATTTAACACTTAGACCTTCATAATGCTTTTCAGAATACGTATATTAAAGTACTGTATATAAAATGTTATACAGTATCTGCATCTTTCCTTCATCATGTTTTCTTCTTTAACCCATAAATTCACAGCTATTTAAAAGTAATACATGGAGGTGCACATCACTAGAGAGGATTAACAAAGTCTCAGATAGTGTTTGGAACACAGGAAGAAGTCTCATAGTATTTCGAACACAGGATTGCAGTTAGTGATTGGAAAACAGGAAAAAGTTGCACATACAGTACAACCTCAATTTCTCGCACTATATAGAACCAACCCCAATTTGTTGCAACCGCAGATGCCGCCAGGATACATTTCCCATGGTAAAATTTTAATTTCAGTCTATAATATAATAGACAACTACCAAATGAACATGTCTGCAAAAAAATTAATTTAACCACATCTATCCTGTTTCTCACGTTCCCAGCCTTAAAACTCAATTTTCAAAAAGGTAACAGGGTAAATGAAAGCCTTGCTAAATGAAAACTAACAATAAAATTTGATTTTAAGGTCCTCAATAGCTTTCTCAAGGCTCTAACTATTTTTTGTAATGTAGTCCCCTAAAAAAAAAAAATTTACAAGATAAAAAATGTGATGGGCTAATTTTAGTGTTACCTAAATATACTCTATATGATATACAGTACTCTAATATATATACCATGCTCTATGGGCTGATTTCATTGAGCAAACTTTTAATTTCAACCTGTCACATGAACAACTACTGTACCTAGAGAACCCATCTGTAAAGAGATTTAACTACCTACCTTGTGTGTACCTTGTGTCGCTTCCGGGGATCATCAGCCCCGTAGCCCAGTCTCTGACCAGGCCTCCCAGTTATTGATCTGGTCAACCAGGCTGTTGGACACAGCTGCTCGCAGCCTGATGTATGAATCACAGCCTGGTTGATCAGGTATTCTTTGGAGGTATTTGTCGAGTTTTCTCCAACACTGAAAGGCCGGCTGATTATGCTCCTTACATGTACTCACTGGTCTCGTGTGATGTTATTTCTGTGTTCAGATTTGCAACCAGTTCCTCTAATATCTTCCATGTTTACATTATTATGTATCTTTTTGCCTGCACTCTAGAGAATGCAGATTTAGAAATTTTAATCGGTCCCAATAATTAAGATGACTTATAGAGGGGATTCTAGCGATAAAGGATCTTTGCATGCCCTCTAGGTCAGCAGTTTTTTGGCTCTGAATGGGGCTGTTATAATGCAACAATATTTCACCATAGAGAGAGCACTAGTGTCTTAAAAAGTATCATCATTGGTATGGCAACCCTTGTTTGGAAGGTCCTAGTTATCCAACCTGTCATTTTTCTTGCAGTTGTGATAGCTACTTTATTGTGTTCTGCAAAGGTAAGGTCTTCTGACATGATTACTCCTAGATCCTTTACATTGCTTTTTCATTCTATAGTGCGATTTGATTCCATTTTATGTATGGTTCCTGTCTTTTAAATGTTTATTTTCCCTTAGCGCAGGAGCTGGAACTTATTTTCATTAAACATCATATTATCTGTGGCCCAATGAAAGACCAGATTTATATCCGTTTGGAGGTTTGCTGTGTCCACTATATTGTCTACTCACGTGAAAATCCTAATGTCATCTGCAAATGATACAGTGCTGTAGTTTATATCCTTGTCTATGCCTGATATTAGGATGAGAAAAAGTACCAGAGCAACCTTGTGGTTACCTTGCAATGATTTCGGGGCTCAACGTCCCCGCAGCCCAGTCCTCAACCAGGCCTCCTGGTTGATGGACTGATCAACCAGGCTGTTGGATACCGAGTGGAACACAGGAGGAAGTCACAGATAGTGAGTGGAGCACAGGAGGAAGTCACAGATACCGAGTAGAGCAGTGACTGGGTTGAGGTGGCAAAACATGTGGAAAGAAATGACCTTGTGACATAGGTACAGCAATCATCTGAAAGATTCTCAACTTTTTTTTTTTTAATTTGATTTATGTCTGCATTATACCCGAGGCCAGCTTCCTTCAGGACCCAGCAGAAGGAAGAGTAATAATTATTAATTAATTATAATATTACAGTATTATTATAATTATAATAATAATCGTTGTAATTAATAATTATTACTCTTCCTTCTGCTGGGTCCTGAAGGAAGCTGGCCTCGGGTGAAAGGGGGCTGCGATGGTCTGTCTGGAATCCGTAGGTGCGGGGCTCGGTCGTCCACGTTGTGGGGCTCATGCAGCAAGCTCTGCTGCAGAAGGCTGGTGTCATTCTTGACCTTGCTGGGGTGGTT